TGATTAGTGGGATATCATAATCTATGGGACATATCGCATGTTTAACAATGTATGGGAGGAAATGTCTCATTGCGTGGACCCTGAGGTCCACGCAGAAAATATATATTGGCGGAGTTAAACCGGATGCCATGGGCTTACGTCAGGCTACGCAATGGGCGAGGAATTGCTTGAGAGTTCGCCTCTAAGTTAACTTGCCCGTAGAACAATTCGCCCTCTTCGAATCATTGGCAAACTCCGCTCTAAAATCTGCGCCTCATATTAAATGTATTTTTTGGCGTAACCAAGATCTGAATTTCTCTTTAATACATATATCCTTGTATACAAACTAAATTCTATGGTGCAAGCATTTTAAATGAGTAGGAAGAACTTATAGAGATAGCTTAACAGCTTGAACATGTTGAATTAAAACCACTAGGTTTTAAAAGATAGTCTTTGCCATGTCTACCGGCATTAGTTTTGTGCATCAAGGTTTGCAAAATAATTTGATAGACAGCAATCCAAATATAGCTTGATAAAGGCCTGTAGCAATGTTTTTCCATGTGGGGGAGAGGGAGAAACATCCCCCCAAAAAATTCTGCGTACTACAGATCTGTGCTACACGTGTACCATCTATCTTTCCAATGATAGGATACTTCCGTATAAGTCTAGTACAGATTTGTTTGAACATATTTTATTGTTTAGATATTACAACAAAAGGATCGGACACAAGTTCTTAAAAATTAGAACGTCCTCTCCTTTATAACAATTAATTACACAAAATAGTGTTAAAAATTAAACTACACTGGAACCAAAGGTCAATATGTATATATTTTACATCGGGCTCAAAATGATACAAAATCTATTCGATAAAACTAACTGAAATTATTATTCACAGCTAAAATATGCCAGGAAAGTGATAGTTTCCGGGTTTATTGCTTTATAAACATGAGGAGTGCCGAGTGCAGAAAGGAAAATGATCGAAATACCTATTTCCGGAATAATATTATATGTTTATTATGTAATAATACGGATTTTTTTCTCTAGAAAGTTAATCACAATACCAGATGTAAATAGTTTTGGTAATACTACACAAAACACGATACATTTTTCAACATTTTTGCCTATTTAGTGTTTGATCGATTTAATATTATGTGAAATTCAAGTAATCAGAAATCATGACAATTCTATAAATAGCTTGTAATTGAACTTACCCCTATTTGTTGAACATTTAAGAATATCCGCTCCTCAGCCAGGAATTATAACTCTTAAAATTATTAATTTTAAAAAAAAAAAGTCTCCAAAAAAAGCTTGAAATGAAATCTGTTTTCATTGCGGGTGTTTTTATTCGCGTTTCCCGAAAATATATTTGAAATATTTGATAATTTTTTTATTTACAATATGATTTACTATAATTATGAACTTTAAATAAATACCATATGAGTAAATACACATTTCTTTGAGAATTCAGAGTCATTTTGTGAGCATTTTCAATATCTCAATGCAACTCCTGATTTTCAAAACATATGGAGAAATGGTGTTCATTCTTCTCATTTACATATCGGCCATATTGGAGCTATAATGGCGACAGATTCCATAAAGGTTTATAAAGAGAACGAACAAAAACCCGCAGATTTTATATTCTAACTATTTCGGATAAAGTTCTTCCGCCGATATTTAGATTTTTCTTATTATCTTCTACCGGAAATGACAATATTGTTGATGCTAAAGTGAAAGTTGCGACCGCCTTTTTAATTTGAAATTCCGAAGCGAGAGTATACTGTTTTAATGAAGGAAAGAGCACAGAATTGGTGTCTTTATCATTTTTGGTGATTAAATGTAAGTGTTTATTGCAAGTTGACAGAGTTCTTCCGCCGATTAATAGGTGCAGACGAATGCCTATTTTTAAAAAATAGAGATGATTTATCATTTCATGAAGAATAACGACCGCCTTTTTAATTTGAAAACGGCAATTTCTTGCATCAGTGTAACCTATTTATTACCAAAAAAGATGGTTTCATGAGTTTTCAACTGTTTGTAACCCAAAATTCTGCCCAGATAATCATAACTATGACAGAGGCTTAAAAAACAAAACAAACTGTGCTTGCAGGATGTAATAATATGTTGACGGTGCGACCGTTAGGGCGAGCGCAGATATTTATTCAGGCTTAATTTAGATCGGGCTCAATCGTCAAACTGCACGTGACGGTGCGTCTAGACTCTGACGTCACATGACGTCGTAAGTTGCATTACCAAACCGAAGACTGAACATTGTTGACTTTAAAGAAGAACGTTTTATTTACTGTTTATCTGCAATATATCCATTAAATCAAGGCGAGTTTAATTTTTGTTAAACTATTGTTGTTATTCTCGCGAGAACGTAGCTTAAACAAGCGATGCATTGTGGGTCCAAAAGAAAGGTTGGATCAATGTGTAAGTCCGAATTTTCTCTTCGCCCAGGTGTTGTCGTTAGAGCTCGCTGCGCTCGCTATTAAAATTTAAAGAAATTGAATATTTCGAGTTTATGCAGGATCTTATGAATATTAATGAGAAGTAAATTACTTGGGAGCAACCTCATGAATAAACTGTACATCATTTCTCCATATGTCTGGATCGGACTATACCTTAAAAATTTCCCGCGGTATACAAAGCGTAGCGAAAAATAATTTGTTGTTGTTTCGAATTCGGGGAAAATGATCAATTACTTGAGTCACGTGGTGACGAATATATCTAAGACTTGGTCAATCTGATGAAAATCAGATCCTTTGATCCGCTCACATAGATCGCTCTGATTAAAATCAGATCCTTTGATCCGCTCACATAGATCGCTACACAAGGAGATCCTTGTGTAGCGATCTATGTGAGCGGATCAAAGGATCTGATTTTTATCAGATTGAAGAGTTGGTCTCTTGGCTGGGTGTCAACCTCATCATATCATATAAAAGATACCCACTGTTGTTTCTATGTCTGTCTTGAGAACCGCAGCAGGAATACTTTTTTAGGTCCGGCTGATTTGTTGCCATTCTTTATATGTTTTATAGCTGATTTAAGTTCCTCTTTGGTTGGTTCACCATGTGCTATAATTATCCAGGACGTCTATAACTGGCAGTATGTGAGATGGATTAGCTGGCTCTGGTCTAAGATTTCTTCAAAGTGTTACATCCTTTTTTTTGCACGTTTCCTATCTTATCTATCACAGGTGGCTCTGGTCTATTATACAACTTCTTTCATTTTCCCTGTTCTTTTGGCTTGTTCTGCTTTCTCTGCCAGTGAATCTACATACCTCGATCCTTCTGTCTGCTCGAATACTATACTACTCATATCTAAAGCTTCTTAATTCCGGGTAGCTAGCTTTCACTTTGAATTTTTATGATCTTGTTCTATTGGAATTTACACATGCTTTCTTTTCTTTTATCTTTTATTTGTCTGAGCCTCTTTCTCTCTCTCTCTCTCTCTTGACATCCACTCTTTAAGATGGTAATATTTAGCATACTTGATTCTGACCATCCGGCGCGCCCGGGTAAACCGGCGATGACCGGCGACACACTTGATTCTGAGCCGGTATTGCGCACGCATCAAGCCGGGTGAGCCGATTGAGCCGGAAAAATTTGATAGGCTCGGGCGGCTTCAACATAGCGTCCTTGGGGATAGTAGTGATGAAAGTTGTTTGTTTTAAGACGTGAAGCTTTTGATCGAGGCACGCTTGTGAAATGAACATATTTTCAAAAAGTGTAGTCCTTTTCTATGCTAGATAATGTTTTACGATAGAAATACAATATTTCTATTACTTTAAATGAGCCTGTTCGCTTGATTCTAAGAGCGTACCGGGGTTTACCCGGCTTCGGTTCGGCTCGGCCGAATTCTATCACAATCAAGCATGCTAATTATTTCTCGGGGACCAAACACTTCCTGTCATATGTTGAAACCATGGTCTGATTCACTCTCACCCAAGTGTCAATCGTGGCTTTTTTCCTCCAAATATTAAACGCCAAAATATGGCTAAAATGCTGTCGACTCAGCAAGTCTTTCACCAAATGCTGGAGATGTAAATTCCTTTGGTGAAGCATTTTTATTTGATTAACACCTTCAAAATGCTACCATGATTAAAACATCGGATCATTCATTTATTAGGAACAAAATTACTGGTGGATTTAGAGGGGGCCCAGCCCCCCCCCCCCTTTGTGTCCAAAATATACATGATTTAATAAATAAGGTTTTTTTTGTGTGTGGCCGTGGGCCCCTACCCCGACCCTAAATTGCCCCCCCCCCTTTTCAAGATTCCTGGATCCGCCACTGAAAATATGGTCGTTATACATGTACATTGAATACCTTAATGTCTTTATCTTTCAAGCATCCATACCAGGGGCGTAGCTTGACTTTAAATTCTAGTGAGGCAAAACCATACATATACATGTAGGAGCAAGAGGTCTGGGGCCGCCTTAAGCCACTAGCAGGTTCCGCGGGTGTTGTCATGGGGGGGGGGGGGGGTACTCCGACAGAAAATGGAGTTGGGGGTTTTAAAATGCAATGAAATTTCATTTACTGTACTGGTTTCTTTAAGACTTCATATTGTAAAAGAATGTAAAAGAGTTAATAAATATGTTTACTAAAAGTTTTGAAACATTTAAAGGTGAAAGCTCATCTTATTAAACTTTGCTTTCATTTCTTTAAAACTTCAATTCAACATTATAGAACTGCTTAAAATGTTAAAAGAATTGCCATTAATTTTACGTATTATCTGCAATGTATTTTTGATTATGGGAAGGGGTGGTGGTGGTGAAAAATCTAGTGAGGCAGTTGCCTCATTGCCACAATGGAAGCTACGCCCCTGCATACCTTTGGGAGTTGGGCCTGAACAATTATTTTTTTCTTAGTTTCAAACGGGCTGCAACTAAATGGTGATCAGAAGCTACGTGTCCTTTGATGTGAATAATATCATATCCCGTGATATTCCGGAAATGAGTATTTCGATCATTACTACTTTACGATTACATGACTTTTAATAAGCACTTCCTGTTTCTATTTCGAGGCAAAATAAATTATAATTAGAAAGTAAACAACTGACTGTAATCTGCGTTCACGCAATAAAGGATAAATTTGAGGAAAAATTGTGGACTGAGAGGTAATATTTGGTTGGTTTTATGTATTTTTGGCCATGTAGTTTCGAAGTCTGTTTTCTGGTTTTGTCTGGAACATATTCTTGTTTCACACTGCTAAAAGTTTTTAAATTCATAACAGTTAAGTTCAGGGTACGGGCTTTGTGTAATTACATCCAAAGCCTTATAGGTGTTATTCATGATTCGCCTTAAGTATCCATTCTATAAACTTTAAACGATTGATAATATAGAAATGGAGAAACATTAAGAACATACATAGTTGTCTATCTGTCTATGACTCAATTGTCAGTCACATGAATGATGGCCATTTGCATAAGGTAAATGTCAAAAAACGAAAGTGGGAAATTTTACATGAATTTATTTAAATTATAACTTTGTGTTTACAAATCACTACATTTAGCTACATAGCTTAAATTATCGTTGCTTTAATTAGCTATTTCATGTATTTCAAAACAACTTTTCACAATTTTGCTTTTTATTTCAAATAGACAAAAATTGCAAGTATATGTCTACTCATATTTATAGTAGGGATTTTCAAAAAAAGTAATCCAAAGCAGAGATCATTTAACATTGCTGCGTTTGAACAATTTTGAGCAATAGATGTACTGCTATTTCCATAATCCATTGTTTGAGTAACTGTAAACCACCTTGTGTGTGCAGTGAGGCATGGATAAGTATGATTACTTCACATTGTGCTTATTGATTATTAATCAATTATCATGTTATGCATAACTTTGTTATCATTCAAGAAGTGACTGTAGCTGCTGCTGTTTAATATAGCCCCAAACTTTTAGAACTTTGATTGCATTTGTGATGAAAAAGACGCATTTTCAAGAGTGATTTTTTTTTCATGAATTGTTTTCAGATCAGTCAAAGTTAAGAATTATCACTGCATCAAAAGGCGATTTTCTGCACATCCTGAGAAAAATATTAATTTTTAGAAATAATTATGATTTAGAAGCTAAATATTTAGCTACTTCAGGTAGGTAAATAAAGTAATTCAAGCTGCGTAGCTAAGTCTAGTGATTGTACCAGACATGTTTACATAGGCAATGGTCAGTATTTGTACTTCTGGTACAGAAATTCTGAATACAATATTTATATATTGTTTCAAAACTCAATTTTAAACACTATTGTAAAATTATTTTTATATTCATATTATAAATTACATTACAGAAATAAACTCCAAGTTGAGTCAAAGTCTATGACCAGACAATGGCCTGCACAGCCAGGAATGACTCAATGGTTTTGGAGAGAGAACCTTTGCAACTAAACCAAGAAACACCTGCAGAAACAAAACCCAATCACGATGATGCCGAACAGGTAGAGTTATCTCTCCTGATAGAAAACCAAGCACCTAAAAGCAATGGAAAAAATGTATCAAGTTATGCAATAGACCCTGCATACCAGAACACCACTGAAAACCCATACAGAGAAACCACTGTGACAGTGCCCCACCTTGTGAAAAAAGTCCCAGAAGATGACCTGACACCCCCACCCTGGAAAACCTTCAACCAGATTTTGATTATGTCATATGTCAGTGTATTTTTCTGTCTTTGTATTGGGGTTTTCGCCAATAGGGAGGCATGGAAAGCCAAGATGTATAATGGGAAAGGTCTGTATGGCTTAGCTCAGAAGAGGGCCAAACGGGCAGTTATAATCAGCTACATTGCTGTTGGAGGTGGATTTATAATGATCTTATTAATTATACTTGCAGTGACAGGTGCTTTGTAAATTCCCTTTTATCCAGGATCATAGTTCACTCTATTTTGGAGTGTTATGTTGTATATATATATATATTGGTGCATAATTATATTGAATGTGTATACATGCTTCTTGACTCACACCCATTATATCTTATGTTGGGAAAAAAAAACATTTCAAATGGAATATAGTTTTTTTAAAAAAATCTATTTATTTAGATGCAAATATATGCATTTTTTTTCAATTATGTACATTGGACAAAGGAAACAGCGTACTTTTAACTTGTGATAATAGATTTGACAGATTTTTTTAATTCATATATATACATTTTTACATCTGAGAAAGGACTTAACACAAAAAAAGTGTAGATTTCCAACCTGTTAAGTGAAATTCAAAATTATTTAGAAGCAGTCATTAAATCTAAACTAACATTGTCAATAATACTCTAAAAAGATAGACACAAAATAGGATACCTGATAAATTTATATCATCGTGATATATATATGAACTTGTTAATATTATTAAATGCAATTGTTTTTATGAGCTTTCATGTAAAAGTTGTGCTGATTGATTTTAACCATAGTATTTCATATACCCATGCATTGCCATGAGCATTTTATAATCTGCCTGATGAAATCAGTTATAGAAGATATACAGTGTACTAGTCCTTGATTTTCACCTTCATAAACTTGCCAATTTTTCACCATTCTGATATACACATGAGGTGAATGAGTTAAGATGTTATGCATTGTTCTGTATTATTTTTTTTTTCCACTACAATTTTCAATTTATTGTGCCTAACAAACATATATGGTACATACCAGAATTTTAATGTCACCTAAAGAAAGAAATGTTTTTATAATTCTTTGATTTGTTTATATCTGTGAAACTTTTACTTCACAACATTCCCTATTTATTATTTGACATGTGTTTTGTACAGCAATTCTTAAAACCAGTCTCTTCTACGTACAGGCCTTTGCATTGTAAAAAGAAAAAAAAAACAACAACAAAACAAAACTCAGCATTATGAATCCAGTGTTATTTCCTGCACTTGGTGTCAGTCGTGTGCGTGATGTATGATGCAGCTCATACATTTTCAGTAATACATTATTGATTTTATAATCTTTCTAAAGCAATGTTTCTAAAATAATATGGTATCATGTGGCATTGTTGAGTAAGTTTAGACCTATCATAAAATTTCTGCTATAAATGATTGCCAGACTAAATGCCATGAAGTATATTCCAGTATATGCACACACATTTGGACTCGGTTGTTAAATGATTAACAGTTCTTTGATTGCTCTACTGGTAATGCTGCTGTATTGTTCTTTTTCAATCATTTTTTTTAATTAATTTATTATATTTTTTAATTAGATGCAGAGTATTCTTCTGTTCAGTGGATATTAATAACTTTTGTCTTACCAAGATTGCAAATTATGAATTTTTTTTATAACTATTTTTCTTGTAATGGCACTTTGAATTATAAAGTTAAATTTAAATTATCTAAACATTAATTTATAAGCTACCTGTAAAGTATACATTTATTTTCCAATTCTGAGAATCAGACAATGATACCAGAGGTAAAAAGATATAATATTAATACACTGTAGATGTGTAAAAGATTGGAGTATACTTTTTTAAATGTCTCTAGTCATGCTAATGTTAAATTGTCAACAAAACAACTATTTTAAAACGCAAAATATTTAAACCAGTTTCTTTTTCTTTTACCAAGAGCTCACATTCTATATCAATACATATCATACAGGTAAAGCACACTCATTTGCTGAATAATTTTGTGCAATTTTGTTTATGAAAAACCCGGTTTCTCATACAATGCATAACCTTTTATAAAATAGTTTCCCAATTCCACAAACTTGATTTTTTTGATTTGGCCATGTGGCTGACAAGTATTTTTTTCAATCCTTTTGAATTGAACACATACATGTACATGGTATAACCTGAGCTGATTTTACGGATGAAATCCAAATATATTTTAAAAAGTTTGTGTTAATAACTTTGATAAGTAATCACTTAATATTTAGAGTATGCACATTTGATCACTAAAGAGTTAAAATATTGCATCAAGAATCTGTCAGATGAAAAGTATTTTAAATCCTACTGTACAATGTGATACCATGTTAATTTGATAATGTGCATTCAGAGTGATTTCTGGGTCAAATCTTCGGTCTAATATGCTTTGTATTTACTTCATCTGTTACCATGAGAGATTGGACTACTAGATCTAGTGGAGTAACTATCTCTTTTTTTTTAAGATATGAATATACATGTAGCATTTACTGCCACATAACATATTTTTTTACATATATAGAAAAGAACATGGGAGAAAGGCAGAGAAAATGCCTTTAGCTAATTAAACCTTAGCATTTTTTGTGAATTATTTCCTCAATGTTTATTAATGAATATTTTAATGAAAATATTAACTACATTTACATAAACCCAACTGTTGGTATTTTCCTCAGCTTGTTCCTATATGTTTTTTTTTTTTTTTTTCATTTCACTATGCATCCAAGATGATGTAGATGCATTTTAGGTTGTATTAATCACCATGATTTAAGAAAGTCTTACAAATCCATTTGCTTTTGTTCATTGCATCATTACATCACATAATATTGTTGGGTTTTTTTTTATAATCATAAATAAATAATCCCCTACCTTATAAAAAGTGATATCTTGTTTATTTTAAGGAAAAAATATAACCTCAAATACCTGCTGAAATATTGTATATTGGTATGTTGCACAGTGAATGTTCACTTTAGATGTATACCAAGAACTTTCAAATCCAATCTGGATTATAATCCTACATATTTTGACCATCTTTACATTATTAAATAACTTTTGCTTTCATTCCCTCAGTGTATCCGACATACAAAGTAGTATAAGATAGGGATAGTTATTTTTGTATAGTGCAATTCTGTGTCACATTAGTGTATACATGTACATTTTTAGATCTAAATTTTACCAAGGATCATGTTTTCAACATGGGAAATATATTGATGTTGAAGCTTAACAATGTTGTTCAAAGTATGATTCATTATTCAATTCATTTGATTATAAATATTTTACAAGTAAACTTTGCTTTTTTGATTGATCACTTTACCACTTTTTTAACAATTGCAATATACAGTAAAACATGCTCATAGTGAACTGTCAAGGACCAACAATTTTGATTTGTTAGATCTGTAATTCGTTATATCTGTTCAGTTCACAACACATTTTAAAACCATGGGAAATGAAAATCACTTTGCTTTTAAGCATAAATTCATTATAAAAGTTTTTGCTATCACCATGTTTTACTGTAATGATAATAATGTCACACTCCAAGGAAGTCCTTTCAAAGAAATAAACATAATAATTCTATGGTGAAGTATGCATGTAGAATATTTCACTTCAAAGTAACTTCGAAAGTGAGAGCACTTTTTTTGTAACAGTAAATCTCTTAGATATATCTTTTGAAACATCAAAACAGAGCAGTGGATATAACCCACACAAGTATGGTTTTCCCAACTGAGTGGTATAATTAATAACACATCACAGCTCAGACAGACAGTACAACTTAGTGTTGGACATTGTCCTTATGAAGACTCAGTGATTGACAGGCATGTAGTATCGTTTTTGAAAGGGGGGGGGGGGGGGCTGGCAACCAGAAAATAATTTGACAAACTTACATGTACCACTTACCTGAAAAAACTTGGAAAGGGTGGGGGGTAGGTTCCAACTTTTCCCCACAAGGAATTTTATTTAACACTTACAACTATTCTGCAACAAATAGAGGGGGAGGGGGTGCATTTGGCCTTTTAATAAATATTTTCAACAGTAAAAGGTATGGTCTGGGAAAAAAAGTTGGGGAGGGAGGCTGATACTATGTGCCTCCTTGAAATGTAAATGCCAAGGTGTAATGATTTTTTTAAGTTGTTCCCTAGAACTTTTCTTGGTAAACATGAAGAATAATTCTATAATACATAAAGTACAAAGATATGTTAATTGTTTATCAAACAGGGAATTCATGCCTCATAAACAAGCCATTCTTTTTCTTCTAATTTGATTGGAACACATTGAAACTTTTCTCTTTTCTTTAATTACTAGATACACATCGTAATTGTCTGTACATTTCAATAAGATCCTTCTTTGTCATGGAAGATGAAGAGACACTAGGAATATCAAGGGATGGCAAAGTACCCTGAAACAAAATCAGTCATGTATGGTATTAATCAAAAATCTCAATCCTTGGAAAGTCATACAGGCCTCTTCAGAGTACTTGTATCAATAATTCTGAGGAATTTTTAAGTGGCCTTATAAACTTAGTGAATGTGAAATCCTCTTGTCTGTGTTCTGAATACCAGTTTGTTCATGGGAAAATGAACATTTCTGGCTATGACCTCGTAAACTTTTTAGGGTAAAAAAATACTTGCGTTAATATCAAAGCATTAGATGTATTCTAACTCTAGCTTATATATGCTGTATCAAGACAGCCATGGTGTTAGATACATACTTCTTTCTCCAATTTATTCCTAAATGTGTATAACAAGTAGGTGACTTATCTGTAAGATTTAAAGTTTCTAGAGTGACATTTTTCTGGATTAAAAAAAAAGATAAATATTATACAACCTTCAGTAAGCATTCTTTGGAGTTTTCATTCTTCCCTGCATTCTTGAATTAAAAAAAAAACACTTCTAAGTGAACAATTAACAGTATTAAATATACATGTATTTCATACTTACACTAGATAATGAATAAAAGAGAACTATTTTTTGCAACATATTGTATGAATTTCAAAGGAAACTCATGAAAAAGACTGACTGATTGTGTTTTGTTCAACGACCCATTCCAGAAATTTTCACTCATATAGAGACATCAGTGATCGCTGTATGCTGGCGAAAGGCTTCGAATTTAGACCTATATGCAGCTCTCAGGGCCATTAAGCAGGGAAGGTTCTTTATCATGCCAACGCCAATACCATGCCAAGGGATCAAAGTTTTTAAGGTCTCATACAAAAGACCCACAACTTTCACAGTTTCACTGCTAATGCCGGGCACTTGGCGAGGGAATAGTCACTATATAGTCTTAAGTTTGATGTGACACAGCAAACAAGAATCGAACCCGGGCTTCCTGATCATGAAGTGAATGTCCTACCACTAGGCTACTGTGACCGGTCCATTAAAAAGAAGACCCTTTTTAGATGATGCTTTAAACCTTAAAAATGTATCCAAGTGTATCATTTTCTGTTTGAACCATAGATTCTTGCCTCATATTTTACTTAATTATTTTACTTTGACATGTTTAACCTGTTTTATATGTACATCCATTAACTAGCACCTATTTATACATACATAGTTAAACAAGCACCTGTATACGTCTAGAGGCTGCTTCTCTGACTGCAGCTGCTAAAGCGATTGGTCTTGTAGAGATGGTGATTTTCAGTGATGGCCCATCTACTCCAGTGTCCAAAATCTCCACAGATAATCTCACTAGCTCTCCTGATGGATCCACTAATCTTGCTTCTTGGTTCAAAACATCTACTTGGTGTTGACAATTTTGAGTTAAAAACTTCAAAACGCCTTCCACATCTGTAAGAGATAAAATAGTACTCTTTCGAAACTATCACAGGTAAAATTTCACTTATGACTCAGATTTTAATTATTTTTTATTTATTATCTTCTCAAAAGAAAAGCTAGATCATAACACAATACTTTTAACTGTAGTAATGATACATGTAAATGGTGTCTTTGATTAAGAGTATAGACATACCTTGGCCATAAGCTGAGATTTCAGGATTTTTCAGTAGAGCAGCAGGTACAAGAAGATGTACTTCAGATAACTGATCTTCCTCCATTCTTGCTGTGCATTTGGTTTGCATTGTATTTGCTGAGGGGCGACTTAATGCCATCTTCATAATTGAAGCATGCAACGTTAACCTTGTCTGGCAAGTTTTCTGATACAGACATTTTTCATCATAAAGAAAATTGAGGATGTCAAGTATTTCTTGATGAACCAAGATTGGTAACAATAAGCTACTTTTCTCTTCTGGTAAACTTTCAAGGTCATTTGGAAAATGGAGACAAAGAGTTAGTGTAACATGGTAATGATTGTTTGTGTTTTGAGATGGCAGATTAACTTGAATGAGTACACTGTCACTATGTCTAACACCTCTGTCTAACCTTTCATTTGCAGAAGTTGTTTTGTTTGGATTAGACTGATGAACATCCACAAGCAAGCTCCAGTCACATGACAACTTTAAACCACTCTCATTGGTCACTTTACAAGATAAAAAGAATTCACTACCCCTGACTTGCTGCAGTACAGCACACTCACACTTGAGCAGTCCTTTGTATCTTATGAGATGTGAGGCTATATTTAGTTGGGAGATGAATTCTTGTTGTCTTTCTTCCTTGGTGACTAGTGTCTGGGTTTGCAGGTGACAGTTTTCAATAGCAGTGAGGAGTTCCTTGATATGCTGACCCTGTTTTGTTGCTCTGTTGACAGTGTTTTGTTTTATTCGTACGTTGACATCTATCACAGATACTCTTCCTAATTTTGTTCTGCATAATACGTGAGAAGCAACCTCTGTAAAAAAGAAAATAATTCATCTGAATGAACAAAATATTAAAAGATACTTAACTTCACATCCTAAGTACATATATGATAGTGTAATACTTCAAAAATTCAGTAATAAATACATATGTATAATAATACTAAAACAAAAGATGAGGTTGTGGAAAAAGTATAACAAATTCTTTGATAGCATTGTATTTGACCCATCATATCAGTCTGACATTCACCTTGATAAATAAAATCTGAAATTCTTATCTGAACTGATTTTTTATAACATACATTTAAGACAAGATTTAATTTGAGGAGATACTAACAAAGTTAAATAAACATTTCAAAAGTATATATAATACTTTATCTAAAATCTTATTGGTATAATGGAGCAATGTCAAATTCAGTTATTTTACAAGTTAGTAATTATATATATATATATAAAAAAAAATACTTTACTGTACTAATCACCAAACAAAATGGAAATGTAAAAACCACATTAAAATGAAGTTCATGTTAAGATATATATATGTCATTTATATGTACCTTCAACAGCAGAGCAATCAGGTACACAATGGATCTCCTTTGCACAGGCAAATTTCAAGCTCAACATTTTTTGCACTTCCACTTCACACTTGTCATTACTATCAGAGACCACAACATCCGCTACATAGAGATCTTCACCACTGCTAATGTACAGTTTACGTCCAGTAATCCTAAAATCCACTACAGAACAAGGAACAGAAAATTGAACAAAGGCTGCTCCAAACTTTTCATTGTGTGTCAGAACAGCACAGTCTCCATTTGAGGAACACATCACTAGACAGTTTATAACTTTTTGGTCTATACGTGTATCGGAATCTGGTCTGTTCATTTCTCTGAACGTCAAATTACCTGATTGAATTCTTAACACAGGTTTACTGGTTGGGTATAAGAGCATGAAAGGTGAGAATTGTGAGGATAAGATGTTGGTCTTTATGGGACTGTAATAAACTGATCCCTCCCCTAATGTCAGGAGTAAAATTGGGGAATTGCATAGTGGTACTACCTCACCACAAATACTTTTAAAAAGTTCACATGAAATATGTAGAGTGGAACTGCTTCTTCTTCTATCTGAATGATTAATCAAATCACATGTCAAAACAAATAGCTTACAGCTGGAACTTTTCATGTGTCCTCGTACTTCTAGGATGTTTTCTGTGAGAGACTCAGCCAAACTATGACTTACATCACTAGGGTATGAGTGCACTTTAACACAGTTGTCATCCTCTGTGACTGTAAAAATGAACCCCAAAGATTGGCAGACATCTAGAACTGGACACCTCAAGGACAGAATGATATGGGATGGTGTTAAAGTATAAACAAAAGTATCAGGGCTGACAGCAGCTGGTCTCTCAGTGGCTTCACAAACTGGAGAGGAGGCATCTAACAGGTCAGTGAAGATTTGCTGGTTTTCTAAAGAAGTCTGGAAACTGAAAAACAGTGGGAAATCAAAATGCTGATATCATGCTATAAAGAACTCTCAATAATTTTGAAGTGAAAAGGTGAATTTATCCATTTGAAGAGGCTGTTTTAGAATTTCAATCATTGAAAGGGTTAGGGTGACAAATTGCTTCCTGTCACCCTTATTGAAAGCCCTGCTATAGTACATGTATTCATTTTATATGTTCTTTATATCATTACTTTTACTTTATAATTGGATTACATTGAATCAAAGTTTTATCAGTGAAAGAGAAAATTCATAAATAGTTTAGAATTACTATATTTCTAACATGTCTCTGAACTGAATTTTACTCAAATTATGAGCCCTTTTCTTGTACAAATTTGAATTGAAAATAGGTAGTTCTATCTTTTTTTAAAATCATTCAAAAGTTTTTACTTACTCAACCTGTGCTTGCTCATACTGTGTCTTGAACTCTGAAAAACTTGTTCTGTAAATTTGTCCTGAGACTGACCCTAGAACTAAGATCCACCCCTCTGCTTCAGAGTCATTGCTTGGTGTTATTGAAAAGCTCTTTATTTTATCCGGTATCCGAACAATGGCCTGAAATTATTCAAAAAAGTATTGGCAGTGTAATTGATAAAAAAGATTATATATTGTTATACTAGTATTTTTATGTTGAAATAGTCAAATCTGACTGGTTTAGAAACATTTGATAAAAAGTACTACCCTACTGTGTGCATAAACCACACCCTCAGGGCTCAGGGTAACATTACTTAGCAATGGTTGAAAATGCATGACAACGGGTAACAGTATGAAAATTTTTAACTGCACAGAATGTTTGGGTGTTCACCATGACACTTTCCTTTAAATTCATTCTAAATACACTCAGTATAACCACAAAAAAATATGACCAAATATCGAGGTACGAGCCATGCAAGGAACCCCAATTGCATTCCTCCAAACTTCTGCCAGAATTCATTTAGACAAACCAAATTTCCACAAGAGTTTTAATCATGGATGTAAATTATCCTAATTTGGAATGCATAATGCTGTACCTGGTAATGTCTCTGTGTTAAGAGATACAAAAAGCACTATGGGTTGTTTGGCATTTGTCAAGCAAATTTTGTGTGAAACTTTCCTAGAATTCTTTTGCTACCACAATTCCATGTGATAATGGCGAATATAACAGGCCTGCTGTTGTAGTGAAGATTAAGTTCTTATAGGGAGTTTAAAAGAAACAAAAAATAATTGTATCTGCTCTTGAATGGTTTTCATTTTAAAAAAAATGCACTATCTAAGACTCCATTAGTATGGAAATGCAGCTAACATAAGACATCATGTGATGTTTCAATCTAGACAGTGTCTCGTACAGTTTGAAGAGTGCAGGTGGGGAGTCTGTTGTGTCAATTATAACACACAACCATTTGATCTGTCATTTCAATCTCATTATCAAGAATTGAGTTGAGACACATTGCCTGATAGCTGAGCAAAATTAACTTAAAGAAAATAACACACAATTGTACCATAAAAGTCTTTCTGGCTTTATGGGACTTGATCACATGACCAAACCTGTATTTTATACCAGGTCCAGTACATTTAGCTACGTAGCTAAAATTACCTACCGTAGCTTTATTTACCTACCTCAGGTAGCTTTATTTAGCTATTTCAAGGCAACTTTTCACAATTTTGCTTTTTATCTTAAAAAGACAAAAAATTGCAAGTAAATGTCTACTATTATTTATTCAATGTATTATTTAAAGAGCAATCCAAAGCAGAGATAGTTTTAACATTGCTGCGTTTGAACACTTTTAAGGAAAAAATGTATTTCCATTGTTTGAGTAACGTACTGTACCCCACCATGTGTGCAATGAGGCGTGGATAAGTATGATTGCTTCACATTGTGCTCATGTTCACCAAAACTGGTTTACTTTGTTATTTCATTCTACAAATAACTGTTTGGTCACAAATTGACTGTTGTATATAGCCCCCAAACTTTTAGAACTTTGATTGCAATTGCGCAGAAAAAGACACATCTCCAAGAGTGATTTTTCATGAATTGTTTTCAGATGAGTTCAAAGCTGAAAATTATCACTGCATCAAAGTGCTATTTTCTGCACTTTCTGGGAAAAATGCTAATTTAAGAAATAAGTTTGATTTAGTAGCTAAATAAAGCTACTTCAGGTAGGTAAATAAAGCTATGTAGGTAATTCAAGCTACGTAGCTAAATCTAGTGTGAGATTGTACCAGACCTGTATTATGTATACATTTCCAAAAAAAGTTTTAAAATGATACTCTATTTCTTAATTGAATGCATGGCGACTTTTTCTAAAAAAAAAAAAAAAAACATCATGTGGAGTAAAGCAAAATTGTGCACCAGCACTAGTACATGTAATACACATGATTCAGAATATTGTAGGACTCATAGGTAACATTGTACATTGTATCTCTGTAGTCTGTTGTAAATAAATTCTAAGCATGTGTTTTTTTCAGTTGATTCATTAAGAAGGTCTCACCTGTAATTTCTCGTTTCTAAATATATTAACATTTGTTGGTATACAGGAATGAAAGACTGAAATTGACGATTGAGACATACTATATATTTCTTTCCGAATTTCCCGCAAAATCATGCGATTTCCGGGACATGCATATCTTTCGTCGTACGTAAAATGTTTCGTGGCATGTCCGATAGACATCAATGAAGAGGCCCAAGGGCCTTAACGGTCACCTTGGTATAATACAACAATTTAGAGGATCCATAGAATACAAAAAAAAAACAAAAACTGATGGATGAAGCTTTGTTGCAAGAGAAATAGGATGATCAGGATCACTGGAATAATTAGTCTAGACTCATAAATTAAATTCTAATCTATCACCCATTTATCACTATCACCATGCAGACTAATAACAAACTATTAGTTTTTTACTACTTTTAACCCCATATTGTGACCTCTCATATTGGCCTCTCTTGGTCAATTTTATTTGAGGCTGCGCCTCGGTTGACAATGGTTTTTTGGGGGTGAAAATTTTCAATGTTACACTCAACTAAATGCAATATTTATATATTAGAGCCCTGGCCAGGACCAGAACATTTGACCAAATGGTCCTGATGTTCAAAAATCTGGTAAAATATCCTTGTTTAACGTTTGCCTTCGATATGCCAAGGAACAAAGAAGATTTTCAAAGAAATAATGCATTTTCACTATGGATTCAACACAGCCCTACCCAAACACCAAAACCCATGTCCCAGGGTCATGAAATTCATAAATTTGGTAGAGGTACCCTCATCATCATAACTATGCACTTCGTTGAAGATTTTCAAAGAATCAACACATTTTCACTATAGTAGCAATATAACCCCCCACCCCCACCCCACCCCCACCCCCCGAGAAACACCAAAACCGTGGAACACAAGTTTAAAAAAATTGGAAAAAGCACGATTGTTCATCATAACTATGCTCTTTGTTTACCTGCTTAACAAAAAGGGACAGACAGGATTTTTTAACAGAAATAGTGCATTTTCACTATATTATCTATAAAGCACCAGAACATCTGACCTAGGGGCCATGAAATTCACAATTCTGGAAGAAGCACTCTTGTTAAACATAACTATACACTTAGTTTCTTTGATTTATAACCAGGAACAGAAAATATTATTTTCAAAGGATTTAATCATGCTTTTTCACAATATAACCAATAGAGCCCCCCAACCCCAACCCTTGGGCCATGAATTTCACAATTTTGGAAAAGGCATTATGGTTTATCATAACCATGCAGTTAGTTTGTTTAAATAATACCCAGGAGCAGAGAATAAGATTTTCAAAGAATTAATGCATTTTCACTATATTATCAATAGAGCTCCGCCCTAACACCAGAACCCCTGACACAGGGGCCATGAAATTCACAATTTTGGAAAAGGTATCCTTTTGCATCATAACCATGCACTTAGTTTGTTTAAATAATACCCAGGAGCAGAGAGGAAGAATGCATTTTCACTTTATAATCAATAGAGTCCCGCCCTAACACCAGATCTAGAACCCCTGATCCTGGGGCCATGAATTTCAAAATTTTGGTAGAGGGCCCGATGCTTATTACAATCATGCCAACACTTTGGCTGCTTGATGTCCAGGAGTAAAGATTTTGAAAGATTGAATCAATTTTGGTGGTTTTAGCCCCACCCCTCAGGCCCCAGTGGGGACAGGGACCATGAAATAGACAACTTTTGTTCCCCTTTACCCATAGATGCTATATGCCAAAATTGGTTGAAATTGGTTTAGCGGTTCTAGAGAAGAATTATTATATAAGCTGTCCTCGATTTTAGTGTAAGCTTTAAAAATATAAGAAATTATCAATGTTCATAAAGATTATATGCGTCTGTAATTACATAATATAATCAATATTAGTTTTGTGTTTACTAGATTTGTAGGTCAGTTTTGAGAAGTCAAAAATGTTAGATAGGAGGGCTGGAGCAGCAGAATCACCAGGATCAAAAAGAATCCCATAGAAAGCCTAGAGGTTGACACAACGATTATGGAAACACCTGAGATTCGTACATAGCACAGCTACCAATCAGAGATCTGATATTGTTATTTGGTCTCCATCCTCTAGGTTTACAGTGCCGACGGAGGGTAGAACCAAAAAATCCCACTAGCGGAAGCTGAACAAGTAAAAGGATTTGGTTGGAGAAGTCAGCAGCGAGACTGGAGAGTGTGGCATCCTCCAGTGGAGATGCCGAGGATTTGTGGGGGCTTTCCATGTGGAGGGATTTGCGGGTCATCGGAATAACAGGAACTGAGAGACGGTAATTTATCAGAGGTCTTAGGGAAGCAGAAATGGAATCCATGTGTTTATGGAAGAAGCGTGAAGAGCAGGTTGTAGTGGACAGGTCAAAACAACCTGTGAAGGAGATCCACTTGATGACAGGACCATGATGTATTGTACTGTAGATTCCTTATTCTTAGCGAGTATTTGATATAGCGAAATGGCTATATTAAATTGCGAGAACAATAATTCGCGAGTGGAGGGTTGATCAAGAGATTTTATATGGATTTCAGTACCATAAATGGTGCTTCTCGCGAAATTACGCGATAAATACTTCCTCGCAAATATTTAAGAATCTACAGTATTCTATCAAGATGTATACAGGCATATGCTGGTATCTAAAATGATTAAAGGAATCTCTTTCTAAAGGAAATACAGTCAACCTTGTCATAGCGGTCACCTTTATCCAGCGGGCACCTGTCCTATGCGGTCATTTTATTTCCTCCTGGGCAATAAATTTTCCTATATAATGTAACTCTATTAAGCGGTCTCCTGCGTAACGCGGTCAGCGGTCATCAAATTTCATGGAAAATCGCCGTTTTACCTCGTATACATACTCATATTGAAATGCATGAAGTGTTATTATATTACAGTGTACAAATGTACCATGCAGTATTTGACCTATTCGTAACTTTTGCATGGTTAATAGGAGAACAAGGCTTTGTAATTTAGTATAATGTGAATATGCCAGGTTAGCAGAAAACATACAAAAATTACACTGGTAAAGAAAAATAATGTACATGTGTGTTTGTAGTATTATCGTTGGCCATTTGAGTCTTCATTTGGGTCTCCATTTACTTCCATTCCGCTTTTGGTGAATTCTTTCACCCAGTGTTCTAATCGCCCAGGCGACCCATTGCTATCTGTTTTCGTCCGTCGTCCTGCGTCAACATTTGAACACTTTTTTTAACCCAAGTTCTTCTCTAGAACTGCTGAACTTATTTCAGCCAATTTTGATAAATAGCACGAACAGACAAAGAGGTACAAAAACTGTGTTTTTCATGATCTCTCTCCTTTGGGGCTTGAGGACCAGGACCAAACTACTTGTATAATTTTTATTTGCATTCTATAATGTTCCATTTTTATTCTATAATTTTCCATATGTATTGTATAATTTTTCGTTTGTATTGTATAATTATACAATAGAAATGGAACATCATACAACAGAAATGAAAATTCATACAATACAAATGGAAAATTATTCAATGCAAATTGAAAATTATATAATACAAATGGAAAATTATACAATACAAATGAAAAATCATACAATACAAATAAAAATTAAAATATAGATGGAAAATTAATTATAGAATACAAATAAGATTTTTACAATACAAATGAAAATTATACAATACAAATGGAAAATTATACAATGCAAATGGAAAATTATGTATGTACATTACAAAAGATCGAAATTTTGCAACGTTTGACATGCCATACCTTTTAATGAACAGAACATTACATTTTCATGGTTGAAAAAAATCAAGTAAAGAAAATCTGCATATATTATCAGTTTTTGACTGCAACGTTTGCCACTTTGTTTTCTGGGACATCATGCGACATCAAAAAGAAGAATTTAGTCAGAAATCGATCGAATGTGCACCGAATGGAATGGAAACGTGCACAGACCTTCGGTGAAGTATTCTCTATGTAATGTGAGAGCTTTTTTTCCTTTAGTTGTACTTATCATTGTGCTACTTTCGATTTCGTTTTTCCAGTTTTACACAACGCTATGCTGGTTTTATCGAGATTTAAAAGGGCTCATTGAAATATATTTATTGTAGCTAACGCATTTTAAATGTAATATGATTTGTTTTTGTATAACTATTAATTGTCTGCGCACAGGCGTGGCCATGTTAACTTTTTGCTATTTAACTTGTTTAATATAGCTAGCAGAAAAATAAAGGTTTTATGCTGTATTTACACGCATATTTTTCTGCGACCTGTCGTAACAAAAACAGGTAATTCCAAGGTTATTCCATCCAGTTAATTAATCCATCTTGTTCGCGGACAATTAAATGATATTCACGTAAAAGCCAAAGTCTACGAAGAGGTGTAAGTGACATAAAAGAGCTAGACTGTATAGTGTTTACAAAACATTTAAAAATTTCTTTGAAAAATACATTTCAGAAATTAGTTAAGTAGTTAATTAGTTAAGTAGTTAATTAGTTAAGTAGTTAATTAGTTAAGTGCTTTAAAATGAATTTTGAAGATAACGAACAGTGATCATCCTCAAAATTCCACGTAAAAATACATATTATGAGCAGATCCAACCCAGACCTCTGAAAACAGAGGTGGGATCAGGTGCCATGGAGGAGTGAGCATCCCATGTCAACCGATCACCCGTCATGAGCCCTTTGTCTTTATTGGGAATACGGAAAAATCCGTAGTCATGCAGTTCAGTATGGAAATAGGAAATTATATTTTCATGCATAATATATTCTGTAGCGTGAACCAGTGGACCTGAATCACAAAACTTAGGAAAAATGGGGACTAAAGGGGCCATAATTGTCTTAGTGGTTGGTGTTTCGGTTGTATACTTCACAAACCGAAAATCTCAAACGGAGGAACCAGTTTCATTCAACTCTTCGTATGATTACATCATATGTAAGTGTTATAAGCCCTAAATATGGCTTTGTTTCATTTCAATCAAAAGAAGTCATTGGAATTGTAGTAATTGAAACCATCTTACTGGAAATATTTTATGCCAATAAGCTGAGTATTTTTATTTACGTGAATTTACTGCATGGTGTACTGGAATCTTAATTGTACGTAGTGGAAGCTCTTGTGTACCAAGTTGGTTTTACTGTGAACAGTTATATAAATATTTATTTTTTTATTTTGATAAATATCTGTTCAGTGGGAGCTGGAACAGCAGGGTGTGTACTTGCAAATAGACTGTCAGAAGATCCAGAATCATCGGTTCTTATTCTAGAAGCTGGGGGTTCCGAGGATGAAAACATGAACATAAGTATCCCAATCGCCTCTTCAAGTATCCAGCTATCAAAGCAAGACTGGAAGTTCCGAACTGTATCTCAGAAGAAGGCATGCTTGGCAATGAAGGATAAGGTACATTGAAACTCCATAAAATATTGCATGCACCTTCTTTAAAATTGAATCCAAAATACTTTTTAAACATTTTAAATGTAACAAAAAAAGTCTGCATGTTGAATTAATATTTTTAGAAGTGTGCATGGCCGAGAGGAAGAGTACTTGGGGGTACAAGTAATTTGAACTTTATGCAACATGTTCGCGGCAGTCGCCATGACTACCATGGCTGGGCCAAGGAGGGGTGCACGGGTTGGAGCTATAAAGATGTTCTTCCGTATTTCATTAAATCTGAAGATATACAAATTCCAGAGCTTCAAAGTTCAAGTAGGTATTTTATTTAATAAGATTAATGTTTACTTGAAGATTATAATTTTTAATTTTTATTTGCATTTTTTCCTTTCATTTACATAGTTTCCTTTCGTATTCTTTTAAAGTAGAAGAATCTTTGATATATTTTTTTCATATCTTTAAACAGCGTATCATGGAAAAGGGGGATATTTGACAATCAGTGACGGAAGTGCCACTCCTCTCAATAATGTGTATAGCAGAGCAATGCAAGAGTTAGGTCACCCTATCACAGACTGTAATGGAAAATCGCAAATAGGTAGATTGGAATGTTTTTTCTTAGATATTTATTTAAATAAAAATTATGAGTATTACGATTATCAGAGTTTAATGTGCTGCCCTTTTTTTTTTTTTTTACAAATTCTTTTCTACACGAAAAAAGGACTGTAAGCCATTCATGTCGTGTTATTGCATTTACTGAAAACATCTGGTATGATGGAAAGAGAAATCAAATGCTGACCATATAAAAAAAACATGTATCTGAAAAAAAAAAGAAATTTTTAGGCCATACATTATTAGTCTTCATTGCCTTTTTTTATCGGAAGTGTCCTTCATTTAGCCATCTTTTCTATACATTTCTTAGATGTATACTGCTTTCATTTTTATTTTAACATTATGTGTATAACGTAAAATTTTAACATGATTTTAATCCTAAAGGATATTGTACGTCTCAAGAAACAACAAGAAATGGAGAGCGTTGGAGTTCCGTCAAAGCATTTTTACGACCGGTAATGAAGCGACAGAACCTGCATGTCTCCTCGAATTCGCATGTCACTAAGGTAGATGAATATTAATTTAGGCATTACCATGGACGTCTGGATATCTTTAAAGAATTCATCTTTTTGGCAACGAAAAGTCCAATAAATCATTTCAAAAATAGTTCCATTGTCTAATGTTTAAAACAAAATCTTTCTTTCAAGGTTCTGATTAAAGATAAGAAAGCGATCGGGGTATCGTTTGTGAAGGACAACAGGAAGTACGTCATTATGGCAAATAAGGAGGTGATTGTCTCTGCAGGCGCGGTGCAGTCTCCACAGATCCTGATGTTGTCTGGAATAGGACCAAAGGAACATCTCAAATCCATTGGGGTACGACAAAAATACATATTGCAGACAATTTTTAATGCTTGAAATGGCGAGCTATAGAACACACAATTTAATACATTTGGATTTTTTTAATTAACTTTAATGCATTTCTAAAATACGGAAGAAAAAAATGAATAAATTACACTGAATCATCTAGTACAGGGATATCCTTTATTCTCTCATTCTTGAATATTTTAACTTTTTTGCAACTTTATTAAAGTTGTTTTAAAAAAGTTGTTAACAATAACATCATTGCTATTTAGATCCCAGTGGTTACAGATCTACCAGTTGGGGAGAATTTACAGGACCACATTATGACTATTGTAGATTTTCATGACAACACTTCGAGTGTGACCACCAAATCCAAGATTATATCACCAATTACCATAATTCAATACTTGGCCTTTAAGTCAGGTAAAGCTTATCGAGTTATCTTCCGGAAATTCTTATTTTGGAAGACGTTTTACTGCTAGCAGCATTTCAGAGAGCAGAGAAAATACTTATTGCTCCTTTGTTCACTATACCCAATATGACAATGTACATATAAATTTATATACCATATAGTAATCTGTGTTTAGCCAAAATGACACTTAATTAATGTAAAATAGAAAACTGCACGCAAAAACTTTGACAAATAGAATTTCCTTTGCATTGCTTGATTTCATATTTTACCCAATTGTTTGAACTTTTGAAGATTTTCACAAGGCTTTCTAATGGAATAAACATAATTTATTGAGTTTGTTAAATTTAATTAAAAATAACTTTTCAGTAAAGTAAATATTAAATTTATATTATACATTATTTGTGCTAATCTGTTTTTTTTTTTTATTATTATATACTTTTTTCAAGATTTAGTAATGTACGAGTATTATTTTTCACTTGATATTATTCAAAGGCGTCTTTTTTTCATTTTTTAGCATTTTGTTTGATATTTTTTCCCCACACCTTCGAGAAAAGATGTACAGTAGGTCTGTATTTGACAAGACAAGAATTCCTCAATCTTTTTTAATTTAGGTTTAATGAGCAAAACGCATCTGGAGGGAACTGCCTTTCTCACGGATGACGAAAAATTACCGCCATCTCTTCAGTTTCATTTCTCGAGCCTCATGTTTGATTCAACAATGGTTGACTTGCTTTTTAGTCTTCTTAATCTTGACCAAAAGGTAATTAATCATATTTCTTTTACAAATACATCCAATGAATTTCTACAAGATAATATCAGTATAATATTTTCTAAATCATTGACGACATAAATCAATGACTGTATGACACAAAAGTAACAAATTCTTCTTAATATGAAATCTTCTTTGTAACAATGTTTATTATCATTTTAATTAAATTTATTAGCATTTGAAACATGATTTATTTAAAAAAAAAAAAAAGGAAGAAGAAGGGGAAAATGCATATGAAAATATCTTGAAAAAATCATATTCAGTGTTTTAAAATTCTAAAGCTAAAGGATGGCACACAGAGGGCATTTCAAAGAAACGTAGATAGAAATATAGGGACATTTATGGGATTACCAATTCTTCTTCATCCCAAGAGTAAAGGGACCATACGCCTTCAAAGTGATGATCCCTTTGATCCGCCACTTATAGATCCTAACTATCTCGACCACCCGGATGATATCAAAATGTTTCTGAGAGGTATGAACGTTTACAGCTATGTATGCTGGGCCTGTATATGGCACACTGGATACTTACATAGCTGTGTTACTCAATGGTATTCACATCTGTTGTCTGTTTATTCCAAAAACGATATAAAGAATTGTTGATAGTCAGTATTAAGTATTATTTCAACATATACTTCACAGAATTTGGACTTACGGTGAAGAATTACGAATTTGTTTAAAATATAACTCAATTTATATTGATTTGATTATTTTAAATATATATATCAGATCCAAAATTCTTTGAATTATTTCGAATCGCAAAAATTCTCATTTTTATCATAATTCAAACCTAATATTGGAGAAAATCTTATCTTTTTTAAGATACCTGAGGCTTAAAAAATACATAATGCAAAAATGGATCTAAATTGAGGTATTATGTAGTCTTTTTATTAGAGATAAGCATACAAATGTTGTCCTTTTCCTAAATTGCTTATGGAAATACGTTTGTCGGTATTTTAAAATTCTTTTTCAGCTTAAATTATGACAGCTTTATTGATATGTGCACTGTATTCTACGATTAACTACTGATTAATGTTATAACGACCTTATTGATCTTTAAGGAGTGCGGGAGATGTTGAAACTTGGCGACACTGCTGCGTTCAAGTCAATTGGTGCCTCTTCACAGGATCCATTAGAGGCATATACACCTCAGTGTGACAACACTTCTCCTGGTTCAGATGAATACTGGATCTGTAGACTGAGACATTACACATATACAGTGTTTCATCCTACGTCCACTTGTCGAATGGGTGCCAAACAAGATCCAACAGCAGTGGTTGATCCTGAACTCAGGTGTGTTTTCATAAAGCACAAGTTCTATTCCTAGGTTTTAAATGTAATATGCTTCATTTATAATTTTCTTAATGCTGGCCACAAATATTGGAATTGGTAGCGGAATATGACATGTAATCTAAAGGTCAATGTTTACAATGAACAACAGTTATTTTCATGTGTCCGACAATCTTATTTTCATTACACAGAGTGAAAGGGGTCTCAAATCTACGAGTAGTTGATGCTTCTGTCATGCGCAACGTACCTTCCGGAAATACAAACGCTCCAACCATAATGATTGCAGAAAAAGCAGCAGATATGATAAGAAATATTGACAGTGTGAAATCTATTAGAGAAAGAACTGATAAACTTTGATTTATTTTGCACATGTACAATGAAACCGTTCACTATAAGTGAATGGCTGTACAGGGATGATGTTAATCAATGATAGGGTTATTATAGGTCGTCAATCGTGGATATTTCATAGGTGACACAGATCGTGGAAGACCAGGAATAGAGGTGAATATAAAGTGAAAATGATGGGAAATGTTGCTACAAAACATGCATAGTAACACACATCATTGAATAACACATCACTGAGACAAATCCTGCAGGTATAAAGTCAGTGTAATGTTTACAATTCTTATAATTTTAAAGGAGGAGTAAGTAAATGGAGGAGTAAGTATCCCCTGTCGACCGATCAAACCTGCCTTGTGCTCCTTGTCATGATAGGGCAAACGGAAAAATCCGTAGACAATTCTGTGAAAACAATTGCCTAACAATTTGTAGGAAAAACGTCATTCAACATTTGACCTAAAGATAGATTGTACTTGCTGACAAGGGCATTGATTATAACTCAATTTTAAGCAAGTCTTGCTTGCTCTCTCTCTGAAAAATATATCCTAGTGCCCCTTTGCTTTTTACCTATGATAATTACTCACTGTAAATAATGTAATTGAAACTTGAACTGAAAGCCACTTTAGCTTTTCCAATGTCAACTTTCCTCATTATGTAGTAATATTCTACTATCACCTGTAGATGGTGTAATTTATGTCTCCCAGCTGATTCGAAATGCAAGAGCATGTTATGAGTACGGTCAATTTTTCAGCCTAGGCATACAACTAACAAAGTACTCCATAATAAGGAAAGTTGGTTTACCTGATGATTACAAAGGGCTGACGGCAGTTATGTCCGGTCGACAGGGGATGCTCACTCCTCCTAGGTACCCTGATCATACCTCTGGTGTTTCCAGGGGTCTGTGTTTTAATCCTCTTCATGATTTGTATTGCTTTATGATTTATGAAATCGATCTCTGTTCGTTATCTTTTCCTTCTTTATTCACATATTTAGCTTCCTCCCATAAGTATTGCCTTGGCATACTTTGAAAACAGTACACTATTTTTGTTGCTAAAGAATATGACGTTTTTACATTGAAAAAAATAAAAATCTTGAAAAAGAATCTTTTGAATGAAAAGGAATGTTGGAAAAGTCTTTGAAAGATCATTGCGAAAAAGATAATTTACTTTGATATTTTTCTTGTTATTTCTCTGCAATGACGTACGTGTCCTTTACAATCTAAATCTTGAACATTTTGGGGGTGGGTGGGGTGAGGTGGGGGATATCAAAATATTTCAGGGATCGTGAAAAGTTAGACACTGTTGCGTACAGGCCGAAAACGTTTGGTTCTCCATTTTTTTTCTTCACATATTCATATATTATGTTTGGCAATGCCTGACAGAGTTCAAAATCATTGTAAAGCATTAAATAATCTTTATAACAAAAGCCAAAAGTAAGTTAGGCCTAGAAACACTTGAATATTTCCTAATTTTATCACCCTCTGTTCAAAACTATTCAAAAAATTCCTTTTCGTTTGCGAGATATTTTAAATAAGAAATATTTAGAGCCCACTTTATTTTCATACATATATAATGCCTTATCCATAACAAGGAAATATTTAAAAATATTTACTGCTAGAAAATATTTAAAAATATTTTAAAAAAAAAAAAACTTTATCAATATTTGTTAAACTTTAACCTAGACATGTTGCTGAGTAAACTAATGTTGATATTTTGATAGGTTTACTGATATCTTTAACCTTCAAGGAATTGATTAATTTATCGAATATAGTTTCTTATCTTAAGAACACGTTAAAATGTGAACTTGCTTGAAATTAAGCACGAATGTTTCTCCATATATAATAAATCTGTGAAATACATTATATAATGCATAATCAAATAAATAAACTTATTTAAAAGGTATTGTAATTTTTTTTTTAATTTAAAAATATTTACAATGTTGTTTTTTTTTTTTTAATTTTGTATTTTCTAGAAATAACTTATTGAACTACATTATATGATAGACACAAGCAGATGAAAAGGTCACTATTTGTTTACTTTTTACTTCTATTCAGGTCAAAATGTAGAATGATTACCTTAGGAATAACCAGTATCATGTGGTGATATTCTAAGCTGATGTAGTTACTGTACGCGTTCAGTTAATGTGGTAATGTATTCTGATTTTATACACCAATAGCCTCTTAACATTTTATTTTTTTTATTTAAAATGTCATTTACCTATAACTGGAAAGGCGCTATAGGCCTTCTCGTATAGATTCTGTCCCTCATTGTTTACAAATCCACTATTATTATTTAGGATAAGTTAAATGTTTATCATTGCCATATAAAATAAACATACTGTAAGTGTTTTGCAATTTTTTGTAATTTGTACTTTGAACAAGTAATATTAAGGAGTACAACTCGAATCAAATATACATGTACAATGGTCAATATGTACGGTAGGATGAAAGGAACATAAAAGACGAAATCGATAGTAATTCGACCAACGTAAACAAAAATATATTGTTAAGAGTTTTAAGCTCAGGACTTTGTATGGTTTCTGAGATATTTAGAAATAAGAAGAAAAGTTTGTTAAAGATATTTCACGAACTTTCTTCCAAGATGTTGTAAAAAAAAATAAATAAGAGGAAAAAAAATCTATGTAAATAAAAACAATGGATGTGACCATAACAAGTGACAGTTCTAAAATCAGACAGGAAAAAGATGTCAAATCTAGAATCAGGCAGGAAAAAGATGTCAAAGACAGACATCCAACAACTACAAAATTGTCCTTTCTAGACTCTTAGTGAAGTGATTTTACTTTCAAAGCCGGTGATACATGAATGAATTGTAGGTATTACTTAAAACAGTTACTGTCTGTGCATTTTGTTAAAGTTGTATTTTATTAAGCAGATAAAACCATAAAAAAACATGATGTTAGAACGGGTGGGTAAAAGGTCATGATAATATGGTGCAATGGGTGGGTAAAAGGTTATGATGATATGGTTCAATGGGTGGTAAAAGATTATGGTAATATGCAAAATTAATGTGATTATGTAAGCACTTTTCTTACATGTAGCTATTTTCATTTTAATTGAACTTTTTCATTATAATATGTGAAAGACTCTTTAACTTTTTTAAACAATTCATGAAAACACATTGGTTATTCACAAATACACAATAATCCAATTAAATCAGATTTAGTGTTCAAGAGATGCTTTATTGCATAGACATTTTGAAGATAATTCCAGTGTAATTAAAAGAATATTCAGAGTCCAAAATATAAACCTTGAATTGTTTTGATACTTTGATCTTGATAGTCATTAGTGTGTTTGAGAATCTATCTATTTGCTTTCTAATTTGAAATATGTTTCTTTCTTTTGAAAGATTTTACACAATATCAATTAAAGCATGTCCAAATAACTCTAAAAATGGCTTTTAATAGAATTAACACATTGAAGTGAAAATGTTGCTCGTAAATGCTAATAGTTTAATATGAAGAATAGAATTATATCCAAAATTTTTATTGAGTATTTCTGTTGCATTATGCTTTATTTTTTATGGACAGAATTTTTTTGCAGTGAACCAGTGAACGGTAATTAGAAAACGATGGGATCTAAAGGGACCATAATAGCGTTAATTCTCGGTGTTACAGTTGTGTATTACACAAACCGAAAGACTCCAACAATGGAACTTATCTCACTCAACTCCTCGTATGATTACATTATATGTAAGGAATTACTTCAATACAGAACGATGAGGGTTATTAACAAATGCTTAAGACAGCCGGTAGAAATTTTCTGTAATTTTTTTTTAAAGTAAATAAACTGATTTAAAGAACCTTTACTATTTTCCGTTGTTTGCAATTTCCTTCAGTGGGCGCTGGATCGGCAGGATGTGTCCTCGCAAACAGACTGTCGGAAGATCCGGGGTCATCGGTGCTTGTTTTAGAAGCTGGAGGTTCCGAGGATGAAAACGAAAATATAAGTGTCCCAATTGCTTCAGGCCTTCTTCAGTCATCGAAACAAGACTGGAATTTTAAATCCGAACCCCAGAAAAAAGCATGTTTGGCAATGCGGAATAAGGTACAAATCACTTATATTAGCAACTCAGGAGCATTTTATATGCGACAAAAGCACAAAAGGCAATATTAAGTATGTCAAAGTGGAATAACTGCTAGTGCTGTTACTTACATATTAAAAAATGATATAGAATTTTTTAATTTAATCTTCATCACCGAAACCGTTCACGGTATCTCAGTCGGTAGAGCGCTCGGTCCGTGATCGGGAGGTCGTGAGTTCGAATCTCGGCCGCGACTGACCTAAGTCGATAAAAAATGGGTAGCAACTGTTCCTTCACCATGCGCTCGGCACCTTGAAGTGAAAGTTGCGGGTCCTTCGGATGAGACCTCAAAAACCGTGTCACGGTAGGCGCTGGCACGATAAAGATCCCTCACTGCTCAATGGCCCTGAGAGCCGAGTAAAGGTCAAAATTTGAAGCCCTTCACCGGTATATGGTGTCGTCTCTATATGAGTGAAAAATTCTCGAATGGGACGTAAAACAACATACAATCAATCAATCAATCATCACCGAAATGGGTGTTTGTTATCACAGTGTATTTATAACAGCATTGCGCAGATGTAAAGAAAAGAATTGCAATTATATATATATATATATATATATATATATATATATATATATATATGTATATATGTATATATATATATATATATATATATATATATATATATATATATATATATATATATATATATATATATATATATATATATATATATATATATATATAGACTGATTCCATTTTGTGAACAAAATGTTAAGATCAATCACCATTTGTCCTCTGAGTACTAAATTTCCATTGAAAATGCTTGGAAGGCCAAATAAAAATAGTCCTATTGATCTCCTCTATGCAAATTAAAATTCCTCAACCTTCTGATCCCCCTATGAATTTCTTCCTTAACACATGATATTCTAAAAGAAATCTTATTTATAATTAAAATGCACAAAATTTTAGCATAGCATGCGGGGCAAAACTATACATAAATGACATGTTAACCTGTTAATTTGATAATTATCAAAAAAGGATAACAGTTATTCATTCCGTGGCCACCCAGAGTTATCTCTCTTATCAGAGAGTCAATGAACCTTAAAGTTAGGTTAAAGGCAATGCTGGGTCTAAAATAACTTGTGAAGTCCATTTAAAATTGTACAACTTGAAATTCCAACTTCATACTTGCTACAATGATGCATGGTGCCAGACGGAATGACCTTTTTATCTCAGGTCCAAAGATCTCATGTTGGCAACAGGCATCATAGTTTGTACACGGAATTTTAAAAGTACCACTCCACCTTTCACTTTCATAATTCCATGTGGCTGAAATTAGTTTATCTCACTGTCAAATAGTCGAAGAGCAGTGACTCAGGTTCGACAATTGTTTTGACACAATTTAAATATTCGTAGGTGAGCACTTGGCTTCATGAATTATTAAAATGTATGAAATCCAGTTGCAAAAGATTTGTCCTCTCTGCAGTGCTCCTGTCTTATTTCCGAAAAATTTAGAACTTTCTCGACATTATTATCATCATTATTGGATTCACATGGATTTGTTTGTTTGTTTTTCTTTGTTTTGATTTTTTATAAATTATATAATGATATCTCTTGTGATTACTTTAGCAATCTTCTTGGCCAAGGGGAAGAGTACTTGGAGGTACAAGTAATTTGAACTTCATGCAATATGTCCGCGGCAGTCGCCATGACTACGATGGCTGGGCCAGAGAGGGATGTAAAGGATGGAGCTATAAAGATGTTCTTCCGTATTTCATTAAATCTGAAGACATACAAATTCCGGAACTTCACAATTCAGGTATAATAATGAGTCAAATAAGTGGTATAGTCCAAAATGAAAGGTGTTAAAAAGGGAAAAGAAAAATAATGTGTTTCTCTGTATGTGGAATTCAACTACTGCAAATTTCTTATTTTACGCGAGTTCTTAATATCGCGAAGTGGCCCAAGGGCGTCAAACAGCGAGAACAATAATTCGCGAATGGGTGATTTATCTCGAGATTTTACATACATTAAAGCACCATAAAAATAGAAGCGAGTAATTTTATTTCGCGAGTGGTGCTTCTCGCTTAATAATGCGATAATTTATTCCTCGTGTATATTTAGGAATCTACAGTATGTTATTTCCAATTGTTAGATCTTAAGCATTTCCACACAATTGTTTCATTCTAAGGAAAATGAAATAGTTTTTTAACTCATTATTTACAGAATATCATGGAAAAGGAGGTTATTTGTCTGTCAGTGATGGAACTGCAACTCAGCTATCTACAGTTTATTCCAAAGCAATGGAAGAGTTAGGATACCGCATCACAGACTGTAATGGAAAATCGCAAATTGGTACATTTTGACTTCTATATGAAAAAAGATAACGAAGAATGTCGATCTAAAAAAAAATTTACAAAACAATACAACTCTGAGAAATGGGCATAAAAAATGAACCCCAGGAAATTTCAGAGGTAGGATCAGGTGCCTCGGAGGAGTAAGCATCCCCTGTTGTCCGGTCACACTCGCCGTTAGTCCTATGTATTGATCAAATAGATTGAACATTCCGTAGTCAAATTTAGTATTAAAACAAAGGGCTTACAATGTGTATGAAACGCGTCAGCCAAAATACAACCCATTGATAGAATAAGTTTGTGGACAAGGTCATTATAACGACCATAGAATTTACGAAATGCTGACTTAATTGTACATTCTCTCTCTCTCTCTCTCTCTCTCTCTCTCTCTCTCTCTCTCTGCATGTATGTCAACGTTCTTCCAGTGACTTTACCCTCTGTTTTTCACTCTTGGTAAATTATTTGGATACAAAGCTACGTTTTTAAAAATAGGCTATGTACGTGTGTTGCGTGAAAATTAAATTTTATGGCCTTTTATTATGATACGTGTATATAACGTTAAAGCTTTAAACTTGGCAGCAGAAAGATATGACTAAGGAGTGGCTTATTTTTGCCTTGATATCCCCAGTTGGTCAATGGTCAAGTCACTTAGGAGGATAGTTTTAAGGAAAATATTTGGAAAGCCTATGAGGGACTTAGTTGGCGCTGTCAGGTATTGGTTGTGAAATAAACACAAAGGGAACACTGAAGTTTTAGTAACCTTAATTCTGGCTGAATTACAACTGTGTACTAATTATTAAGAATTGCGTCATGGTTACATTTTTTTCTACACATTTTTTACCACAGACCCCTTATTTAAAATGAATTAGATAACATTTCCACGCATTTGTAGGACACCTGAGTCATTCAGGAGACCTATTGCTATCAGTTTTCGTCCGTCGTGCGTCGTGTGTTAACATTTTAACATTTGCAGCTTCTTCTCTGAAACCAATGAACCAATTTCAGCCAATTCTAGCATATGGCATCTATGCGTGAAGGGGAACAAAATTTGCGAAATTTGCCCCCCTGGGGCCTGAGGGGTGGGACTAAAACCATCAAAATTAATGCAATCTTTAAAACTCTTCTTCTTTACTCCTGGACTTCAAGCAGTCAAACTGTTGGTATGATTGTAATAAGCATTAAGCCCTCTATCAAAATTTTGAAATTCATGGCCCCAGGGTCAGGGCTCTGGTGCTAGGGCGGGGCTATATAGATCATGTAGTGAAAGTGCATTATTTCTTTGAAAATCTTCTTCTCTACTCCTGGTTATTATTTAAACAAATTAAATACATAGATATAATAAGCAAGAGTGACTCTACCAAAATTTTGAAATTCATAGCCCCAGGGTCAGGGGTTCTGGTGATAGGGCGGGGCTATATAGATCACATAGTGAAAGTGCATTATTTCTTTGAAAATCTTTTTCTCTACTACTCGGTATTATTTAAACAAATTAAATACATAGTTACGATAAGCAAGGATGCCTCTTCCAAAATTGTGAATTTCATGGCCCCTGGATCAGGGGTTCTGGTGATAGTGCGGAGCTCTATTTATTATTTAGTGAAAATGCATTAATGCTTTAAAAATCTTCTTCTCTGCTCATGGGTATTATTTAAACAAACTAAGTATATTGTTATGATAAACAAGGATGCCTATTCCAAAATCGTGAAATTCATGGCCCTAGGGCGGGGCTATATAGATCCTATAGTGAAGATGAATTATATCTTTGAAAATCTTCTTCTCTGCCCGTTGGTATTATTTAAACAAACTAAGTACATTGTTATGATACGCAAGATTCCAAAATTGTGAATTTCATGGCCCAAGGGTCAAGGGTTCTGGTGAAAGGGGGGGGGGTCTATTGATTATATAGTGAAAAAGCAAAATTTCTTTGAAAATATTCTTTTCTGCGCTTCTGGTTAAAAAGCAAAGAAGCTAAGTGTATAGTTATGATGAGCTTCTTCCATAGTAGTGAACTGCATGACCCCTGGGTCAGATGTGCTGGTGTAAGGGTGGGGCTCTTAATAATATAGTGAAAATGCATTAATTCTTTTAAATAATTCTGTCTGCTCCTTAAAGCTTAGTGTTAAGCAAACAAAGTGATCACTTATGATGAGCAAACTTCTGGTCCCAGGGTGAGAGGCTCTGGTGTTTCTCGGTGGGGACGGGGGGGGGGGGTGCTCTTTTGATAATATAGTGAATCTTTAGTAAAAATGCATTATTTCTTTGAAAATCTTCTCTGCACGTGGGCATATCGGAGGCAAAAAGAGTAAAAATTTTAATAAAAATCTTTGAACATCAGGACCATTTGGTCAAATGTTCTGGTCCCGGCCAGGGCTCTATTAATTTGTATTCTACTGAGAGGAGTAATTCCCCTTTGCCATATACTTTTTATAATTAATCACTGTAAATAATGTACTTGAAAGGTTAGTAAACAAGAGAATTATGCAAGAATTTTTATTGTATAATACAAAAAGTACTTTCATAGTTTAATGATCAGGTAGACTCGTAAATAATAGATAAATAAAAATGAGACAAAAATAACTTTTCTTATTCAATGTTCATCAAAGACCAAGAGAGTCCAATGTAAGAGATTTCAACAAGGAATTAAAATAATACAGAAGCACTGATAGTTTGTTAATATACTGTATGGTGATAGTGATAAAAGGGGAACAGATTAGAACCTAATTTATGAACTGTTAATGAACACTAGACTAATTATTTTGTTGATCCTGATCACCCTATTTTTCTTGCTTTTGGGCAACAAAGCTTCACCATTCAGTTCATTTTATACTCTATGGATCCTCTAAATTGTTGTATTATACTCAGGTGACCGTTAAGGCCCTTGCGCCTCTTGTTAAAAAATGTTACATTCGGATCCACTTTTTAATCTGTGTCATTAATGAAATCAAAGAGATGACATTTCAGGCTTTCTGAAAAGCCAAACTTGTTATTAACACAATATAAGTTGACCTATCACTTATAGGTTATTGTCCTTCACAAGAAACGACAAAGAACGGAGAACGTTGGAGCACTGTTAAAGCATTTCTAAGACCTGTCATGGGACGCCAAAACCTACACGTCTCCATTAACTCTCATGTTACTAAGGTATCTTGACATTTATGATTTTATCATCAATTCATAATTTGGACCAAAACAATGAATGTAATTTTTAGCAGTGTAAAGAATATCTTTTTCTGTCTTTCTAAGATTCTGATGAAAGATAAAAAGGCAGTTGGGGTATCGTTTGTTCGAGACAACAGGAAGTACGTCATAATGGCGAACAAGGAGGTGATTGTCTCAGCAGGTTCAGTGCAGTCACCCCAGATCCTGATGTTGTCTGGAATAGGACCAAAGGAACATCTTAAATCCATGGGTGTATGACAAAAATATCCCACAATATTGATTATATATACAAGCAATTTCTTAATAGAAATAAATACACATTTAAACAAAACTGACGTCACTAAAACTCCTTAGCCCACTTGCTTGATTTTTCTGAGCATCAATGATAAAAGATGTAGCATTCAAGACATTTATAACAATGATTTGAAGGCTCTATAATTTTATTATTGGCAGCCCGCCTTTAGAGACACAATCAATATAATTATTATTTCAATCCCAGAATCAGATATGCTCCACACTTTCGATCATGCATATCCCAAATATTATAACGCAGTTTACTGGGTTTGTATCAATGAATCGAGAATCTTACATGACACAACAGTTAAATATTTTCTATGTGTCATTGCTTTTTAGATCCCAGTGGTTACAGATCTGCCAGTCGGGGACAATTTACAGGATCACATCATGACGTTTTTAGATTTTCACGACAATACTTCGAGCATGGCAACCGAAGCCAAACTTTTGTCACCAATAACTTTAATAAAATACTTCGCTTTTAAGTCAGGTAAAGCTCTAAATTGATAAATAAAATTCTTTGATTTTTTAAATTTTATTTTTATAAACATTTTTAGGATTAAAAATTGTTTGATTGTGCACTGTGCTTTCATATATATATATATATATATATATATATATATATATATATATATATATATATATATATATATATATATATATATATATATAGATCAGGGGCACGTAATTATTTGTGAAATTGAGTAATGGAAACAATAATTAAGAATTCTATATACTCTGACCAGTAATTTTTAAAATTTATATCTTATAAAGATTCAACATATTTATTTTTATACAAAGGGATGTTAAGCAAAACTCATCTCGAGGGTACAGCATTTTTCGCCGAGGACAAAAGTCTCCCACCACCGCTTCAGTTCCATTTCTTCAGCCTTGCGACTGATCCGGCTCAAGTGGATATGTTTTTAGATAATTTGAATATAGACAAAAAGGTAAATACTTTCAACAGTGCTTTACAGCTGATAAATTTACCAGTCAAAATCATGATTGATTATAATATCACAACATTTCTCTATAAATCTTATTAAAACTTTTTATTGCAACCAACGTCTGATTGAAAATTGGCTGGTGTGTTCTTTGTATCCATGAAAACACAAATTCTGATTTCCATGAACTTACAAAATTTTTTTGTTAATAATTAATTTTTTATGTGTTCTTGGTAAATGTTTTAGCTCACTTGAACAAAAGGCTAGTGTAAGCTCTTCTGTTCGAAATGTGTATTGCGTCCATTTATCCTTCTGCAATCTGTTAAAATTTTACATGTTCAACTTCTCTCCAGAGTCAAAAGAACTTACCACCCAAACTTGCCTCAAAGCATCCATAGGTAATGAGCAGGGATAGGGTAATTGAAAAAAAAGTGGTTGTATTTGAATGTAATTAACTACATTTTTCATAGTAATTGGAGGGAATTTTTAATTGTTCATTTTTTTCAATTACTTGATATTTAATTAGTTATATTGAATAAATAAGATGTAATTTTAATTTCTTCACATATTTCATATTTATTATATCCATATAATAGGAATATATCTCCATCATAGACACATTGTACTGCCCTTTTTATCATTAGAAACATCTTAAATGCGTATTTAAGTTATACATTTTAAATGAATGTTTACATGCTACCCCATAAATGATTTTTATATTTCGTCTTGAGTAAAATAATGTTTGCTTATAGTCATAATGTGTATTTGGAATTTTATAAGTTTTATGTTTATCCTAATATTTGTACCCTTCTATTTAGCCATGAAACATTTCATCCTTTGTTGCTTGATCATTCATGTTAAAAAAAAGACAGAGTTTGTGTCATAATACGACTCCCTTGTTGAGTGTACTGAAAAATCTTTTAAAGGTTTTCTGAAGAAAAAAAACAGGGCATAATACGTCTTACTCATATGCAAGCATCTTCTTGTTTCATGCAAGCATCTTCAATATTGTGGCGTCAAATCTATTCAAATTATGACCCCCGTGGCTACGTGGGGACAAAATAACGTTTTTAAAAATATTTTTACAGATTCTTATGTAAAGAACAGTATCGATACAATTAGCAAATTTGATCTAGTCATGGTCCTTGGGGATAGGGTAGGATTGTAAATAAGCTTTAAAGGGGGTACTTTTGGGAAATTTATAAACGGACATTATTATTCAAATATTTAAGCATCCCTATATGTTTAGAGGTATTTTTGTTGAAATCATGACCCAGGGCTAAGGACGGGTCTAAAATAGAAAATATAAGAAACACCTTTGCGTTTCTTTTTTACAAAACATGGTTGACAATAAAAGCACAATTCTTGAATGATACGCATGCATCCCTTTGCAAGGAACATTGAAGTTTGTTCAAAACATGACTTCAAGGATTAAGTCCGGGCCATCAGTCTAGGACAAAGGTTATAAAGATTGGAATTCTTAAACAATTCATAACCTTAGTAAACTGTAGAAATGTACATGTACAAACAGTATTTATTTTATGCAAATATAAAGCTACGAGACGGCAAAAAGAAGGAATTGAAAAGGAACTTGGAGGGAAATAGAGGGACATTTTTTGCTCTTCCAATTCTTCTTCATCCCAGGAGTCGAGGGACAATACGCCTTCAAAGTGATGATCCATTTGATCCGCCTATTATTGATCCAAACTACCTCGACCACCCAGATGATATCAAAACACTCTTAAAAGGTACATGGATAGAATTTTAGACTTAAGTAGCATTTTTTGTTTGCATGGCATTTAGGATATTATTCTGATTTGAAAAAAAAAACTTCAGAGGGAACAGTGTATTAATCAAACATCCAATTACTCTATAGCTGTCAAAAAATCTGTTCAATATTATTAAAAAAAGAACAGAAACCAATATCTACCTTATAAATAAATCTACTAGTGTACAAAATACCATATCAGGTAATGATGCTGCTTAAAATACACTTGAATTTTAGATTTTCAAAAACTTGTCATTAGATTCTTTATCAACCGATATAATACATGTACCATTTATTTCGGAGTGTTTCATGTATTTACCAACAAAATACACGGAATATATATATATTTCCAGGAGTACGAGAGATACTAAGGCTTGGTGACACTGCAGCGTTTAAGTCAATTGGTGCCTCGTCAAAGGATCCATTGGAGTCATACACCCCACAATGTGACGAAATAAAACCAGATTCAGACGAGTACTGGATCTGTAGAATAAGACATTTCACTTATACAGTCTATCATCCCACATCCACATGTCGAATGGGAGCCAAAGATGATAAAACAGCAGTGGTAGATCCTGAACTAAGGTATTTTTATATTTCAGATGTGTTTCAGTATTACATCAATTTGATTATTATTAATATATTGGTAGCAAAATTTCAAATTACAACCAGAAAATGGGAAATACAATGTACACCTTTTTATCCATCTAATACAGAAGGTTTTTAAAAAGCAATATTAAATGTTAATATGAAAAATTAGAAAATAATTTATTTTTGTATCAAGCCGTACGGTTTGAAAAGAGCGATATTAAACATTAAATTGAAAAATTAGAGAATAATTTATTTTTATTTCATGCAGAGTGAGAGGAGTCCAAAACCTTCGAGTCGTCGATGCTTCCGTCATGCGCAATGTGCCCTCCGGAAATACAAATGCTCCAACCATAATGATTGCAGAAAAAGCTGCTGATATTATAAGAAATATAAACAGTGTGAAATTCATCAGAGAAAGAACGGATAAACTTTGATTAGTGTTGTACAATTAGAAATTTTTTATTTGTATTGATAGGTTATAATTGGAGAAATGTGATTTATACTACTTTTTCCCAATCTTTAATCTTTTCGTTGTTTCAGAATTTAGGGTAATGATGATGATTTGGGTTGCGTGTATTTGAATTGGATAAATGTTGCGACGTGTGTTTCTGGGTTACAGGATTGTTTGATTATTATCAGAAATACTCAATGAAAAATTCTTAAGTAGGACGTTTGCAAATATTCAAGCAAGTAGTTTATAGATGACTCAGGTGACCTATTGCTATCAGCTTTTGTCCGTCGTCATGTGACTTCCGTCTGTGGTCATTAGTCAGTCGTCTTTCATAAATTAATCTTTGATATTTTCATTTTCTCGGAGCCTCTAAACCAGTTTTAACGATTTTTATATATAGCATTTTTTTGATAAAGGGAAACATAAATTGTGAATAATTTCATGGTCTTTGCCTCCCTGGGACCGGGCCTGTGGGGTGGGGCCAAAACCTTCAAAAATAATGTTATCATGAAAAAAGTTTTTTCTTGCTCCTGGACCTTACGCACCAAGTCTAACTGTTGGCGTGATTATAACAAGTAATGAGTCCTCTACGAAAATTGTGAAATTCAGAAATTCATGGTCAGCTGCTCTGCAAATATTGCTCCGCACAGTGTCTGTATGAAGTTTTGATTCTTTGTGTTTATGGGTCCATTAATGAGTCTTTGATGGGAATTTTTAACCACAAATGAAAACCGCTTCTCAGTTTATAAAGCATAAACTGCGCTAACCCAGGTTATATAGTATAACTTGGGAAGCTATTAAATTCATTCCTTAATTAAACAGCTTTACGAAAATAAATTCAGTTTAAAAAGGTATCTATTTGTACACTTCCACATTCCGTTGACTTCTTCAAAGTACGCCTTAACAGTGCTGCGTATTTGATCTCACTGCATTAACAGACTTTAGTTATTAGACGTCACTAACTTGTTTGACATGCAGCGTAAAGAAACAGAGAGGTGGATCAATCTATTTCACAATCTTTACATATTGGCATGATCGATAACAATTTTAAAATATTTTTATATTGAATGTTGACGCATAACAAGACGTACAGAAATGACACAAATACTAGTTTTTGGATTACCGGTATTTTATCAACGTTAACTTTATAGCCTATATTAACAGAGTCTATGACGTAGTCAATTGTGTCATGTGACAGGTATCCTTAAATAAAGTACACAATGATAATTTTCTCAGTAATATCGTGTCCAAATGATAAAACTTTATTTTAGTTAATCATTTATTTCAATATCAAAATAATCCAGGGATCGACAAAAGTTAGACAAAGTTGCTTTGAGGCCGAAAAAGTTTGTTTCTTACTTTAACCATGGTTCTTTTTTTTTTTTCGTTACTCATTCATATATCGTGAGTCTGGCAATGCCTGTCAAAGTTCAAAATAATGATAAACCATTGAAAAAATTTCATAAACCTAAAGCAAATTAGAAACAATTGAGAATTTCCTAGTTTTAAATATTTTCTGTTCAAAAACAATTCAGAAATTCCTTTTCGTTTCCGAGATATTCATATAAGAAATTTTGAGAGATCAGCTATAATTTTCATACATGTTTTATAATGGCATTTCCATAACATAGTATGACATAATAAAAAGTACGGGGGAAATGGGGGAAATAACATTTAAATATGTTATTTTCTATTGTATGACTACAGTTCTTTGTTGATCTTATGAACAACATCTTTACTAATATATTAGAATTTTGTGAAATTTAATTAAACCTAGACGCGATGCTGAGTAAACTAATTTTGACAATGTGAGGGGTTCACTTATATATTTTTAGCCTTCAAGGTGTCAATTCATTTACCGTATGTTGTCTTTTCTTAAGAACACGTTAAAAATTAGGACCACCTTGAAATGAAGCACGGATGTTTCTCCGTATGTAATAAATCTGTAAATTGCATAATTATATTTTTTAAAGTGTCGGGGTTTTTTTCTTTTAACTATTGGTAAATTTATCATTTTGTTTTATTTTCTTTTCCGACAGTAACTTATTAGACATTATATGATAGACACAAGCAGTAGAATGTTTCCAACCCGACACTTAATCTTTGTTTACTTTTTACCCCATTCAGGTCAAAATATAGAATGGTTACCTTAGGAATAACTAGTATCATGTGGTGATATCCTGAGCCGATGTAGTTACCGTCAGATAATGTGGTAATGTATTCTGTGATTGTATATATTTATAGCCTCTTAACATTGAACATTTTCTATTTAGAACTTTGCATAAGAAAAGTGAAAAGTCCAGCTCAGATTAAGATTGTACGGTAGGAAAGAAGGAATATAAAAAAAAGAAACTGATAGTTAGTTCATAAACTTAAACGACAAAAATATTTTAATGAGCTTTAAGCTCAAGATTTTGTATGGTTTTTGAGATATTTAGAAACAATTAAGAAAAACGTAAGTTAAGATATCACAAGAAGTTCAATAAATAAATAAGGGAAAATTAAATGTGAGAAACGCAGTCAAATCAACACAAAGACGATGTAACCATAAAATTTTGTACAATCAGACGACAATTCAAAAATCGGGCGAGAAAAGAATATCAAAGAGAGAAAACCAACATATAGGATATTGTCCTTTCTAGTCTCTACATTACGCAATTTTACTATGATATCAAACTTTTAACACATGAATAAATTGTACGACGATTCTCCGGATGGAGCCCCGTGCAAAAACGAAAGAAGAAGAAAATTGCATGTTTTACAAACAACGGTTAGTAAGGATGCATTTTGTAAAAGACTCAAGTTACTAATCAGATAAAGCAATGATAATCATCATCATCATCATCATCATCCATATATATGGTTCCAAGGGTAGATGAAAGGTCAAATAGATATACAAAAATCATCGTGTGAGCACCTTTTTACATGCAAGTTTTTTCGTCAATGTATGAGAAAAACTATATAATAATGAATTACCTTAAAAATTATATGATTCGAGAAAACACTTTATTACAACAATCCCATTAAGTAAGATTTAATGCGATGATTTATTAAGAATATTGAATAAAATAACTTTAGTATCAAAGATTTCTTTGTTAATCTTCACAATGTTCTAAAGAAAATCATATTGTAAAAGATTTACCAAAGTGTAGGTAAAATGTTGTTTGCTATCTCTTGCTCATAAATGCGAATAGTTTCAAAGAATAGAAATTCTCAATGGCACCTGATCCCACCTCTGATGTTTTAGAGGTCCGTGTTTGCTCTGCTCCAAATGTGCATTGTTTAATGAAGTTTTGAGCTTCAATACTGTTCGTTATCTCCATATATTTTATATAATAGGAAATATATATCGACGACGTATTGTCAATTAACAATAGTTATTTCCATTCTTATGTCGATACGATATATCCCGGTGAACTTGAGATATAAGATACTACAGAGTCTGACACATCTGTTTCATATTTGGATATTTTACTTGAAAAAGACGTTAATGGTAGCCTAACAACCACGCTTTATGATAAACGTGATGACTTTAACTTTTCAATCGTCAACTTCCCTTACTTATGCAGCAATATACCTTCATCATCTGCATACGGGGTTTATATCTCTCAGTTGATTCGATACGCAAGAGCATGCTCTACGTACATGTATGTACATTTTCTAAAACGAGGTAAATTATTGACAAACAAGTTGATGAAACAAGAATATCAGCAGTCTCGTTTAAAGTCATCATTTCGTAAGTTCTATGGTCGATACAATGACCTTGTCAGCAAATACAATTTACCATTGAGTCAAATGCTGACTGACGTTTTTCATACTAATTGTTAGGCCATTATTTACACACTGAATTGTCGATGGATCTTTCCGTTATTTCCTGATCATGACACGGAGCACACGGCGGGTGTGACCGGTCGGCAAGGGATGCCCACTTCTCCATGGCACCTGATCCCATCTCTGATGTTTTGGAGGTCAGTGTTTGCCCTGCACCTATTTTGTAATGTTTAATGGACTTTTTAGCTTGAATACTGTTCGTTACCTCCATATATTTCATTAAGTTATGGTACATTATGCTTCATTTTTTAATGACAGAATTTTTTTGCAGTGAACTAGCGAATCGTAATTAGAAAAAGATGAGATTTAAGGGGGGCATAATAGCGTTATTTCTCGGTGTTATAGTTGTGTATTACACCAATCGAAAGACTCCAACAATAGAACTTATTTCTCTCAACTCTTCGTATGATTACATTATATGTAAGTAATTACTTCAAAACAGAATGATGAGGCTTATAGCAAAAGCTTATGACAATCTGAAAATCTGTAGCTCTCTGGTCTGAAAAAAAATTGGGATGCATGGACGATCATCCCGATTTTTACAGGCCAGCAACCTACAGCTCTGCAGCTAGTGAAAATAGAACTGTACTTTCACTTTTTGAAATTCAATAACCTATATATATTGCCGTTATTTGCAATATTCTTTAGTGGGCGCTGGATCAGCAGGATGTGTCCTCGCTAACAGACTTTCGGAAGATCCAGGGTCATCGGTGCTTATTTTAGAAGCTGGGGGTTCCGAGACTGAAAACGAAAACATAAGTATCCCAATTGCTACAGGAAGTGTTCAGTTATCGAATCAAGACTGAATGTTTAAATCTAAACCCCAAAAGAAAGCATGTCTTGCAATGCGGAACAAGGTACAAATCACTTTATTAGCAACTCAGGAACACTTTATGTGCGACGAAAGCATGTGAGGCAATATTAGGTATGTCAAAGTGAAAAAGTTACTTAGAGAACGAATCGGGTTCTCTATCGTAGATACAAATTTGGGGAGGACTAGTGCGAAGTAGGAGTGTCCCCCATAAATTTGAATCCACAATAGAGAACCTGTCGAGTTCGCTAAATGATTTGTGACACGATTCAGTCAAAATACCGGTAATCACCTTCCACTTTTGCACTGTGTTCTGCAGTATCCGCGGATAGCGTAAGGTCCCGATTAGTCTTGAAAACGGTTTGACTAATTATCACGTGGAAATGAGCTCTCTTGATTTCTTAACGGATAAGGTGGAAAAATTACCTTATTACAGTCTGGTGACATTATGAAGATTGAGCATGATGTACTTGAGTTACTTCAAAATCTTACATAAGATAAAAGATCCAAATTTGTATCGTTTCATTGGACTTTCGAGATTGAATACTGTTCGTTATCTTCATACTTCATTATATTACTTAGATATAAGGCTTTCCATAACTGCTGATTTTCCTTTTTGTTTGGATCGAAGTAATATGTAGATTCTAATCAGAGTTCTCTTTAAAAAGTGATTGAGAAAATTCGACTTTTTAATTCACAAGGTAATTTTAATTAATTTCCAAGAAGGTACTCCCTCTTTTATGCTATTAAAATCAGAGTTTACCTCATTTCTATCTTTGCTTTTAGACTGGTATGAATTTGTTATTTGAAATCCTCACAGAAGAGGCCCACGATCATATACGCTCACCTGTTTATTTTATGCTCAATCTGATAAATGTACATGTGTATACATATTTTATGTAGATTACAGAATAACTTGTAACTGCTTTCTTGCCCAGGTACAAGGGAGCAAGTATACATTTAGAGGCAAACTCTTACGTGCGGGTATCACTGTCTTGTAAAAGCATCTATTTATTATTGGATTCACTTGGATTTGTTGTTTTCTTTAATACAATGCATTATGATTTCTATTTTAATTTTTTAGCAATCTTCTTGGCCAAGCGGAAGAGTACTTGGGGGAACAAGTAATTTGAACTTCATGCAATATGTCCGCGGCAGTCGCCATGACTACGATGGCTGGGCCAGAGAGGGATGTAAAGGATGGAGCTATAAAGATGTTCTCCCGTATTTCATTAAATCTGAAGATATACAAATCCAAGAGCTTCAACACTCAGGTACAATGATAACTTTTATACGTTGTGTAGTCCTTAAATTTGAATCCAAAATGAAAGGCGTCAATAAAACGAAAAAAGAAATTATCTGTTTCTCTGTATGTGGAATTAAACTGGTTATTTCCAAATGTAAGGCCTTTACACATTTCCACAAAAAGAAATTGGGGGATTACAGGAACCAAAAGCCAATGTAAGCCAATATATATATTGATCTTGGTGTTTTTTCCCGAAATGCTCTTAATAAAATTAGATAAAAAGGGGAATACACTTATGCAATATTTATTGTAATTCTTATCCGGCATTTTTAATAATGTACTGTAAATGGATTCATTATTAGATATATATTCTCTTTTCCGTGAAAAATCTTTTATGCCTATGCCAACTTATTATGAAGTTAAACAAAACCAAAAAATCAAAACATTAGAGCAAGATTCGAACGCTTTCTTCAATAAATGTCCGTCTAAATAGCTCCTCGCTGACAACTACACCACACAGTCACATAAATATGGTACCAATGTTTTGTAAAGTGTAAAGAGAAAGATCTTTACATCGCCTTTCATTATTTGCTCTCAAAAAATCTATACTTATAAATTAATAAATTTTGCAAATAAACTCTGAAACGGGTGCCCCAGAGTTCTTACTTACTCCTCTAAGAATACACACGATACAAGATGATGTCCGTAAACTATATCTAGATTTCACTTGCATTGTAAGTATCGTACATTAAATTAAAAGTCTACTTTTATTTTCTATAAACAGCCATGAAATAGCAAAAACGTGAGTACGGTGGCGTTTCCGGTTGGCGGATCAAAGTTACTGGCAATTTTTAATGAAACTGACAACAAGCAATCGTTAATTTATTTCATTAAACGTCATTACTGAATTATTCAATCAAAACTTGATTTAAATGATATAAAGGAAATAAGTTGTGATAACCGATTAAAAAGGGAAATGTGCAAATTATTTTCGTCATTCACCGATCGTAATATTGACGGAAGCTTCTAGAACATCATATAGAATCGAGCCCGATGTTAAAAAGAAAAACAAAAAAAAAAGGGTTTTGTGTGAATGGTCATTGAAATAATGGTAAATCATTGATAACACTGTAAGTTGTGAATATATTTATATATCGAAAGATTATTACATATATGTAGTAGGTTTTTCTAATAAATTCATCGGTAAGATTTGTATATATTCCTCACTGAGAGCATCGTGGCAACGAATCCGAAGTAAAATTTGTACTTCGCAATAAACTTGCTTACATGAAAAGAGAATATCAATGAATAAGGCATTATTCAAATACAATTATGTTGTATAATTTTGTGCTTTAATTAATACATTTCAGTTTTTCTCTGAATACAGTCTTTTGTATCAAATACTCGGCCTATTCCAGTGGCGGATCCAGGAATCTTGAAAAGGGGGGGGGCAACCAGTTGGGGTTGGGGTAGGGGCCCACGGACACACCAAAAAAAATGATTTATTAAATTTTATGTATATTTTGGACACAAAACGGGAGGGGGGTTGGCCCCCCTCTAAATCCGCCAGTGTATTCATAGGGCTTAAATAAAAGCTAATTTTTACACAGGTACTTTTAGGTCTTGGATTATAAATATGTATACATGTACCTTATTGATATGTAAAAAAAAAAAAAAAAAAAAAAAAAAAAAAAAAAAAAGAGGTAAGGTACAGTTTTTACATATCAATAAGGTACATACATATTTATAAACCAAGACCCAAGTACCTGTGAATTCTTACCAAAAAAAATGTATTTCTCAGTTAAATGTGCATATTCACTGCTTTTGTTCGTGACGGAAATGAAATAAGAGCATTTGAAGTAAAATATCCATAACATAGTACATTGTGTATAACAGGTTTCACAATAAACGTCAATTAATGATATTGTTATTTAAGTTTTACAGGGGTTGGGGGGGGGGGGGGGGTTGGGGGGTTGGAGACGTACTTCTACTTCATGCGGGATTTTGAACAAAGTATTTCTTCCTGCTATAAGCCTGTAGGCTCTCAGTAGAAACTACTATATATATATATATATATATATATATATATATATATATATATATATATATATATATATATATATATATATATATATATATATATATATTATTAGATTTTTTCTGTCGGTAGTGGTATAAATTTCATCTAGTAAATAAATAAATAAATGGAGCTATGACACAATTCAAAAAATGTAGTTATAGCATCCAATTTATGTCAGTTTTTGTGAAAAATGGGCGTGTCGTCATTTTGTTGTGTTAATCATAACCAATTTCGCAGTTACTGTATTCAGTTATTGTCGATATTGTACGCAAATGGTAATAAACATTAAATAAATTTAACAAAAAGTGGAATTTGTGACAAGTAAATTCATTGCTTTTTCATTTGTCGCTATATAGGCATATGGCTCCCTCCGAACCCCCACTAACCCCTCCATTTTTTTATCCTGTATACAGAAAATAGAATAATATTTATATTCCTTATTTACTAGGGATGTCAAATCGGTCAATTTTTGATAATCGGTTACTCGGACGTTTTTCCAATCGAGTACCCGGGTACTCGGTAAAAAATGTAAATACAAGTGTATTAATTTTCTTGAACCCCGTTAAGCTCTGTTAAATCTCAAAGCTGTTTTTATCACGTTTTATAAATGTATATAAACATCGATTCCAACGGAAATGATTTTTTGGTACTAAATTTATTTATCAAACACAAAAGACGCAATTAATACATCAAAAATTACAACGCAATTGTTTACAGTTCTTGTTTAGGATCTGTTTCATCAAAAGGAGGACAATCTGTTACGCATGTTTGTGATGATTAGACTAGCGAAAGAGAAGGAAAGGTCGTTGTTGGGATCGCTAGTCTAATATTATTTCATATGCTGATTGTTTCCCCCGTATACACTAAACTTACTACGCAAACTGACTTTCAACATTTTTTTTAATCTTTAGTAATTTCTAAATATTTCTCCATTTTCTTAATACTAGTAATTACACATTTCATGACATCACTAAAACTCTTAAAGCTACCTGTTCGATATTTCTGAGCATTCATATCCCGTATATCAATGACAAAAGGTATGAAATTCAAGGTATTTATAGCAATGGATTGAAAGTCCTGTATTTTCATCAATTCATAAAGGCATAAAGATCCTATGCTTTTTCTTTATAAAATATATCGTAGTTTTCAATTTCATGAACTGGGTTTGAATGTATCGCGTATCATGCATTGCTTAATAGTTACATATTTTCTCTGTTTCGTTGCTATTCAGATCCCATTGGTTGCAGATCTGCCAGTAGGGGAGAATTTGCAGGATCATGTTATGACGTTTTTAGATTTTCATTCGAATACTTCGAGCGTGGCAACCGCGGCCAAACTTTTGTCACCAATGAATTTGATAAAATACTTGTTTTTTAAGTCAGGTAAATTTCTTAAAGGATAAACAAAATTCTTATTTAATTCTTTTTAAGATTAAAAATTGTTTTATTATGCACTATGTTTTCGTAGATATCAAAAAGCACATGTAATTATTACGAAAAATATGTAATGAAAACGATAATTAAGAATTCTCATAAACTTTGTCGAGTGATTTTACAATTTATGTTTTATATTAAAAAAAACTAACGCATATATTTTTTATACAAAGGGATGTTAAGCAAGTCTCATCTGGAGGGTACGGCGTTTTTGGCAGAGGACAAAAATCTCCCACCATCACTTCAGTTCCATTTTTACAGCCTTTTGACTGATCCAGCCTATGTAGATATTTTTTTGGATAATTTGAATTTAGACAAAAAGGTATATACGTTTTTTTCTGAACAGAATACAAAATGCAATAGTGCAAAATTTTAATTGGCTATATTATCTCAACATTTCATATAAAAATCTTATTAAACTTCTTATTGAAAATTGGCTGATATGTTCTTTGTGACCACGATAACATAAATTTCGGTTACCATGAACTTATAAAATAATTTTTGTTAAAAATTAATTTTTTAGGTGTTTTTGGTAAATTTTTAGGTCACCTGAACAAAACGGCTAGTGTAAGCTTTGCTGATCAAAAGGTGCATTGCGTCCATCTATCATTTTGCTGTCTGTAAGCTTTTTACATTTTCAAATTTTTCTCGAAAAGCCAAAAGACCAAACTTGCCTCAAAGCATCCAGGGTATTGAGCAGGGGTGAGCTGTTAGAGTCTTATGTTTTAATTCATTCTTTAAAAAAATGTTTAAAAATGTACTTTGAAATTAATTAATTACTTATTAGTATTTGTGACTAAATTACCTTTTTAAGCACTATTATTTGATTGTAATTAAATTGAAAACAACAACAAAGTAATTGTAATTTGATTAATTACTTCTTAATATAATTGGCCCCATTCTTAGTAAAGATTCACACCTTCTTTCAAAGAGAAATTATTATTGAATAGTAAAAACATCTTAGCCTTTTTAATACATAGGAAAATGTGCCTTTCAAACTTTGTTTTCAAAATACTGGGGACCCAATTACTCGCACAAACAATCAAGTATTCTTGGGTAGGGTAGATTCAAATTCGTTGAAATCATGACCCTAGGTTCCTATGTGAGACCTTTATATGGAGACAATTTTCCAGTGGTAATATATCAGAAAAATCTTTCTTAAAACCAGCATTAAGAATACAAATATATTATCATTTCCATATGATTAAGCATCAAAATTGTTTGGAAAAATATTGGATTAATACTATAAACCGACTTTTTTAGCATTCAAGAAATTATTTCCGACCTTCTATAACTCGCGAATATTAATCGCCGCGAATCTATTTTGCTTTGTATCTGTAGAGAATGTTTCCTCAATCGCGATATTTAATTGTCGCGGATAGATTTCAAATTGATGAATCGCGAATAAAAGATGACGCGAATAATAGTTGGTTTACAGTATATAAATATAGATAATATAAAGAGTTTCTTTGAAAGAAGAGCAGGGACATAATTATTCAAATATTCAAACAATACATTGTGGTTTAGATGCATTCTTCTTGGAGACATATCTCCAGGGCTAAGAATGGGTCAAAGAAAGAGAATATACACAGGGAAAATACCTTTTTACGAAACATGGTTTGACAATAAAAGCACGATTATTCAATGATACGCATGCATCTCCTTGTAAGATACATTGACGTTTGTTGGAAGCATGACTCGGGGACTAACTTGGGCCATTGGTCTGAAACAAATGTTATAAAGAAGTGTATTGATATGAACAAACAAATGTAAACGACAATTCATAAAGCTGATATTAAGCCTTAGTCAACTGTAGAACTACTGTGCATGTACAAATCAGTATTCTTTTTTACGCAAATATGAAGCTACGGGACGGCAAACAGAAAGAATTAAAGAGGAACTTAGAGGGAAATAGAGAGGCCTTTTTTGCTGTTCCCATTCTTCTTCATCCAAAGAGTAGAGGGACCATACGTCTTCAAAGTGATGACCCATTTGATCTGCCTATTATTGATCCAAACTATCTCGACCACCCAGATGATATAAAAACACTCTTAAAAGGTATATGCATAGATTTTTTTAATCCAAGAGCAACTTTTGTATTTGCACAGAACTTAGGATATAACTTTGATTTGCAGAAATGAAAAAGGTGAAGATAACGAACAGTGAATAACCATATCCAAGAACAGTTATTATATGACTGTAAATTCCTAACTCTCTGATTGGCTGCAATCGAACATTGAAGAAAGAATGTTCACTTGTCCGTGATCTTTCAGGTGAATACAAGGATTTATTTTTCTATATCGGACTAAAAAAGATTGAGAACTTCCAAATTGATACGAATAATACTAAAAAGTTTTTCACTTGAACTCGACTTCCATTAAGGTAAACATAACATTCAGGCAAATAGAATCAGGGTGGGGCAGTACTCTATACCCTCTTGATACTTTTTAGTTCACCTCAACGAAATTGGGGGGGGGGGGGGGGGGCTTTTGTGATACCCAGGTTAAAGTTTTTGGAGCAGTTTTCTTTTCAAGTACTTCTATGCCCTATATTAATCAGAGATGCATGGAAGATGCTTCTAGTGTGTTTCATTGTTCCAGCCAAGGATTCAGATGCTGCAATTTCAGCTAAGGAATGACCAGGTTAATTTTTTGGGAGCAGATTAAAGTTTTTAGTACAGGTTAAAGTTTTTGGAGCACGTCTTATTTCCAAGTAACTATAAGCCCTTTGTTGACCAAACTTACATGGATGATACATCTAAGGATGCACACTACCAGGCTTACTTCGGATGCTGGACCTGACCTACATTTTCCGGATAAGTGAACAGGTTAAAGTTTTTGGAGCAGGTTTGTTCTAAAGTAACTATAAGCCCTATGTTGACCAAACTTGCATGGATGATACATCCAAGAATGCACACTACCAGGCTTGCTTCGGATGCTGGACCTGACCTACATTTTCCGGATAAGTAACCAGGTTAAAGTTTTTGGAGCAGGTTTATTCTAAAGTAACTATAAGATCTATGTTGACCAAACTTGCATGGATGATGCATCTAAGGATGCAAACTACCAGGCTTGCTTTGGATGCTCGATCAAACACACATTTTCAGGATGAGTAAACAGGTTAAAGTTTTTGGAGCAGCTTCATTCTTAAGTAACTCTAGTGCCTATGTTGATCAAACTTGCATTGATGATACATCTAAGGATGCACACCTATGGACTTGCTTCGGATATTGAATTTGACATACATTTTTTTCAGAAAATGGACCAGGTAAACGTTTTGGGTGCCGGTCTATTACAAAGAAACTATATGGTCAATCTGAACTATACGTGCATGGATGATGCATTAAGGGATGAATACTCTCAAACTTGCTTCAAATGCTGGATTTGAATTACATTTTCTGGATGAGAGACTAGTTTGAAGTTTTTAGATAAGTCTATTCTCTAGTACTTGCAAGCCCTATCAGATCAAAATTGCATAAATATTGCATCTTGGGATGTACACTGCTAGATTATTAGCTTAATGTGGGACTTTGCCTTACTTAAAGACAACATTCGTTGAGATGAGCTCTGTAATCTCTGATTGCCTTTTTTTTCTGTGAACGTACATATCTACTATATTAATTTAGTATGACAATGATAATTGAAAGACTGGTTCCCCTCACTTTTTGATACAGTATAGTCTAATCTCTCCTACGTTTATGAACTTAACCCCGTCCCAGAAATATAATTTGGAAATTTGGAGAATTACTCTCTAGTCAAAGATTTTTTTAGGTAACTTGTCTATTTTATTTGTAATACCCCCTCTCCATTAAAAATCTATGCTAGGTGACTGATATATTTTTTTTAACATTGCACATAAATAGATCAAGAAATTCCAGATTAAGGAACACCAAAGGTTTCCAAATGCCAGAATTTAATTTGCGTGTAATTCTTTCATTATCAAAGATAACATAATAAAAGTATATATCATTTGAAAGCTTGTTAAATTTACTATTTAATTATCCTAATAAAAACTTTAATTAATAACTTATTTAAAAATTATTGAAATATTAATGTAAATTTTAGTGCATAAATATTTTATAAATCAAGCTTTTTATATTTAAACCCTCAGAGTGGTCATTTTGCCTCAAGGTAGATTAAAGATTGATCTTAATAACTAGATCTCAGATTTTTGATAGATCTTCTAATTCAAACGTAACCAATTTATTAGCCTAAAACATTTCCCTCAATAATTCCAAAACTAAGCTGGATATCAAAAATCTGAGATACGATTTTGTGAACACACATTTGAGAAGTCGCCCGCATGGCACATTGGTTAGAGCGTGTGCTCTAGAGTTGCGGAGTAAGGAGTTGATCCTTACGTCGTGGGTTCGAATCCCACTGTGGGACGTGGAGACCGGTCGTTTGAATGAGACCGTATAAATCAAGGTTCCATGTCGCAGTAGGTGCTGACACGAAAAAGATCCCTCACTGTTCAATGGCCCTGAGTGCCGAGTATAGGTCAAATTTTGTAGCCCTCCACCGGCAAGTGGTGGCGTCTTCATATGAGTGGAAAAATTCTTGAGAGGGACGTTAAACAACAAACAAATACATTTGAGAAGTAACCTATCCAATTTTCAGAGAACTTTGTCAATAAGTAAGGGAGCTGAATCCTTTGAAATAATACCACAATGTGTCTGATCTTTCTTTACAGTAGAGGGCAAAAACCCATTACACAACAAAATCTGCCAAAGCTAGGAATACCGGTATATGACACCTTGGAGATTCAGCATTGGATACCTGTCACTTAGCCATATTTCCTATGCATATTCACAAGAATGGGGGTTCTTTTCTGTACATGTATTTAGATGCTTTTAATTAAGTAAAATAGGTTCAATTCTTAATCAGAAAGATTTCACGGCAAAATGGCAAGAGCTAAGCTTCACCTCCTATTTTATGGTCATCAGTGATTTGTTAGATCTCTTTCTCTAAATCTATAGTTCCTGTAGTTTAATTACTAATAACCTCTGAGTGGCTAGTGAAATATTCCCCAAGTGGTCACAGTAATTTATTGCCTCTTTCATGAGCAGGCAGTCACAGATCAAATCAGAAGCTTCATTAACGGAACATTTACATGTGGCAGTGTTTATGTTTCATTATTGTTAAATAATTAGAAAACTATTTCATAATAACCAAGAATTTTACATGCATTATAAAGTAGTGATTAACTTCTTTTTCTTAGCCAAAAATCTCAAAATTGTTGAAAATCTTGAAAAAAAAAAAGCCTTTGATGTATCCTTAATACAACTGGTTATGTATATTTTAATCCCACTTCTTTCAATTCGTCCGCCGAAATATTGCCGACTCGACGTTAAACAATAAACAATCAATCAATCTTTCAATGCGTTTGGCAAGGACTAGTAAAGAAGTAAGAAGGAATGGATTGCTTAACAAGTTTGTATCATATAATCATTGGATCATATAATAAAACAATCGTTGCCTTTTTCAGTCAAATGTTTAACCACCTTTAAAGTACAATATTCATCTTGCCCTCCGGTCTCGTAGGCTACTGTACTCCTCAGATGGTTAAATCATCGAATTGACCTCAAGCAATAGTTGTATAATGTTATTTTTTAAAGTGATATTTGGAAAATTAAAAAAAAAATTAATACCCATTATCATGAAGATTGGCTTTATTAGTGTATTTATTATATAATAAATTATATCAAAGACATTTGTTTGTGAATTGTCAATGGAACTTCAGTAAAGTGTTTTAATGATTTTTAACTAAATATGAATTTTAGAGTCGTGCCATTTTTGAAAGAATCTGTTAATTTTTTAAGGCTTGGCTTGTTTCGGTATGATAAACAATTTATTGCATGAATGTTTGGGAAATATTAAGATATATTCAGCGAAGAAAAAAACATGTTTTCATTTCCAGAGGGCTTCGTTCGAGGGGGATGTAAATAATTAATATACGGCACCAATTTTGATGCATCGAGGGGGATACAATTTTTTGCGCTGTAAAAACGTTCATATATCCCTCACGATCATGCAATAGATATATAATATTGAATGCGAATATATTGAATCAGCTGTTTCTAGAGATTAATATTAAGCATGATTTATGTTCTATAAATTGCAAATATAAAAACTATAGTAGTGTATAATATAAAGGGTCATTATTTTTTAAAGATGTCACAAAGTGGAATTCAAATAATGGTACTGTAATTTATAAATATACAAATTTTCTTTCACCTTAGTTTTTGGCATAGAGAAAAGTATAAATGTATATGAACCAAAAACCTTAAAAAAATGTTAGAATTTTTTTTAGTGAACCTTTTAGTAAAACATACACAAACATATACATAAAATACATAAATGACAGTATACACATATAACTAGTTAAAATTACAAAGACATGCGGCATACTAGACATAAATTACACACATAGAAAGAGACATATATAGCATGTATTTACACAGGACAATACATAGAAATAAACATAATTGATCAAACAAAAATAGCACTTATATTCGTACTGTCTAAAAAAATAATCTGTAATTTAATTTTGTTGTATTAAAAGATAAGATAGCGCTTTAACTGGATTTAAAAAGTATACTTTAGTAACAAATTTATGGTTAATTAATTAAAATGAACAAACATACTGGACATAAAAACAGAAGTTTGAAAAATTTGAACTAAAGAGTAAAAGAACTGAATTTGAATACTAAGATTTACTACTTTGAATACTTAGAATACTAAGATCAGCAGGAGACACACTTACAGAAATCTCAATTCCAGAATAAGAAATTTGAATTGACTTAATATTGTTACGATTCTAATTTCTTCTGGAAGTTTATTCCAGAGTTTGGCTCCTGCATATCTAAAAGAGTGTAATCCATGTTTAGTTGTTCTTATCCTAGGCACCTGTACTTTGTTGCTTTTCCTAAAATTATATACTAGAATTTTCTATATTCAAAAGATCGTCAACAGATTCACTATCAACCAATATTATACCAGCTATTTTGGAGTGTTTACTGTATTTACAAACAAAATATACGAAAGTATCTTTAAATAAATTTAGGAGTACGAGAGATACTAAGGCTAGGTGATATTTCGGCATTCAGGTCAATTGGTGCCTCGTCACAGGATCCATTGGAGTCCTACACCCCTCAATGTGACGAACTAAAACCAGGATCAGACGAGTACTGGATCTGTAGACATTTCACTTATACAGCTTATCATCCAACATCCACATGTCGAATGGGAGCCAAGAATGATAAAACAGCAGTGGTAGATCCTGAACTAAGGTATTTTTATATTTCAGATGTGTTTCAGTATTACATTAATTTGATTATTTTTATATATTGGCAGCAAAGTTTCCAAATTACAACTAGAAATTGGGAAATATTATGTACATCGTTTTATCTATTTGATACAGAAGGTTTTTAAAGAGCAATATAAGCGTTAATATGAAAAATTAGAGAATAATTTATTTTTATATAATGCAGAGTGAGAGGAGTCCAAAACCTTCGAGTCGTCGATGCTTCCGTCATGCGCAATGTGCCCTCCGGAAATACAAATGCTCCAACGATAATGATTGCAGAAAAAGCTGCGGATATGATAAGAAATATAAACAGTGTGAAACCCATCAGAAAGAGAACTGATAAACTTTGACTAGTGTTGTACAATTAGAAACATTTTACTTGTAATGTGAGGTTATATTCGGATAACTGCCATTTTGTAGTTGGTTATTAGTCCCCTACCGGTGAAACCGGAGGGGACTATAGGTTTCCTCTGAGTCTGTCCGTCCGTCTGTCTGTCTGTCCCTCTGTCTGTCTGTCTGTCTGTCCCTCTGTCTGTCTGTCAGTCTGTCTCACTTGGTTTTCCGCACTTTTTTTCCTAAACTCTTGCAGATATTGAGCTGATATAAAGGTATGTGAGTGTACCTTGATGAGTTACAGATCAAGTTTGCATTCCGTTCCGCTTCATTGATTTTTGACGGAATTACGACCTCTTCAATTTTTAAGGGTTTTCTGCAATTTTCTTCTAAACGCTTGCAGATATTGAGATGATTTTTGGTATGTGACTTTACCTTGATGAGTTATAGATCAAGTTTGCATTTCGTTCCGCTTCATTGATTTTTGACGAAATTATGGCATTTTCAATTTTAACGGGAACCAGATTACACTTGCCGGTAGGGGACTAGTATTGCTAATGCAATACTCTCAGAATATTTGTTTTATTTCATTTTTCTGTTCTTTTCATTGACTAATGAAGGCTGATATTTTCAGGATTTAAAGTAAAGATGATGCTTTGGATTGGATTTTTGAATATAATGGGTCCTGTCTTACTGTGTTACAAGTTCTTATTACCAGGAATACTCAATTAAAAAAATCTTAAATAGGATGTTTGCAATTGTGCAAGCAAGTGATTTTTGTAGATTAAATTCAGATTGAGTGTACAATTTTTTTTCTTTTGTACTTTGTTTTTAATGGTCAGATTGACTTGTAAGCAATAAGGAAAAACATATGTAACCAAAATATTTCATACTAGTATTTAATTTACCATACATACTACTAAAGAGCAAGAGACTGATTGAGGCGTGTATGCTGGGTTTACTCTGACAACATCACTCTTAAAATTTGTGACTGTGACAATTTTAGATGTAGTTAGAACTGTCATATACAGTCAAATAAATATATCTACATTCAGAATTGTTGCAGATAACCAGACAATCTATTTTGTTGATCCTTTATTGAACTATTTCTTGCATTTGTGCCCAACATACCTTACTCTATCAATTTGGTTTGCTTTATTATATCATGATCAAATTGCAATTCTGTGAATCTTTACAGGGTTGTATCATACTCAGGTGACTTTAAGGTCCTTGGGCCTTTGTTACGGCTTTCAATTGTCAATTCCTTTTAGAGGAATACTTATGTCACACTTTCCGACTTTTTGAGTTTTATGACTATTCATTTTCATCTTTTTAAATAGATATATATGAATCTAAAGACACTCAGACTTTATTGATTGGTTCTATAATTCTTAAAAGAGCGTTTAGGCCTATGGGCCTCTCGTTTAAAATTGTCTTAATATGTATAGAGCAGTTGAGTTGAAAAATTATATTTTTAAAGGTTTATTTTACATAGTTTGGAATGGTCAGAAAACGCTCAGATACTAGTATTTTATTTCGTAACATTCAGCTAACATCAAAGTATAGGGAAAACACTGCAAAGAAGTGAAGGCTTTGTTAAAAATGATCTGCAAAATATAATAATAAAAATAATAATACTACAAAATAGCTATTTTCCGTAAATGTTTATAGAGTACCATCTTGAGTTAACATAAGAAGTAATATAAATACAAAAAGAGATGATCAAAATTATCATGCAGTATTCTCTTACAAGTTCATACAACTACGGTCAATAATTTTTAAAGAAATCCTATATAAAAAGTACGAATCGTGGGGAGGAACCAGTAACTTTTTTGAACTTTTTTTTCAAATCCTTTCAAAACAAACAAAACAATCATGGACAGACATCAAAAACACAGAACCCTGGAAACACTAGAGGGGGGATCAGATGGCTAGGAGGAGTAAACATCCCTTGACGACCAGTCGTATCCGTCTATTGATCAAATAAACAGTATTTGACGGAAAATGTAATCCGTATTCACAACTAATGATAAAGAAAGCACTAGCCGTTCTCACTTTGGTGTACCGAATAGTCTGGGAGACATACACCATATGCAGAGATTAGTGGATTAATACTACTATATATGTACTATCAATAAGTAACGTTGACGGTTAAAAAAGCTAAAATACAAATGCTTTAACAACTATTGATTGCAGAAAATGCTACAGATATGATAAAAAATATAGACAGTGTGAAATTCATTAGAAAAAACTGATAGATTGCAACACTAGCAATTAGCACCATGTAGATGAAGACTGGTACACGGGACAGAATTCATCAGAAAATGATTAGGTACCGATACATAAACATGAAATTTTATTAAAGTTTTTCATATTTTGTATACGTACTCTCCTATTGTAAAATTAGTATTTAATTGACAAGTTAACATACCAGATATACATACCTGAAACTTCAGTGCGGTTCAATTTTTATCATTACTGTCCAGGTCAAAAGTACATCTGAGGATGTTTTGTAATGGGCTAATATAGAGAACGAGAGGGGTAAGCACATACGACCTATAACTGGACAATCTCCAAATAATACTTATTAGGTCTTTCCACCTTTCTGTGGAAAGACCTCTTGAAATGCTTATGTTTATTATTATTATTATTATTTTTCTTCCCGGACTTTTGAAACCGCAAGACTTATCGAAAAACTTTATAGTTCATGATACTGGATATCAAAAGTTATTCCGAAAAACGACCCCCCGTGTTTGACCTATGACCTCTTACGAAGTTATTGCCCCTTTTGCAAGAATAGCTTGTTATCGCTACTCCTTTGAAACAGTAAACCGTAGAGGTATGGAACCTTCACCAATGTCTTCGACTGATTGAGGGGACTCTTCAATCTTTTCATTGCGAAAGTATTTGTGGACCCCTTTTATGAGTTATTGCCCCTGAAAGTTTTTGATGTTTACGAATAATTAAAAATTTTCAAAACGATAAGTCGTAGAGACATAGGACCAATTGCATAAGATTCATTGACCTTTGACCTTAAAATATATGCAAAGGTCAAAGGTCAAGGTCATTCAAAATGTGAGAAATTCAGTTCTTTTTATATCTCTTTTGTCTTTCAACATATACTAATTATCTTTGCATCATTAATATGTCCTTTTAAAACTATTTCAAAGATTTCATACTTGTCCCCTAAGATTTACCCCTTTAAAAGTTATTGCCCCTTTTACTGAAAACCTTGTTATCGGTACTCCTCCGAAACCGTAAACCTTAGAGGCACAAAACCTTCACTAATGTCTTCAGGGTCTTTAGACACAACTTCAATCTATTCAGTGCGAAAGTATCCGATGACCCCTTATATGAGTTATCGCCCTTTAATGTCGTTACACTTACTATTAAACCTTGTAACTTAAAACTAAAGGTCGTAGAAGCATGGGGTCAAGTGCAATGTGACCCTTGACCTTTGACCTTGAATATTTGTTCAAGGTCAAAGGTCAAGATCATTTCAAAAATTTTTAATTTTTCATTTTTTCTATCTTTCAAGCCATTTATGGATTCTTTTTGTATAAAAATTAACTTTAGAGAGTAAAATATGAAAAATATATGAAATTTAAAGAAGGTGGAAAGACCTCTAATTGTTCGAGAACAATTAGTCTACTAGTTTGTCTTTTTTATTCAACCATGTGTTACCGTACAATGGTAACAACATTTGTACATGTTTCTTTGTGATCTATGATGATAAATGTTGCATATATTCTCGTTCATACTTATAATGGAATATTAGTTATATAACAAGCTAGAGGTCTATTGGTCTTGTTATACAACAATCTAGAGGCCTGTAGGTTTTGAGGGTCTCCTCTCACCATCTATGATAAACACGGCCCAATATGGAACTGGAACTCCACACCCATGTAATATGAATTTTCCAATCTGGTAGAGAATTTTTTGTTCACATTGAGGTATATATGTTCATAATGTCCAGGAGTAAGAAGTAAAACATTTAAAAATGTATGAGGAATTTTAAATACATGTATATGACAATTTAGCCCTCTCTTGGACCAAATTTGGATCAAATCTTAAAAACATCGGACATGAATTTCATGAATTTCAGTAGTTGCTCAAAAGTCAATAATATTTTCAAAGATATAAACATACTTACTTTTCAATATCATGACAGTTTGGCCCTATCTCGTAGCCTGATTCCTTCACCCAGGTGACATGAAACAACTCTGGTAGAGAACTCAATAAATATCATTACCATGGAAAGAATTACATATTACCACTTTGTGTCCAGGAGTTAAAAAATGAATAATTTTCAAAATACGACCAACTAAGCACGGTCCTTTGGCCTGAGTCCTGTTTCAAGATGTAATTATTCTCAAACAAGGTCAGTTTCTCACACAAGAAACACCTTCAAAGTTTATGCAGTCCATTTACTTTATAAAATGTCTTCATTTTCCTCTTCTTCTTTTTTTTTTTTGGGGGGGGGGGGGGGGGGTAGCACAAGATGAAAACAAAAAAAAATAGTTTTGCTTATTTAATTTTATAATGTAAATTTTCAGGTAGTGTAGATTGACGTTCGTTCAAATCATGGGATAAGTGGGAGCTTATAAAGTGAGCTAACTGTTTGTTAATACCATGCAGCAATTTTTTCCTGCTAGATGTCCAGAAGTAAAGAAGATTTTTGAAGACTTTTTCGTTCTGGCTTCGTACTCCATGGGGACGTGGAAATTCAAAACTTTTTAAACAAAATTATCCATAGATCCTGAATGAAATACTTAGCTAAAACTAGTTTTAGAGAAGGAGCTGAAATTTTACAATAATGAAAGAACGACAAATGACCTAAACAAGTATTCCTAATCTATTAATCTATTGGGCAAAATACTTATCAATTTTGCGAAACACTTTTGTTTTAGAGATCAACTGAACAGGTTCTTGTACTAAATTTTGATTTCATCACATCTTATAAAGCTATTTTATAGTGAAACCTACCTAGGTGAACTTCAAGAACACGATGATCCAAAAGGGGACCGTAATAGCCTTAATACTTGGTGTCATTGCTGTATACTTCACGAACCGCAAGGTTGGACCACTAGAACTTTACTCATTCAACTCTTCATATGATTACATCATCTGTAAGTAAAGATGATATTATACATTACACATTTTTTAAATAAATCTTTCATTCAGAAACGAAAAAATGGTCAGACGCAAAAGAAAAAGTCACTAGGTATATTTGACGATTTGTCTTAAAATTCAAAATTTTTTTCAGTAAATTTCTGATTTTCATTTCTCTTTACGCAGTAGGAGCCGGATCGGCCGGATGCGTCCTCGCAAATAGACTTTCGGAAGATCCAGAATCCTCGGTACTTATCCTTGAAGCCGGGGGTTCAGAAGATGAAAATGGAGACATAAGTGTTCCCATCTCCTCTGCATTTGTTCAGCTATCAAGACAGGACTGGATGTTCCGAACTGTACCTCAGGAGAAAGCGTGTTTGGCAATGCGTGACAGGGTAGGTACGCATTTCTTAGATTTTTAGAATGAGCAGAGCCATGGACATTCTTAATCATTTTGAGAGAAAATTTTAGAATGGTGACTCAAAGTACGAGAAAAAGAGTTCTATGGATTTATAAAGATTATTCCAAAGGAAATCAGAATCAAAGTTGTGTGTTGGTGTCAGACACCAATTGTCTACACTATATTATAAAAACTTATTAAATTTCAAAATACATGTATATATAATCACTATCAAGTAGTATCTAATTATATTTTCTTTATATTTGTTTTTTCAGAGGTCTGCCTGGCCACGAGGAAAGGTTCTTGGCGGTAGTAGTAACTTAAATTATATGCAATATGTTCGTGGAAGTCGTCATGACTACGATGGCTGGGCCAAGGAAGGGTGCAAGGGTTGGAGCTATAAAGATGTCCTCCCGTATTTCATAAAATCCGAGGATATTCAAATTCCAGAACTTATGAATTCAGGTACATATAACTTGCTTGAACGAGTAATGTGGCTGTTATGAACTGAAGAAAGACTATGTTTTGAAATTACAAATTTCCATGGAAATGCAATAATTATAAACGCTTCTTAGGCCATTATTTACATACTGAATTGTCGACGGATTTTTTCGTTATTTCCTGATCATGACAAGGAGCACACGGCGGGTGTGACCGGTCGGCAGGGGATACTCACTCCATGACACCTGATCCCACCTCTGATTTTTTGGATGTCCATGTTTGCTCTGCTAACTATCTATATTGTTTTAATAGACTTTGAGCTTGAATACTGTTCGTTATCGCCGTATTTCATATAAACTTATATTGACAATAATCGAAAAAGAAATTCTGAAATATATATTCTGAAATATATATTTTATTTTTCAATGTAACTTTAACTAAATATCCTTTTACTTTTTAAAGTGGTTTATGAAAGTTTAATTACGTTATTTACATGCACTGCCTTTACTAGTATATGGCAAAAGTATATATTATTGTACCCTTCCCATAGAATCTACCAGTATATTTTTCAAGAGAGAAAAAAAATTGTTTAGCGTACAGTGTGTACGTCCTAGTATTTTAATTTTTAGCCTACCATGGAAGAGGGGGATATTTGTCCGTCAGTGACGCGACTGCCACTACCCTTGGTAGAAATGTATATGCACGTGCAATGGAGGAGCTCGGTCACACTATCACAGATTGTAACGGAAAATCACAAATTGGTTAGTCTCGACACTACATAGAAGTTACCTTAACGAAGTAAAGACTCGTCACCAACATTTTTTATCAAAAATTTATCGATGACAAATAAAGAATAATACAGAAATTTTGTAAAATGTAAATCATTTCGTGTCAACAGAGAATGGGAGTTGAAAAGGTAAACAATGGAAATATTCCAAGATTCATCTTCAACCACCACCTTTTCTTCTGCTGCTCCATTTTATCTTCTCCGCATTAGCCTCACCTCACCTAATTATTCCAACTTCCCCACCTTTTCTCTCCATTAATTTCTTCCTCTTACAAGCTTTGTATCATCTACTCTTTTTGTAAGCTTTTTACAATTCCATTGATTTACATAGATTAATGCATGATACATTTTAATAGGTTATTGTTCTTCTCAAGAAAATGTCGGAAATGGGGAACGTTCGAGCACCGTAAAAGCCTTTCTGAGACCCGCCATGGAACGCCAGAACCTCCATGTCTCCATCAATTCTTATGTTACTAAGGTAAATTCAAACATGGCTCAGTACATATATATCATCATTTTTTCTTATCCATCCTCACGAAATTTATATGGTGTGATATTCAAAAATATGAATTCTTTTTGTTAACCATCGTTAAGAAATTTAAATGGAGTGATATTCGAGAGTACATGAAAATAGACACTACCTTAATTTGTGTCTAAGATCCTGATGAAAGATAAGAAGGCAGTCGGAGTATCGTTTGTGAGAGACAACAAGAAGTACGTCATAATGGCGAACAAGGAGGTGATTCTCTCAGCAGGTTCGGTGCAGTCTCCCCAGATCCTGATGTTGTCTGGAATAGGACCAAAGGAACATCTCAAATCCATGGGGGTACGACACAAATATGCAATTACCTTTATACATGTACATTATAGTTATACAATTTATGCACAATAGTTACATACATTGAATTTTTTAGACTATATCATGTAGGTTTTACAACTGGTTACGAATTTCTTTTATAGTTGTTGAATATTTTTACTCTGTAGAATATAATTGAATTTGACCTATTTGACAAAGATAGACTTCTATTCAGATCCCAGTGGTTGCCGATCTGCAGGTAGGAGATAATTTACAGGATCATTTGAAGACGTTCTTAGACTTTCATGACAATACCACGAGTTCGGCCTCCAAAACTAAGATCATGTCACCCATATCACAGATACAATACAAGGCTTTTAAGTCAGGTAAATTCAAAGACTTTTGAAACAATGATTCGAAATTTCAACTTCATTCTGACATATTGTCTTATAATATGTCAAAAAATTGAGTTTCTTACATAAACTTTTATCTAAATCGCCAGTGACTGGCCGGCACTGAAACAGGAACCACTAGATTACCGTGCAGCGTTTACCCATCTTCCTCATATTATAAAAAGTGCGTAATTTGTAGTGCAATGTTTTACTTAAACATTCTTCAAACTTTGTATAATCTTTTGAACAGTTACAAGATTCAGTTATTAGGATTTTTAATGTCATTTCATTATAAAGACTGTGCAATTTTTAATCGCCACTATACATTCTACACCCAGTGATTGCATACATTTGAGTCATTGAGAGATACTCAGTAGTATAGACCAAACTCGGCCTTTTCTTTTCAGGTCGGTCTGATCCGTTGTGATTAAACTTGTTTCAGTCATTGTTTTTGTATCCCGATTTAAATCTATAACTTTAATATACCTTTTCATTATTTGCGTTAAAAATGATTTGGATGCTTTATTTCACAGTATGCAGTAAATATTATTGTAGGAATAATGAGCAGGCCTCATACGGAGGGAACGGCGTTTCTCACGAAGGATGAAAAGCTTCCGCCACATATTGAGCTTCATTTCTTCAGCTTTATGTATGAGCCTGAGCTCACTGACCTGTTCTTAGACATGCTTAATATAGATCGGAAGGTACATGTTGTTGTATTTCTCTTTGATATCAAATTAGTTGATAAAGCTAATGTATGCAGGAAACAAACTTGCTTTTTGCATACAGGTGTCTATTGATTTGCCTTTTTAATTTTTTTTTTTTTTTTTTTTTTTTTTTTGGCTTGTGCTTGTCAATACGAAGTTAAAAGAAGGAAAACAGAGGGAATTTCAAAGAAACAAAGACAGAAATATTGGGACATTTAGTGTGCTTCCGGTTCTTCTTCATCCCAAGAGTCGAGGAACCATCCGCCTTCAGAGTAACGATCCTTTTGATCCGCCACTCATTAACCCAAACTATCTCGACCATCCGGATGATATCAAAACGTTCCTGAAAGGTATTTAAATTTTAGGTCTTCTTCTGTGTTTTAAATCAAGTTTACTATACTCTATCTGATTTGACATGTGTTACAAATGGTAGGGTTTGGATCTGTACATAAAAATTCAACTTATTAGGTGAAAGATACTATGTGTTGGATGACCTATTCGTGGTTATTGAAGCTTACACGTTTTGCCTTGTATTGCTAAAGCATAATGAATTATTTAACATCAAGAAATTATTGAATACCAAAAAAATATTGAATAGTAAATTGTAAATATTCATTTAAAAGTCATGTAAAGGTTCTGGTACAATTTGTTTCAGTTACCTTTTGTACAACTTCATTAGTTCATACAAGTACATCGTCACAAATATTGCAGTTTGGGGTTTTTGTGGCATATTTCTAGGAGTTCGGGAGGTTTTAAAATTGGGTGACACTACAGCTTTCAAGTCAATTGGTGCCTCATCCCAGGATCCTCTTGAGACTTACCTCCCACAGTGTGACGATCTTTCTCCAGGATCAGACGAGTACTGGATCTGTAGACTGAGACATTTAACGTACACAGTCTACCATCCGACGTCCACTTGTCGAATGGGAGCCAAGGATGATCCCACAGCAGTTGTAGATTATGAACTTAAGTTGGTTACATTTATACACTTCATCATTTTGCAGTGTTTTCATCATTCTACCTTTTTATCATTTTTGGGCAAATGATAGAATTTTTGTATTGAAGATTTTAGCTATTCTTCGTGATGATATTCAGTCTCTCACAATACATGCATCATTCTGTAAATCCTAAGATACAACAGATACTATTCAGAAGTTTTCACAAGTTTGAAGGAAAAAAGAAGAAAATTTTACTTTACAGGGTGAGGGGAATTCAGAGTCTACGAGTGGTGGATGCTTCCGTCATGCGCAATGTGCCCTCGGGAAATACAAATGCTCCAACAATTATGATTGCAGAAAAAGCTGCAGATATGATAAGAAATATAGACAGTGTGAAATTCATAAGAGAAAAAACTGATAAATTGCATTAGTACCATGTAGATGATGACTGCGTGGTACAAGTGACAAAAGTCGTCAGAAAATGAAGTACATGTATATGTACATAAAATGAAAGATATTACTGTGTATACGTACTCTTCTTAAGTACGTGTTTCATTACAGTTGTAGCTGCAGGAAACCAATGGAGACAGTAAGCTACATGTGAAATATTATTAATATATTTAGCCTCATATCGATGTTTATGTTTTAAGACAGGGTAAGAAAAAAATAAAACGTAAATTTTTAAACATACTTTGTGTTATCACAATGCGGGTAGAGAAGTTGGCGATCGTTTAGAGATTGATTCGTGTTGCAAAATTTGCGAGAAATTTAACTGTTGCCAGACCATTCTCATCATCTCTCTGCGCTTTCCCAAATGTCTTATGTTCTCCCCAAAGTTTTGACACTACCATAAGGAGTCTCTTAGCGATGCAAAGGTTATCAGTCTCTTAAACCATTAACACAGAGATGGCGACTGTTGACGTTTGCTGGTCATATCTTTCAACGGCCGTCCAATCATCGCCATGATCTTTCAGTGGTCTCGCACAGGTCTCAACTGTCTCCGTTGTCTCGTTGAAGCTTTTACACTACCTAAAACAGTCTTTCACCGATCTCAAAGATATTTAGCCTCTCAAAAAATGCCCACCCAAAAGGCGCAGAAAGCTTAAGATCGCTTGGATCTCCCAATGATCTCTCAGATGTTTTACAAAAGAACACAAAATGTTTTGAACGCATAGAAATCTGGCAGCGGTTTCTTTCGGTCATACAGTGATCTCTTCTGGTGACACTTGATCTCTCGGCAATCTCCGTAAATCTTCGATCGTAGAACTTGTGGAGATCGCTATAGAAAATTTAATCTACACACAATCTCTGAGGGATCTTTCTATATGCTCTCCCTAAGCTCATAGATCGCTCATTGATCTCGACAGAATGCCATGAAATATAGCAATATCCTGAATGTTTCATCGCACAAGAGTGCTCAATAACATTTATAAAGAATTCGACAGAATTTTCGGGGCTTTCAGAGATCGCAAAGAGATCGGATAAGTTGTACATCATTCAAAGGTTTCTCAAGATCTCCATGTGTGTAAAGGATGCCTTATAAAATGCCCAATAGATAACCCAAAGAGCAAAGAAGGGTACCCAACGATCTCTTGGGAGAGCAACTTCTGCTGGAGTTCTTGATGAAATATCCGAGAATTGTGTGAAATCTGAGAAAAAGTATCAAAGCAATTCTTCAATTTTTCACCGCACAACTAGCAATTAAAATTATCTCCCTAAAAATCCCTTTACACACTTGAATTCAGAAAACCGTTGAGAGGCCTTTGAGCGATGTAAAACTTGTCCGATTTCTTCGTGAACCCTGAAAGCATCGAAAAGTACGACTTTGTGTTAAAGTGTGGAGATCTGGGAGATGAAAAATCATGGCGATGACTGGGCGACTATTGAAAATGTTCAAAGACAACTGATGAAATGTTGGTGAACTCATTGTTGCTTACTTAAATGGGGAAAGTACATGCAAATCTAGGCCGCCAAATGACATGTTTAAAATGCTTGAATTGATTACAAATTGAGTAATCAACTTTAGATTTCAATTTATTTCAGATTAGATTCTGAGGGCAGATCACTATCACTGCATAAAATATCATGGAATTAGAATTTCGTGTCCAGTGTATAGAGGGTTCTTACTAAAATAAACCACCTTTTAATAAAATGCTTTTTTGAATCCCTGTTTGCTGTTTGTATGAAGATGTAGATGGTTGTATTTTTTTTCTTTGTTCATTTCCGAGCTCTTTCGATCTGCATGGAGTCTTCAGAGACATGATGACATTGTGTATAATGTTTCTAGTGTGATATAACTCCATGAAGTTGTACGTCTGGAATATTAATGAAAAATTAATTTCGTTTCTATTTAATTTTTTTTTTCGAAGATTTTACTACTAACCAAAATTTATTATATATTTGGACATCCCCTTTGTCAAAAGGTCATCTTTTGAGTGGAGCGAATAATTTTGTTACCGACTTAACAAAGTCTCTCTGTGCTTACCTATTGCGCATGCGCTTGTGTACATTCCTCCAGCCAACCGATAAAACACGAACAATGAAAACTAGCGTTAATTTTCATCAATTTATTTTATTCTGTGTGCAGATTTGTGGAAAGTAAGTTGAATAAAACACAGTAAAATATATTTAAAAGTAAATCATATATTTATTTGACAAAGGAAAATCGCTGACAGAGTAAAACATATCAAACTGATCAATGAGAGGTACTTGTCTAACCATGAAAAACTCTGTAAAACTTGATTTTACCTTCTTGACTTGATGTGCTATTATTTTTGCAAACTTTTTAGTTAAACTGTTTTTTTGTTACTATACAGTCGTTTACAATTATGTACAGCACTTTTTAAAATGTGTTTAATCTTCTCTTTTTAGTTAAGCAGGAATGTAAAAGTAAACTGAAAAAGATAAGTCACAGGTGAGAATGGATACTAATACCCAGAAGAAAAAGTTGCCCGATCGGCCGTTTTATCTTCCTCAAGGAGAAACAACTAGTTCTAGAATTATCACTGAAGCAAAAGAATCTCTCGGCAATAGAACAGGCTTACAGGCAGTAGTAACAAAGAGACCATGCACACCCAGGGATGCCACAAGATCTTTGTTTGGTGCATCAAGCTCCAGAACCCCAGAAAACAGACCACCAAGTTCTTTCAGGTTTTTGTTAAATATTTTTGTTGTCTTTGGGTGTTGTTTTAGTGGCTCAAGCATCTAAGGGATATCTTTTTAAGGTTCCCAAATTGGGAACCTCAAAAGATACCCCGTAGGTGCTTTGCCAATCCTTCATGTTCCTTAATATACTGTTGTTGGCCAGTTCCTAATTTTGATAAGTGCCAAATAGTCAATAATTCTAGAACTAAAAATTGATATATATATAAATGTGCAAATCTGAGCTATCATGCATTGCTACAAGAAGACAGATTTTTTAGTATTAGTACCAGTACAAATTATAGAGTAATACATATGTAATTATTCATTTTGTTATAAAATTTCATTTGCACAAATTGTAATTAACAGCTTAGGATCTCGTCACTTTGATGGATCTGATACCTCTAGACCAGCTTCCAGAGGACGCCTTCAACCCATCAATCATGTAAGATTCCTATAAAGTATTTTTTGTCAAATCTTGCTTCAAGAGTAATATAATAATGTTTCCTGTAATAACTGCATAATGTTTTTTTACTATAATTGGGTAGACTTTACTTTACCGGTCCCCAGATCTGCAAGATCCTCGCGCTCATTGCACTATGACATAACATTTACGTCACTCAACTGATTAGGGTTAGTTTTGCACAAGTTTTCAACTGATCAGAGTTAGTCTCGCATCCGTACGAGAGATTAGGGATAGTCCTCACACATGGGTTAGTCTAGCATCCACCTGGGAGATTTGGTTTAGCCCTCGCATTTCATATAAGAGATTAGGGTTAGTGTCTTGTTCTTTTAGATTAATTAAGAAATTCCTTTGCATCTGTATTTTTTGCAAGATCTTAATTCAGTTTCAACGACATCTCGTTGGTTTGTTTACATGAAAGAAAAATGGCTAAGTACGAAAGAAATGGCACTAAGTATGCGCCGCACGCGCTTCTTTGACAATTATTTTTTGTCTCCTTTTCACTGAATAAACAATATTTATTACTTTTTTCAGAGAACGGGATTAAAAACTTCATTTAAAAAACAAAGTTTTAAACTAAACTTTTAACCATAGAATTCGATTTTGAGGTCAAAAAGGCTTAAAACCTCATACTTTTTACTTTTTTCGATCGCTCACGCGATCTCATATTTATTGAAGTCACCTACAGCAACACTATATTTTAGCGCATTTTTCTGGAGACGGGTAAAGTGAATCGTCCCCTATAATCTATTTGCCTGGAATATTTTTTCATAGCTTGGAGTTATAAAATTTTAGAGAAATGTCTGTCAAATTTAAGAATCAAATTATAAAATTAAAAATTATGCATATATGTATTTTTATGCCATTTACCATCAGAATTTACTTAGACATAATACATGTATTTGATTGGATCTGAAATTCAGAAGCTTCATTGTAGAATTATGGGTCTTTCAATACTCTGTTTTAAAAGATACTGAAGTAATAAATTACGTTCAATAAATAAAAAGAGAATGACATGTACTTGACATGTTAATAGCTATGTGGAAACATTGATATTCAGGAAACAGGCACATTTCTTAGCTGAGATTTTCGTTTTCCTCTTATATGCATAAAGTAGTACCAATTAGTTATCCCCCCCCCCCTCTTTATATGATGACAGAAACTTTACGTGTATTGGAATTCAGACCTCCACAGTTTGCTTTGATGCATGTCTTCCTGGTTTAATTAGAAAATAATCAATTATTTAGCACTCAGTATATAGATGTAGAAAATATTGCCACTTAATTGATTTCTTTTTCTCCAACTCTACTGATCTTAAACGATATCGGTGTTTCTTCATTTATCTTCAACTAATTAGTTTTTAAGAAAATTCAATGTCTGTATTGCACTTAGAAATGCTGATTAGGTTTCATTAAAAAAATTGTGATCGTGAAAAATTTTCAGATTATTTTGAAGAAAATAAATTATGTATATTAAAGACTTTTTTTACTGCTTTTTTCATCATTTCTTTCCATGCTTGAGTCTGGGACTAATGTAACCATGTCTTAATTTCAGACACCTATTTTCTCTACCCTCTCAGAAGAAGTAAGCATGTTCTTTGTTTGTCTGTCTGTAGCATGCTGAATTAAATGATGTATACAGGGAAGGGGTAGGGGTATAGCAAGGATAGTGTCCCAATATAGGCAGTTTAGTTTACAGCTTTTAGTACTGTTGCAAAATGTGGATGAATTTTTTTAGGAATACAGAATACATAAAGGGGTGATGGAATACATGTATTCAAAAAAAGAGAAAGTTTCATTCTGTAGTGGTTATTGTAGTTTTATATGAAATGCAATGTTAATCCTGAAAGAATGATAATCTGTATGAAAAAGGGTAATATTCAAAGTAACTTCAAATATTAACATTTTAATGTAATATACCCTTGTTGTATATTGTCATACAGATGTTAATTTCACAGCTTTTTTAATACAACTTAATTTTTGTTTTGAATATTTTTTTAATAATTTGATTTGTGTTATCTGAATTTTTATATAATTTTATTTGTTTGTTACTTTCAACCTTTATTTATATTGTGAAAGTCCTCATTGTGCATTTTAAACTGTTGATTATTTGTGACTAGATAAAAAAGGGAAGACTATATTTAGAATGTTAAATTTCCATTGATACCAGAAACCCAAAATTCCTACAGAAGAGGAAATAGACTCAGGATTACTTCCTCCAAAGCCACCATCTGACCCCAACAAAGTTCAGAGGGGGAAGGCTACCAGAACACGTCTACAACAGTCCACCAGTGTAGAAAGCTCTCTAAGTTCAGAGGTCAAATCTGGACTAGAAACCAGTCCCTCTGATGGTAAGATTACTTACCTAGAAATTCAGTACCGTATAGTTCAGTTTATAAAGTGAAGAGACATACATCACATGTCATAGACAGTACAAAATTCAGATGTTTAGCACATGTATGTCAAAAATATGTGCATACTGAATATGAAATCTGTAAAGTTTTGCCAAGGTTACTATAGACATAATCTATTCAGTTTAATGTTGTTTTTACATGTATATACATCACATCATTAAATACCATTTGTATCATTTTGATAAATACTACCATGTGATTTACTGACTAAATGTAACAAGAGTTTTTTTTTTCCCCGCTGATAGGAAATCAGGTGATAAAGAATGCAGATGAGTCAGTTAGAAGAGTTCATAGTGGTCCAAAAGAGAGGACCCCGATTCCTGTGGAGGAAAGGGGAGAAGGAGATGGGAGAGAAATGCCCCACAGAGCGCCTAGCTCAGCCTCTGTTCGAAGCCCCCCTCGCAGGTATATGTACACTTCACAATGCTTGTATGCTACATGCAGAATAGGGACAGTTGTAATAACTGATTTATCACATTTCATGTAGAAAAATAATGTTTAATACATATGTTTTAATCTGAAGAAAATTTATGTTGATTTTGCAGTGCTGAGAGTAGGACAGGAAGTGGTGGTACAAAGAGGACATCTAGTGCTGGGAGTACAGGCAGGGGAGGTAATCAATATGTTAAAAAATAAAGAGTAAATAAAATATATATATATGCCATACGGATATAAAGAGGAAAAATAATAAGGAAGAGAAAGGTGAAAAATACGTGTATAGTCAAACCTCTTTATCTCGAACTTAATGGAAAAACATCGGGATATCTGAAGATTTGAGATATTCAAGGTAAAATACCTAAAGAATAAGGGGTTGGGACTTCCAAATCACTTTGACATATCCATGGTATTCTAGATATCAGTGTTCGAGATACAGAAGTTAAACTGTATAAATATTTAAAATGGTGTACTTGTTCACTGATGATTCAAAACATTTATATGAATTTTAAAGACTTTTTCAAAAGATGAGAGAAAAATTCTACAAATTTCTATCTGTCTAAGGTTCGGCAGGTAGGAGAGAAGAAGAGACAGCAGAGGAAGCCTTATTTTTCAGTCAGAATATAACCCCACTGTTAGATCGAATGACTGATGCAAGCAGCAGTAAGTCTCTTCATTATTTTCTTCATTATTTCTTTGTACATTGCAAATGTAAACTCAAAAATCAGCATGATGGAAAAAATGGAGATTCTTTTTTTTTCTGCTTTTGATGTGAATCACAAAAAACAAATGTATGTTATGTAATGCCTTTTGTCTGTTGACTTATTTAACATATCAATTATGATCATAAAATTGTAACTAAGTGCACATATATACCAGTATTTTATGAAGAGACTTCATAAGTCAAGGTCAAGTTATCTGTCAGGTATATGTTATAAACAAGTATGGGGGAACACACATAAAACTTGTCCACCATAGGAATTTGCTACTACTTGGGCATTATCTTTTACAAACTTGGGTAATCTTTGTTTTATCTTACAAGTAAGCATGTATGTTTTCCAATAGATTTTGAAAATGTAAACTGATTGCTGTATTACTCATTTTTAATCTTATTTGTAGAGAAAGATGCTAAGAGACTAGGGCAGGTGACAGAAGAATTGTACTCCTTACTGCAGAAGGAAAACTTACTTGGCAGGAGTTGTAAACAACGTACCACTATCCTAAAATCTATATTTAAACTTCTTGATGTAGAGGACTCACGTATACAGCTCAAACTGGCAAGACTGATTCTTGCTGTAAGATTTTTTTTTTGCATTGATTGATTCAGAATACATATATTATTAGAGAAAGCCTGATATACATCGGAAAGAAATATGTAACATGTATAATGTATTTGAACACTGGTTTGTTTTAATTCATTTTCCATTTTTTTTTTTTTACAGTTGAAGGTTACAGGAACTAATCTCCTAAGTGCTTGTAAATTGGTCTTCAAAATTAGCAGAAATGAAAAAAATGATCCAGAGTTTCTTAAAGGAGATATTCTCGGTAAGTTTAGTTTGCAAGCATTGTCTTTACATACATGTACTATCAAGGTTATTGTACATGTGTTGTGTTCAACAAGTTACTACTAGTATCTAGGTGACATCAACAAGCATGATGTTTGGAAATAAATGTTTAATTTGACGATGATGAGTTAACCCACATGAATATTTGTTTGATTGAAAATTATGTGTTTTTCAGATGTACTTATGGACACACTGAAAAGCACAGATCCTTTCAATGCTAGTGAAGCCCTGGTATTCTGTATAGGGTCCTTAAAACTGTTAACTGGTAATTCTACAATAGTCAAACAGTTAGTGAAGAAGGACTGTATAGAAAGCCTGGCTATTCTCCTCAACAGTATTAATAAAACTGTGAGTATACAGCAACACAATTATTGAATCTCTTCAGTTGAATTTTTAGCTCCTTTGCATAACTCGTGCATAAATTTTACATCAAACTTGCCACCAAGTATCCTTTGGTGAAGGGGGATCAATTTTTTTTTCAAATGGTCTTGTCCCTTTCAAAATACATGCAGTGTTATTTAGAAATAGTTGGAGAAGGATGGGTTTATGTTAAGTATTTTTAAGAACAAAGGAGCTAGAAAAAATAAAACTTCAATGTATGTGGAAGCTTCCTTATATTGTGAAGAGTCGAGTTTAATTATGGCCCCCTGAAACTCAAGATTGGACCTAAAAGGGGACAAAAGTGGTACATGCAATTATGTTGGAAATAGGAAAAGTCTTGACATTTCTTTTTCTCAAGAACTGAAATGTGGGCTTTTATAGAAATGTACAGTTACTGTAGTACTGTTACTGTAGTAAAAAAAAAACTTTAAAAAATTTCAAGAACTACAGTATTAAACCCAGTATTTCAGGTATTTTCTTTAGTTGTCCATTTTTTGCAGATAGGACAAATGCTTACAGCAAAGCGAATTTTGTTCCCTTTTTTTTTTAACATTTCATGAATTTAATGGATATAACAAATTACTGTTATAATGAAGCAAAATTGCTCATCCCTGGCACTTCATTTTAAGTGTGTTTTACTTTATCTTCATATACAATTATACATGTACTTGTAGTCTAGATTATCAAAACATACCCTCCAGAGAAATAATGGGACTGTATAAGGAATCAATAATGGTTTAACATTTCAATATAACTACTGTACCAGCTCAATGTGGTCTATTCATCTGCAGGAAAATTATAAGAACATTTCTGTCATTTTTGTAGATAAGGGAAGGCAGTGAGCCAACAACACAGATAGGAAACATTCTTATCCAGGTAATTTTAAAATCCCAATTCTTCACTACTTGTATATTATATCTGACATTTTTTGTAAAAATTGAAAAATGATTTAATAAGTAAGTCCTATTACTAGTAGTTAGCATAAGTTTAGCAACTTGAGTGATTCACATTATAGAGATCCATGTATTTCATAATACTGATGACTTTTTTTTTAAAGCAAAAGAATTCTATAGAAGTATTTTGATGTCCATTTTACTCCATTTTTAAGCCCTTCACTGCATGTTTTGTTGTAGGCTACAGCGGCTTTGAGAAATCTGGCTGATGCTGGCTCCAGTAGAGAGAGGTTATTAGGATGTCAGGCCATTGAATCCCTCTGTCTCATCATAGACAGTTTTACATCAGATGGGGACCTCATGCTTAATATCTCCAGAATATTTAGGTAACTAGTGATGTCTTACTATCAGACTATTGTTGATATAGATTTATTATATGCGTATGCTGTAAACATCTGGCATTTGATGTCAGCTTACCACTTGACTACAAACTAAATAAAAACTTGAAAGTCAATGATCCATGGCGTAGATAAGGCATGATAAAGCTGTCTCAAAATCAGAGGAGATGTGAGTATTTATATTAAAGTACATATGTCTAATAATAAAATTTTTAAAATGGTGATATTTTATTCTTGATTACAGTAAGGTGACATTGCACACAGACTGTTGCACTGCCCTGGCTGATTATCCGACTTCATACAAATCATTTGTCAGTGTCCTCCAGAAACACCAGCACAAGTCTGTAAGTTTATCAAGTACTGTAGATTCCTTATTTTACGCGAGTACTTAATGTCGCGAAAAGGCCCAAGGGCGTCAAATCGCGAGAACAATAATTTGCAAATGGGTGATTTATCTAGGGATTTTACATGCATTAAAGCACCATAAAAATAAAAGTGAGTAATTTTATTTCACAAGTGGTGCTTCTCGTGTAATTACGCTTTAATTTATTCCTCGCATACATTTAGGAATCTACAGTATACACACAAGTTCTCAACTTATCAAATCAAACCATATACTCTTAGATTAAAAAATGAACCAATGTAGGCACATTGTATGCTCATGACAAGTTTTTGACTGAATAATACAGTGAGAAAGTTTCTGAGTAACAATTTCAAATGTAAGAATTTGCAGATATTATCTATAGCTTGGGTGATAATTTAGAGGATCAGTTTCCTAGCATGTTTCAAAACAGGCATGTTATCTTTAACCAGCGGATGTTTATTTCTAGGATGTGGTGGTGCGAGTGAGTTTTGTGTTAGGGAATATGACAGCTAAGAATGAAGTGGCCAGACTCCGCCTTTTCCAGGAGGCGGGGTCTTTTGACATCCTTCTTGCCTTGTTTAGGTTTTACTTGGAACAGGATGTTAAGGTTTGGCATTTTAACCTATTTGACATAAACATTCCAGTATCAAAGAAGCATCATGTAAGATAAAATATTCAACATTATTAATACCAAAGCTGGATATTGATTTAAATATTGCAGTTTATGTTCACTGAAAAGATTTGTATCTCACTCTCCATTAAAAATTTATAGAATCAAGGTAAAGAGGTGAAGAAAGAAGTAACAGAAGATGGCAGCACTGTTAACAAGACAGAGGATGTACTTATAAAGGTCATCAGGGTCATAGCTAACCTGTCAATCAATGAGAATGTGGGACCAGTCATATGTTCTAACTACCAATGTGTTGATTACCTCCTCAAAGTATTAGGTAATGCGATGATAGATAAAACAGATAATGGCATTAAAGAATTAAAGATTAAAATGAACTGTCACATCTGCATTTATTTGAGATATGTGAAATGATGAAGAAATAACGATAATGCTAAAAATAAGTTTTTAAAAGTTACCTCATGCTAGTAAATTGTTAAGCAAAATTGATAATTTTGTTTTTGCGTAAATTTGTTTTTTTGTTGGTTTTTTTTTTTTGAGATATAAGAAATCATGAAGAAATAACTGTAATGTTAAAAATAAATTTTAAAAAGTTGCCTCATACTAGTAAATTGTTAAGCAGTATTGATGATTTTGCTTACAGAAACAAAAGATGTATCCAGTAGTGAAGAACTTGTACTTAATACAGTAGCAACTATCAACAACCTCTCCTTCTACAACACCAAAACCAGTGCCATCACTACACACCAAGTCAGGGTATTAGAAGGTGGGGTTCTATCAAGAACTGAATATTTCACGAAAATACCTTTTGTAATGCCTGTTCAAGATCAGATTTCAAGTTGATTTTTATACTGTTTAGAGAAACAAATTTTCTTTATTTTTGCATTATTTATTAGTGAAGTAGATACACAGATGAAGGTTTGCTTTGTTTAATTAACCGTCGTTTAATTAACAATTTATTTTGTAGCCCTTCTAAAGCTGGTACTGGCTAATAACATGGAGGCAATGGTTGAGGCTTGTCGAGTGTTTGCCAATCTCACTAGACAGAGAGTGGTCCGAGACTTCCTCACTGAACAGAAGAGTAAGTCAAAGGAGATAGTCAGGGATAAAATCATAACACCTCTTCTGTCTCTAAATAAATTCATTCATTCATAAAAAGAGTATTTTGAAATGTTTTTGATTTAAACTCTCAAATTTAGTTGATTAACAGTTCACATAAATTTTTATGCATAAGTTCATCTTTATAAATGTTTTATTTTTAGTTGACAGAATGCTTGTTACAATGCTGGACTCAGGAAACCGTGAAGTTGTGTACATTTCCTGTGGAGTTCTCATCAACTTTATGGTTGATGAGGAGAAGAGGCCCATGTTAAAGCAAGAACATGGCATCAGGAAGTAAGTTCTGTTATAAAAATGTTATATTGGGGTATATTGACATTGAAAAGGTGAGGAATTTCATATGTAGGATATTTGAGAACTCTTCAAACTTTGCTTTGAATATAGTGCCAGAGTTATTTTTTCAGGAATAAAATTTGTGTCTTACTATTTGGACAACGTTTTTCCTATGAAGTGGATTTTTTCATTCTCATTTGAAATCCCTTACATACCGTAGAGTTGCAAAAGTCTCATGGGGATTGAAAAAAAATGGGAGTGTTCCTAAGAACACATGTACTGCCCTACAAAACAACATAAGGGAAATAAATATAGCTTATGTATGGACAACTTTTCAATGACTTTCATACAAGTACTCTGGTACATTTCAAAAGATGTTATGTAAAACAGTGTACTTGTGCAATGTCTCAGACTTACCTCTCATGGTTCTCAAGAGTATTGTGTATATCAACATTATGAACTATTTTGAAAAGCAGGTCAAAGGTCAAGTTCAATGTCACTAGGTCAGTAACCCTGGTATTTTACAAAAAACATAAGAAAACTATCAAATCCTTACCTCTTACAGTTAAAAAGATGTAATGTTTAACTGACAGATGGACAGGCAGATGCTGGGTTAATTGATCTCTAAGTGATGCTCTGCTTTGCAGGCAAAGTGAATATTATTCCTAAAACTGGTTTTTATGACAATGCCTGAAGCTAATTTATTTTATTTAGCTGTGTTTATAAAGTGACTGTGTTGTATTTGACAGATTAGTTGAGGTACTTCGAGACTTCAGTAAGACAGATTGGGAATTAGCCAGTCTAGTTTGTCAAATTCTGTGGAATTACAGTGGTAAAATCACAAGTTCTAATGACTGCTTCGGTCAGCAGGAGTCTCAAGATCTCATGGAACTTCTCATGGAGTTACTCGGTAATGCAGTGATCTTTATAAATATATACAACAATATGACACTGTAAATACGGTATTTTTTCATAGAAGACTACATGTAATTTAAAAAAAGAAATTTTCAAAATGTACATGTTTTAACAAAGTACAAAGTAAAAGAAATAAGTCAAACAATGACTCATTATGTGTAGTAACTTAACATTTTGTATTTGTTCATCCTTTCATTTGATCTTCAATCAGTATTTTTCTTTTATACAGACAGAGACTCTGCTTTAGATTTATCGTTTAAAGAGGATGAGGAAATGACAGACTATTTTGAGGAAACCTGGACAGAGCAGTTTTGTCCTGTGGCAGAACAGTTGCTACAGAGGATAGAGACACACCAGTCTGACCTTGAACCATTAGAAAACCCCAGCGGGTCATAGTCAGGACTCAGACCTAGGATCTTATATTAATTTAAATAAACGAAATCACCTCTATAAAGAATATGCATTAAGATACATTTAATATGAGAGACGTCTACCTGAATTTTGTGTGTTGGTAAAAAGTATACCTGCTATTAATAGTCATTTACGTCAAATTTGTTATGATGGACTATTCCTGTAATTGTCCAATACTCATTAAGAGAATAAGTATGGATATTTATGTATAGACACAGGATATGTCCATACAATTGAATTGTACTTGAGGGTGATCTTGCTTGTTTTCTGATGTCATAATTTTTTATCTGAAATCCAGTTCTCTAGTCTGTGAGCTAAATATTGGTGAGTGAGAATTGCTTGCTTGTTAGAACATATCAGTGTACTGATCATTCCGTCCATGAGTTGTCCAAATACTGACATAATAAATCTACTGTGTTCAAATGCCAGAAAATCCGTCCATTTGTTTTTCTGTAGACAAGCTATAGCTATGTGTATGCTATAGCTATGTGTATGTGTGTAATGGATTATGAATTCTGTAGTTTGATCTCTTCTTATGCATTTTATTCTGTTGAAAATTTTAAGGCATTTTTTTATGCTGATTATATGGCAGAAGTATATTGTAGTTGAAACAGTAGACCAAGTCAATTTAATTTTACCATGTTAAGACTCTAAACTGGAACATGACTAAATTTTTATATTCATTAGAAACTCTTAGTAAGCTTTCTGATCAACATTGATTATATATCTGTCAGTCAATCTAGTATAGTATACATTCTTCTGAAAGGCTGTACATGTATACTAAAACAGAATTATTTACCAGGTAAAATAGTCATCCCTATACTAGTAGTTCCAAGTTTTGTTACTTTCTGAATTGGTCAGAATTCTGCAACTCTATTTCATATTGGCTGCTGATTTTTTTTTTCTTGGGGGGGGGGGGGGGGCTTTAGGGAAATTTTATACGAAGTCATTTAACCTGCCATGCAATGTAGATTTTTGCAGCCTTGATTCAGAAGAAGGAGACTGAAGAACAACTTAAAACAAAAACGTATTCAGTTTAGGCACATTTTAGAATTATTTCCTTAATCCTTGTGTAACTAGGAATGGTATTTTCTGAGATATACAAGCTGATGAATGTTGCTGTGAGCATTGTGGATATCTGACTATATCTGTTGCTTTTTCCCTGCAATACTATACATTTAATATGCTTTGTGATAATAATAAACAGGTCTTTTATTACCAGTATGTGAAACTATGATATAAATACACATACTGTGAATTTAGTGCGTTATGGATTGTAGATATACCATTTTATTTCTTAAAAAAAGGTTCTATTTCTGTACGTATATTGTATTTATTGCCTATATTTATTTATTCTGATTCTCAGTCTATGAACACATGATATTGTTATTGATTGTTAATTGTTATTTTGAATGAAAAAATGACATAGTGATGAAAGTATTGTATGTACCCTTATACTAGTATCCCCGTAAAATTCTTATTCATCCCCGGTTTGAAAATTTATAAGGTAAATTTTAAAACATATAAGTAGTTATCAGCCTGCGTATTCTACAGTGATGTTATAAAGCACCAATGGAAACAGCTTTTATATACAAATGTTAGTATTTTTCTGTTTTGGATCAAAGTGGATTTCATAATCATTTAGTGTGGATGTGTTTTTATTGTGATGTTTGATATACAAATTATCAGTATTGGTTTATTTAACAACATGCTAGCCAATAAAACAAAATAAACTTTCTTTTCTCTTCATTAGAATTGGAAGAAAGAAAAACAAAAGCTGTATATACAAGCTTCATTTCTTGTGTTTCGTTGGTTTTGATGATTTCTAACTGAAATCGTGCGTGACATATCCGTTCTTTGAATTAGATAAAGTGAACGGGTTCTGCAAGTGTCGTTATTTTCACACACGCGTCCACAGAGACCTACTGAATTAAATACCTGTATGTTCAAGATATATTTTTATCCATATCACAATGATGCAGAACATAAACCCGGTTGCATACAATTTGAATTTAACATAAACGAGTGATGATAGGTTATGTCTATTTTACATTTCAAAAGCGACATGCTCCGTAATTTTGGGCAAATCATTGATGTTTCAGACTGGTGAGTGTAAACCTAAATTAGAGGTACTATGAGAACTGAGCTCACAAAATGAAAAAGTAGGAAGTGCACAATGGCACCATGTAAGAACGATCCTGTAAAAGTATTAAATTTTATTCAGTGCTAAAGGATGAGTTGCAGATAAATAGTTATCCTCGGTATTATAGAAAGAATGGCAGTGTCCGTGCTTTGATATGGGAAACCCTAAATATGTGTCCGATCAAAAAGTAAAATAGAAAGTGCACAATGTCATTATGTAGTAAAGATTCTGTTAAAGTCTCATTAAATTTTATACAGTGGTATGAGGAGTTGCAGATAAGAGATGGGTACCCCAAAGCGTCACGGACGGACGGACACCCCCATCACTATACACCCCACACTTGAAAAGCGGGGGTATAATAATGTTTTATGAATCCTGAAATATCGATATCTTTGCATCCCACATCGAAAAATATTGCAAAATACAGTGTATCTAAAATACACTGCATATACACTGTATATAAAATACAATAACTGAAGTATTACAAGTGCCGAGTTCTGTCAAATGTAAAAATGTCGGGACATTTTTGCCTTTCTGTTACTATTCGATTCCACTTTACACTGTTACAGTAGATGTATTCAGCTAGTGTTCGTACTTTGATTAGATTTATTTTGATATCATTTTTTTTCTTTATTTACTTTGTGACGACTCCTTTTTTTCAAACTGGTAAATTCTCCATAATTCTAAGTATGAAGAAAAAAATTGTATGCCAACTTTTTTTTTCACGACAGATATAAATGTTAGAGACAAAATACTTTTAAAGGAATTTTTATTTTAAAATACAAATATATTCATTTTCGACAATCCTCATTTATGCATCTTAAAATAAATTATTGTGAGAAAAAATATTACGTTATTTAATGATTTAACAGTGAAGTTTAATGAAGTAAATAAAAATTGATGATATGGAAATAAATATGATTACAGCATCATAGGATAACTTTGGACTTGAAGATATTCTACATCTTAGGGAGTCATATCTGAAAAGGAAAAAATGAAATATCAAATTTAAATCTCATTCAGTGTAACTGACCTCATAATGAAAAATACATGTAATTTGAATATATGCAGACATGTTGTAAATTCTGAATTTACCGGGTGGCATTAACATGTAAATTTTTTACTTCTTGAAATGCAAACATGTTCTGGTAAATTCTATAGATATGTTAGGTCAACCAACTGCATTTTCATTAAATAGATTTCCCAAGAGTTCTGAAGTTTTAAAAATTTTGCAACTTTAGAAATCGTAACGTGTGCGAAGAAAAAAAATGTGTATTTCAAGTAATTTCTTTATGGAAATATCCAAAACGTTATGGACACCCTTACATAGTGCAGATCATTACATTAATATTTTCTGACATTGTTAAATGTACTCACTTTTAGATTCGAAACAATTTGAACCAAATTTGGTAAAAACTTCAAAAGAATTAAGAGCAATATTCCTTGCGGATATTCCGACTTCTAGCCTATTTATCTTTGCGTATAACAGATTGAATATATTCATAATATCGTATGAAGTACAAGGAGTTAAATACAAACCTGCTGAATAAACCTCTGATTTTTTTCTGATATTCAATCTCAATCAGTGAGCCCGCAATCCATCGCTTCCGGTCTTTGAACGGGTACTCGTATCCTTGCTTACAGTCACACGCGTACGCCGTACGCGAGAACCGGAAGCCTTCTATCGGACGACACTGCTCAAGAAAACAAATTAAGAATATCATGTGACTCGTTTCAAATTAGAAAAAAAATGTTTGAGATTTACAAATTAAAAGTTTGGTGAAAAAATTGTCAATGAAAAATCACACTTAGATAGAAAAGTTGCTTTATTACACAATAAGTTATGTTCCACCATTGGAATTCATTTTAAAAGCAGAGGTCAATTAGACATGATGATATTCTTTTAAAATAATTTTGACACCTAAACATCATTAGCCTAAATTATAACGTTTAAGATAAAAGTACTAGTTTTGCTTGGACAACGTTGATTCCTTTAGATTAGATAAATTCTAACAAAGGTATAGACGCTGTACATAAACATCTGCAACGTTAACACTCTTAATCATAAAAAGTTCAGTCTTGTATTTCACCACATTTTAAGTTGAAGTCTGCATCTTGTATTTCATACAGATGTATCTCAACCGTTGCAACAACAAAATATTATAAGCAATTTCCTCTTCAGTGCGTAGATATTGGCCCTCTATATCCTCGTGATTATTCTTCTTCTTCCTCTTCTTCCAACTACAGTTAAGCTGGACCCATCATCACTGGTGATGTATTTCAAAATGACGACCTCAAAGTTATAATTTTAAAAAAGAATCTAAATTCAGGCCCTGATCTTTCAAATGGCAATAGAACTTCATTTCCATTATATGAATTCCATCAAAGAGTATGCAAAACGATGGGCTAAATATGAAATGGAAGACCTTGAATGTAAGAATGGAGTAAGTGCTTTAGATATAGAAGTTTACTAAACATTGCATTAGAAAATTAAAGGGCTAAATGAGAACTATCTATCCTTCCGTTTTCAGTAGACCAGAGGTGAGAAAAGAATTATATTGATTGTAACAATATAGTATTTGCTCATTATTACAAGTGAATTTTTGCGGAGACCAGTCCTTTGGATGAGACTGTATAAACCAAGGTCGTGTCGCAGTGGGTGCTGGCAGGAAAAAAGATCCCTCTCTGCTCAAAAGTCACAGTGCTGAGTACAGGTCTCCACCATCAAGTGGTGGCATCTCAATATATGAGAAAAAAATGAAGTGAAACATACAAAATACACTAGTGCATTTTAGGGGAACTCGGTTTTAATGCCACATTTCTTGTCCAACCTGTACTCACAGTTCTCTTTCTTCAAAATCACTTTTCAGTTTTTACTTGTAATATTCAAGTCAATGGAAGTGAGCTTGATTTATCTTACGTATACTGAATTCCAAAAAGTCTTTAAAATCCTTACAAAGATATATTGTGCAACCAGCAAATGTTTAACCAAGCCCATATCTTTACTCCTTACCAAACAAAACTGCTATGAAGGAGAAACTTCAGACAAACTGTGCTACAACATTTTCAATAGTGGCATGAATCAAATGTAGATAATAAAAAACTCTAAAGAACTTTTGAAAAATTAAAAAGAATTAAACTTTTTACAAGATCAGTAGAATCAAAACATATCACTTTTCTATGAAGAATACAATCCTTCATAGGCAACTGCTTCCTAAATAAAGATAGAACTAGGAAGTTTCCATATCTTGGAAAGTATTACAAATATACTTTGCTAAAAATCATTCTGATTTTAAATATAATACCCTGAAGTTTATAATGTATGAAAAAGATGCTGGAGTTCCTCATTGACAATATCTATATTATCTTTGGAGACAAGGTCTTCCAACATTCTAATGGAATTGCGATGGCGCGGACACTTATTCTTTATTAGTCATCCTGGCTGTTTCTTATATTCGTATGAAACAGAATTGATTATGAAAAACTTCTACACAAGAATTGTTATTGTTGTTGTTTTATCTTCTATTCAACATATAGATATATCGACAACCTTTTGTCAATTACCAGTTAATTTTGGATGTTATACTGATTGGCCGACTAATAACTAAACTGTATTTCAAACTGGATAACGTCAGCTTTTCCGTCGCCAGCTATATTCCAACAGCACCAGCATATGGGGTTTCTTTCTCCTAATTTATAACTGAATACATACGCAGTGCCATCTCTGTGTAAGATCAATTCTTAAACTGAGACAAGCTACTGACAAATAATTTAATGTAACTTGGATTTCAACAACCCTGTTTTAAAGAAAGCTTTTCGCAAATTCTACGGTTTTTATAATGACCTTGTTTATAAAAACAACCTATCGTTCAGTCGCATTTTGTCTGATCTGTTTCATAACATTTATTAGGTCACTGTTTTTAAAAAATTGACTAGGGAGCACTGAAACTACCTGATCAATACATAGGGCTCACATTGGGTGTGACCGGTCAACAGGAGATGATTACTCCACCTAGGCACCTGATCCCATCTCTGGTGTTTCCAGGGGTTCCTGTTTTTGCCATGATCGCGTTTTTTTTTTTTTGTTTTTTTTTTCGTTTTTTTTTTTTTTTTTTTTTTTTTTCGTTTTTTTTTTTTTTGCTACTGTATTTATAAAATTGGTCTTTTTTCGTAGAAACCCTCCTGAATATTAATAATTAATTTGACTTTGAGGCGAAAGGCAAAGATCATATTGGATCATTGTCTTAGCTGACATGCACATCCAAATACCGTATACCAAATTTGAAAAGCCTTGGTGGTTAAAAAAGTTCTATTCCGAAAAAAGTACCCGTCAAAAGACAAATATTTTGATTCCAGGATGGTCATATATGGACCTTTGTACCTTTCTTTATGATGACACATGTATTAACCACATAAATATCACAAGTTCATAAGTTTTTTTTTAAGAAAGACATGGCCCGGAAATGCTGATTGTAAACGAGTACACTTGCAGTACATGGACCTTAAATACTCACTGTTGTAGACTGAGTGTGACAGCGAGCGGTGTTTTTAAATGCGTTGTTGACATTGAAGGGCTGTGGACAAGGATTAATCTCCAACAAATCTAAAGGAACATCAACGGTCACTACCCCACTATAATTAGATTCAAAGCAAAGAAACGATCATAATTAAATTCTTTCTTAAAAATTTTACTCTAAAATTAAAAATAATTCTATGATATCATGCCACCGATGAGAATAAAATAACGTATTTTTTTTTTCTTTTTATCCTTCTGTTAAAAAATTTTCCATCAACTTTGAAAAAAAATATCGGTTGGCTTTATCTGTAAGATTTAATAAAATCATTACGCGTACTTACGTAAACTGAACTTTTCCTGATAACTTTAACATTTGAAAAAATGGCACAACATACGTCATTACCCACGCGTCTATTCGGCCATCACATTTGAATTCGGGCGGCATCCAGATACCTTGCTGTAAAGTAGGCGCGCGGTACCCCAAAGGGGAATGTTCATGTGTCTGACTACCCGTACCATTAACATCCGAGCGCATTTTTGAGCGGATACGAAAAAGCTTAAGAGATTCTGTGTTGGTATTCCACCGATATTTCATCTCTCTGTACCAAAGTTCTAAAGTATAATGCTTGTTCAGTCCAGCAGAGTCGATGACATAAAATTCTTCGTTTTGCCTGTAAGCGTATGGACCGAAGTACTCGCGAATCGATTCGTTTGGACTTGAATATGTGTAAGGTTCGAAAAATATGCCACTTGATAATATTTTGTAATCGGCCATCACATTGGCTAAAACTTCTCCGAATAATTTTTCATAATGCAAACGCGCTCCTCCTCGAATGCGACCGAAGGTCTCCGTATCTTCCGTGTTCTGAAGGTAGGCGGAGAGGAAGTGGGAAAGACGGACTGCCATGCTGGCCTGAGATTGAAACTGGTCAGCAACCCCGTACCCGATATCACCGGGTAGGATCAAACTCGAGGGAGGTAGGGTTTTACAATTAGTCCCTGACACACTTGACTTGTGGCGGTAAATCTTCACCATCCTGTTATACGCTGCTTGGTCAAACAAAGGTCTGTCGTAGAATGACCTTTTACGGCGGTTACTCTTTCTTTTGGGGGTATTTTTCGATTTTAGATCAATTGATTTTACTGATCTCTTTTTAACGGATCCTGTATTTAGCTCTTCACCAGAGAATTCGATATGGACTGTCTCTATGTTATCAACAGTCGGTAGAACGTTCAAATCTGAAAAGAAAACAATGTCAACAAGATGTTTGTGAAACACTGATACCCCCGTATGGCAACTTATAGCAAAGGTTAAACTCTCTCAAATGCAGATTAAATATGTTGGTACCCAAAGTAAGGTCTTGTCTCGAGGAATATACCTGTGAAATATGAAAGCTCTAGCAGCAACCATTGAATAGATATGGAAAAAGTTAAAAGTTTTTCAAAAGTAAGTCAAACATCAAGGTCAAATGCTCAAAATTAATGGTGCCCAAGGAAAGGCCTTCTCCCAAGATATATACAGGTGAAATATGAAAGCCGAAGCATCAATCTTTCAAAAGTTATGACCAAGGTTAAAGATTTTCAAAAGTAGGTCAAATTCGAAGGTCAAAGTCAATGGATCACAATTGTTGGTATCTAAAGGAAGGTCTTGTCACAGGAAATGGACATGTTAAATATGAAAACCCTAGCACCAACTGTTCAAAAGTTCTGTCCAAGGTCAAAGTTTTCCAAAAAAAGGTCAAATTCTAAGGTCAAGGTCAAAGGGTCAAAGTTATTAGTATCCGGAGGAAGGTATTGTCACAAGGATTACATATGTGAAGTATGAAAGCCCTAGCACTAACCGTTCAAAAGTTATGGCCAAGGTTAAGGTTTCCAAAAGTAGGTTAAACTCCAAGGCCAAAGGGTCAAAGTTGTTGGTATCCAAAGAAAGGTCATATCACAAGGGTTACATAAGTGAAGTATGAAAGCCCTAGCACCAACCGCTCAAAAGTTATGGCTAAGGTTAAAGTTTTCCAAAAGTAGGTCAAACACAAGGTCAAGGTCAAATGGTCAAGTTGTTGGTATCTAAAGGAAGGTCTTGTCACACACGTGAAGTATAAAATCCATAGCACCAATTATTCAAAAGTTATGGGCAAGGTTAAAGTTGGGTAATATTTTGCAAAACTGGGTCAAACTCCAAGGTCAAAGTCAAAAGGTCAAATATGATGGTACCCTAAGAAAGGTCTTCTCACAAGGAATACACATGTGAAATATGAAAGCCAGAGTTCCAACCAATCAAAAGTTATGAGCAAGGTTAAAGTTTTTGCGGACAGACAGACAGACGGACTGACAGGACAAAAACTATATACCCCCGAATCTTCGATACAGAGGCATTAAAAAGGAGTCATTTCATTGTCATGATACCGGTTTATATCTGGTGAAATCTTTATAAATTTTACAGGTACTATACTTTAATATAGTACTTTAATATTTTCTTGATCAGTATGGCTCTTTCAACTTGTTATCATTATGGAAATGTAAATGCGCATTTTCTTCAACTTCAAAAGAAAATCGTATAAACAAAGATACATTGCCGAGTTCAGCAAAAGCTCTACAAAGTCCGTATCTTATTTCACAAATGTATGATTTGTTGTGAAGAGAAAAACTTCAGGGGCTCGTTTCTCAAAAAGTCGTAGATTTGGGCCTAAGTTAGTCCGACTAAGTAAGTTACGCCAAAATTTAGACGGGCCTAAATCGCGTTTCAGAAAGCGGTGTAAGACTAGGCCTAAGATTAAGACTTCTCCGCTAAGTACTAAGCATGCGCAGATCGTATTTTATTTGGTTTAGAGACTACAATTACATGTTGCCTAAATACAGAAGTAAGCATGAGTGCGCGTGCATGTTTTCTCTCTTCACCATCTTTCAAACAGATATTACGCAAACCTATCTGTATTTTCAAGGTCAAAGCTTTAAATTAAGATAAATATTTTTGTATGCTCAGATAAATTTTAAATATCTATATAGGTACAAATTACGTTTGAAAAACATAAAAGTGCACGTACTCAAGTGTGATATTTCGATACAAATTCGTACATTAAAACCCAAACGAATGTACATAGCATATGTACTTGCAAAAAATTGGAATACATTAAGCATTAAGAATTTTACTGAAGTAATTTTTCTTTGAAAATAAGTCAAATTGTCTTTTCTTTTATGTTTTACATAAAAATGAATAAATACACATAAGGTAGTGGCAAAAAAAATCCTCCCAAAAAATCTGAAAACTAAACTACCAAAAAGTGGGAGTTGCGGGGGGGGGGGGGGGGTGTCAACTTCCCAAATTAATGTTACCAAAAAAACTTCATTAACTTTCCAATCAAAAACCTAATTACTGTCCAAGTCATGTAATTTGCCAAGTCAAAAAGCTAATCAACTAACCAAGTCATGGAATTATGAAAATTGTCAGTGCTCGGCCTTACAGCGACAAAAAAGGGGGGGGGGGCAGCCTGCAGCATCTCAAGGAAAATTTAATATAGCAAAATACTACACTCAGAAAAAGTGCCCGGAGGGTCGGGGCCCACTGACCCCACCGCGTTCTACGAACCTGTGGAAAATTAACAATTATGAAATCATATATAATTAAAATATGGATAAGAGATTTTTGAAAATTTATCAGTTGTATTGAATTTATAATTTCATAACAGAATAATCAATTCTAACTGAATTAGATTTCTTGGCATTCAAGCTCATACATGTATTATAACACTTTGGATATACATATAACATTGATATCGATATGATAATTTACACAGTCCATGTAAAAACACGCATATATACAACATTTCCATTAGCACACGCATTCTCAATAAAGGTTTGCAATTGCTCAATTAGTTTTTAATCAATTTCTTGTAGTCCATATTACAGGCAAGCAATCTTGTATTTTTATAGATTTCTGAAATATTTTCATTTAACATATATCCAGTCGGGATCTGATTTATTTAGATCGGGAAAGATATAAATTTCAACATCACCATCTTTTTCTTTTAAATCTAGTAATTTCAATTTTCATTAAGAATATGATCATATTATATTTCTTTTATAGATGCTGAATATTTCTTAAAGATTTTATCTAGATTTAAAGATATTAACAAGTCATGATTTTCATATTCATAAATACTTTTAGATAAGCAAAATTTCTTCTTCTTGATATGTTTTATGAGTATAATGCATTAAATGAGAGCAAATTTGAAACTCTATTTCTCATTTACAATAAAAAAAATTTTTTAACACATTTACCACTTTCTTTTCAAATGCATGTAATATAAAGTGTTTATCTGATAAATCGATCAAAAGACACTCTCAAACAAAATTCGTCTGAGAAAAGTACGATAGATTGTAAATTAATTAAAAACAAGTACCTATTTAAAAAAAAAAAATGATAGACCCATCTGCACATCTTAAACGCCATGACAGTTTGTACTTTGAAATAGGAAAAAACAGTATTACGGACAAGATAATTAATTACTGGAACATTTTACAAATTCATATTTTTCTGTTCTATAAATTTTATATTTGATAAAAGAGGAAATTAAGGTAAAAGGTATATCTAAATGTATATTGTTTGAGGAGTTAAAAAAAAAAAAACATTATCCATTTCAAAAATTAAAAATTACATGTATCAGGGACCCAGTGTGTGTGTGGGGGGGGGGGGATGGGGGAGGGGATAGGTAATTGAGTAACCAAAATATTCAGCAAACTTTGACAGTACATGAAAACAAAAACTGAAAGTGTAGGTCAGCCTAAAATACAACTTAATTTTTAACAGAAAACACCATTACTGAAAAAGCGGGAGGGTTGCAGCCCCCCTCCCCATACTACGCGTGCCTGCTTTTTTTTAAAACTCGGACACTTCTTAATATCTTATCCAGTTTCACAATTCAAAATTCTTACTTATAAATTTCTAGCTCATCAAACCCTTTTACGGAAAAAAGTCTGCATCCTCGCTGGATTTTTAATACCCTTCTATTTACCTACATAATAATTGAAAATTTCACGATTTTTCGCATATCATATATGTACCTGATTAGATATTATATCGTACACGTACAAAATAATTATTCTTTTATCTCTTTATGACCAAAACACTTGCCACTTTTTTCAAGATGTGTACAGACTAAGAACTTACACCTACTTATGAGCAGGCGTAGATTTAAGCTTAACTTTAGTCTCGACTAAGTCTGTGCCTTTTTGTGAAACGCTGCTTAGTCCGATTTTTGGGTTTAGTCACTGACTTAGTCCGGACTAAACTTACGCCCAGTCGTAAGCCTTTTTGAGAAACGAGCCCCAGACGTAGCGAGCTACATCATATTCTAGTCAAATGCGGATTCCATTTAAATCACCAATTTTTTCAGAAGCTAATACATCAAAAGTATAACTTTTCTACACTTATGCAACCATTCCTCAAGGTAAATAAAACCAGACTTTTTGATATCACAGATCTAGACAACTGCTTCTTCAATAACAATGGGACTTGGAAGTTTTCATATCATGTGACTGCTCATTAACAAAGTTTTATTCTTAATTTTTTTTTTTTTTTTTTTTTTTTTTTTTTTTTTTTTTTTGATTCTACATACAAGTACTTTTAAGTTGATATTAAAAGGTAGGATGCTAGAGTTCCTCATTGACAACATTAATGTTGTCTTTGAAGACCAAAGCTTGAAACAAACTGTTGGAATTCCGACGGGCACTAAATGTTCCCTTTATAAGCCGACTTATTTATTTATTTATTTATTTTTATTTTATTATTTTTTTTTTTTTTTTGAAGCAGAATTTATTCAAAATCTTTTACATGAGATAAGAAAACACTTGCTTTGGCCTTCAACTCGACATTCAGATATATCGACATTTCATCAATTAACAACATATGTCGACTCGACATATCGCAGTGAACTCAAATTAAAAGACATCACAGAGTCTGCCATATCTGTTTCATATTTGGACATTTTACTGGTTAAAGATGATATGGAACAACTAAACTGTTTGACAAACGAGATTTCAACTTTAATTTCCATCGTCAACGTTCCTTATTTATAAAGTAATATTCTGCTATCACTTTCATGTGCTGTTTACGTCTCCTAATTCATTCGATACTGGATTTCAACAACTTCGTATATTTAGAAGCGGTTATAATGACCTTGGTAGCAAATATAACCTATCAATGGGTCGTATTTTGGCTGACTCTTTCATACGAAATGTTAGACCTTTGTTTTTTTAAAAAGATTTGACTACGCAATGTTTCCTTGATGAATTCATAAGGCTCATGGCGGTGTGACAGGTCAACAGGGGATTCTTACTCCTCCCAGGCACCTGATCCCGCTTCTGGAATTTCCAGGGTCCGTGTTTTATGCCCTCTTCACAGATATGTTTTGTTTTATAGGTTTTTTGAGATCGATCACTGTTCGTTTTCTTCACCTTTTATATATTCAAGGGCATTTTCTATGTACGATCAGTTTTAAACCGGGGCTGGCCACTGACAGATAAGTTGACGTTACAGGGATTCCAACAACCTCGGTTTAAGTCAGCATTTCGTAAATTCTATGGTCGTTGTAATGATCTTGATATCGAGTATAGCCTATAATGGAGTCATATTTTGCATGCTGACTTGTTTCATATGAAATATTAGGCCTTTGGTTGTTTTTTGTTTTTTGACTACGGAATATTCTATATCTGATCAATACATAAGATTCACAGCCGGTTGACAGGGGATGTTTACGCCTACTTTGGCACTTGATCCCATCTCTGGAATTTGGGTGTGTATTTTTCAAAGATTTGTTTTGTTTGAATTTTTTTTTTAATTTGAGATCGGTCAATGTTTGTCTTCCTCAATCTTCCTCTTTTTTAAAGTCTATACTACTGTGTATAGGGATTTTAATTCAAAAATACATAACATCGCTTGCTTTTTTTCTCTTGGGATAAATCGCAGGTATTTGTGTTCGCTGATACTTAAATAAGCAATTTTGGGATACTGTTGTCGGTTAAAATTCCGCAGTACATCTTAATGTCCAGTGTGATATTGTGTGTTTTAATTTTGTTACTTAGGCTTAGTACTTACGTTCAGTAGGGGTACAGTTAAAACCTTCGTTGTACTCCGTCCATGTGGACTCTTCTATGTTAGAACCCTTGTAAGGATGTTCTATTTCTGTCGGATACCTGTAACCGTCTCGACATTTACATACGTAACTCCCTCGACGGAAACCGAAACCACTCAGGTGCTTACACTGAAATTTTATAAAACATCCTTTATTTAAAGGTTTTTGAAAATAATATGCATTTTTAAAATAAATTTTGGTGTTCAAATATTTTTTCAGGTACAAAATGAAAAATATAATATTGTTTTAATGTTTGAAGTTTTAGTAAATCTTGGATGATGGCGCACGCGTTGTTTTGTCAGTTTTGTATTTTAATCTTAAAATGAGTAATTTATCTTTGAATGTAAATTAATTTTTTTTTAACTTTAATGACAACATCAGTCACTTTGTTTGTGAACTGAGAAAATGTAGGAAAATTGTCACGAAATCGTCCATCAACGGCAAAATAGATAGGAACATCTTTCCCAGCCTATACCATTTTCCCTCATTTTGGGGAGGGGGATGTGCCCATTTACCCTTTTCATTTTTTTTTCTCTCTTATATAATTTATACGAAATACAACTTTGATTAACTTTGAAATTTACACTAAAAACATTTATTATATGTTTCACCGATTTTTTACTGTTTTTTTTAAATAAAAGATCATTAAAAAATATTTTACTTTTAGTAAATAATTTACACTAGGAAGGCTCAGACTCTTTTTTAATTTCTGCTCTGGGTATGACAAAAATTGCACAATCATCCCCATCAAGCAAAACACAATTACTAGTTTGTAATTTTTTGGAAATTATTTAATTTCTGACACTTATATGTGTACATAAGCATATCTATTGTCAAATTTTCCTACATTTTGGCAGAATACTAGAAGTATACCCATTTTCAGTTTATTACCTTGACACTTTGTATTTAACATTAATAATCTGTCTCACAGCAATAATGAACTCTCCATGTCCAGTAAAATATAGCTTCATTATCTTTTCACTTTTCGTGTTGTTTATTCATTTTATACCTAAAAAGTCTACTTTTGACGTTCGTTGTTAAAAATAATTAAAATAAATCAACAGTAGCTAGAGTTTGAATTTGAAATCTATGAACATAGCATTTTGTGCCATCATCAACTACCGAGCAAATTATACTTACTTCTCTTATTTGTACATGATTGTTTAAAATATAAAGTTACATGTACATATATTTACCTTTGAGTGTTCCTTGCACCGGTCAATTCCTGCCAGATAACTAGGTCCTGGATTTCCGGCACTGATTCCACAAGGATTGAAATCTACATGCTCGAAGTCCGTGTCCATCACCACAACTCCAACGAATCTTAGTTTTAAAAAGTTTTTTAAAATGTCAATTTTTGTCAAATAACCATGCTGAAATATTGACATGATTGAAATTAAAGAAAACGACGATTTGGTACATTTACCAATGCTTTGTAAAGTATATGTATTCATCATCTCCAACAATTGGTCGTGTTTAAAGTATGGTGAGGAAAGTGAAAGCGTACAGCTAAGTTACAACACCATGTCTAGCTATTTTTTGATCTGTTTAATATCAATTAATAGGTAACTTTAATCATAAACTCTTACCTTGGTCGTCTGAGGTGCGTCCAGTTACTGTATCGAGGCATGAAGTCTGCCACAGGAGAAACAGCGGATACTACCCATTTGTTGGATCTTGCACAGTCAAAGTATGGTCTTGTGAAACGAACGGGTAGTTTTTCTATTGGATCATTAGTTCCAGGATTATTTGGTCCGAAAAAATTAAACCCTTCAAATGTATTGTGTGTAAAAACACCGGAAGAATTGGAAAACTTTAGATTTACACTCCAAGTGAATTTTCGAGTGGAATCATAAACTGGATGTGTGTCAGGCAGCCAGAAATCATACCAAGGGTTCATTCGGTATCCGTGATTTGTATAATTTTTATTAAGGCCGCTACCAGCATCTACAACAAATGTGGTAGTGAGAGTTGGCTCCCTTAGAATATTGACCATGTCAAAAGAATCATCCCATCTCCACGATCGTGGTGCAAAAAGGGGAAGAGTTCGATTAAAGTCATAGTTAATCATCCAGTTAGGGTAGTAACAATCTTGATCGAAGTACATGGCGCTGCCATTGACTATAGGATTTGCATTGATATCAGCTGCTACAGAAAAATGAAGATAATGGACATCCGGCATAGTTTCAAAGACATCAGATGTGTTCAGTCTTTGGTATATGTAGCTAAAGTAGAAAGCCCTATTCAAGGCCAAGTTGTGCAGATGAATGAGGTTTGTCCGATTTTTATAGAAGACTTTGGTGCGTAATTCGTTATATTTCGGTATTTGTGTTAAAACATCTTCAGGCATTATTAAATCAGTTATTGGCTTTGACCTACAGTTATCGCCTGTCACGGTCCGAAACTGCTGTTCGATTTCATCAAATGCATCCCATTTCATCCAACCCAGCTCATCGGCAAAAACTATAGCAAATAGGAAAGAAACCATGAGGGAATTAACCATCATGATACATATACTAAAAAGTAATATGTCTACATAGTCCTAGTTTGTAAAGATTTTCTTTTATCTGAAAATCAAAAGGAACGCTTAGAAATGCTCGCTTGATTGCTTTAGTCTGAAGAAGGAGCGTTATATAGGGTATCGCCAACTAAAAATATCTGCGTACGTTAACATTTTGAATTATAAACAACAACTCACAGGTTAAGGTGTGAATTTAATTGTCTACACAGGACAAATAAACATTCCTCAAGTGTTGATGTTTTCCTTTCATTTAATTAATTGTAGTAAGATTTCTCCTTATTTAATTCAAATACCGGTGTCCTGTGTAGTACGTGGAAATTATATTTGGATTGCATGTACTTTTAATAAAACATAAAAGAAGATCTTGTTCTTTACTTACTTTTTATATTTGGGAGAAAAAGTAATGGATTATGAAAAAAGAATGCATCAACAGACTTAACATTCTGTAGTCCTTTTCACAAAAATCCCCATGACTAAGATAAAAATGTCTCTAATTTCGTTGAGTCAAGAAGATATTGATTTTTCACAAAGTATTTTTCTGAAAAAGATTTTATCTTCTATTGCTTAGATACTTGTTAAAAAAAATGGAAATTTTTTTTTTGTCTTATTCGTATTTTTACAGTGAAAGGGTCCAATTGTCTTTAAACGATGAATGCACAAAGTACGACTTCTCTTTAAAATAAAGCCCCGAACATCAAGACCTAGCTATATAGCTTGTAATTGCAGAGTACCCACAGACAGGTAATTTTTATACGAATATATTTTATGAATAAAATATCAAAATTTGACAGCAGAAGTGAACCTAAAGACTTTATAAATGAATCATCATAATAGGGTTTTTATTGAGTATTCGTTTCATTAACTTTTGGTATGCGTATAAACACCCGAATAAGAAATTGTTCAAATGAAATGGCTCAAGAATGCTAACTACAAGTCTTATGGGAAAATCTATGATTTTAATAATAATACATTATTTCCAAAATATGTTCTTTTTTAGGTATTAAAGAATGAAACAATAGGAAAATGATCCTTTTTTAAAATTAGGATGTTTAACTGACTATAGTCAATAATGGTAAACTAATAACTAAACTATATCACAAACGGGATGACTTCAGCTCCATCGTCAACTGTCCTTATTTAAGTAGCAATATGCCAGCATCACCTGCATATGGTGTTTGTCTCCTAATGATATACAAGAGCATGCTCAAAATACGATGAATTTTTAAACCGAGGCAAGCACTGGCAAATAAGATGATGTTACAAGGATTTTAACAGCTTTCGGCAAATTTTACGGTCGTTATAATGACCTTGTTTGTAAATACAACCTATCGTATTTTGTCTGACAAGTTTCATACCATTTGTTAGGTCATTGTTTTTATACTAAATTTGACAACAGAGTACTCCCTCTACCTGATCAATACATAAGGCCCACGAGTGCTGCAGGTGTGACTGGTCAACAGGGGATGATAACTCCTCCTAGGCACCTGATCCCACCTCTGGTGTTTCCAGGGGTTCTTGTTTATTCACGATTCGTTTTGTTTATTGGATTATGAGATTGATCACTGTTCGTCATCTTCACCTTTTACATAACTTTGAATTTTGTAAACAGCCAGTATTTTCTTATCATCGTTTTATTTTTTCCTTATATTTCTAGTAACTTAACATCAGTAATACACGTGTAATGCTTTTCTTTTTATAAGGGAACAACTGATTAAAATGTGCCATGAAGACATCCATCCGGAAAACATTGAACTAGTTTCTTTCGAACACTTTTAATCTCTGAGTTTTGACCTTATTGATCAATAAGGTACCTGGCATTTTTACTTATCGTAAATCTAGCAAAATAAGTCCATTTAATTGCAGCGGATTTATCTTATTAGCGTTTATTTAAAAAAAAAATAATTCAATCGAGAATTTTCTATTAACTGGTATGTAAAGTAATTCGTTTATTAAGAAAACGGCATTAAATTCTATGGCAGAGGCTTCAAACATGCTACAACGTATTATCTGTACGTTTCAGGTTAAAATTCACATACGAGAGAGACTTTTTTTCCCAAAAATTCAGACAATTAAGTGCAATTTTTAAAACTATGTATCATACCTTGGCATTTCGTATCTAACGGTGATAATTACTTTTGCAGCAGGGATACACTTGTATGGCGCGTCATAATTTTATACCTAATGTTTTTCTTGGTAATGGAAGGTTATTAATTGTCTACTTTTACCCTCGTCCTGTCTGAAAATTCGGTCAACGATGTACGTCCATCGGTAACGAACGGAGACCTCAATAATAAATGATATTAACTTGAGATAAATTTTAGGTTCTTGATGTGAACAGAACATTTTTTCTATATTTCCCCTGTTAATATTGAAAAAATTTACATTTTGGTAAATTTCTAACCAATCTATCATTAAGCCTCACTCAAAATCAAGTATACAATGCCATGTACATGTATACATTACGAGCCTTACATTGCTCTTTGAGTTCTGAAATTAAAAACAGCTAGCAACTTATAAGAGAGAGAAAGAGAGATTTGCAAAATTTTAAAGTATAAAAATTGTTAAATATTGTTAAAGGAGATTGACATTCTACATGCATATGCCGAGTATACGAACTGATGTGTTGAAAGCCTCGATTCTCAAAGAATAACAACTCTTTACCCAGATTTCTAAGATGTGCTAAAAAAAAAGAGATATTTTGGAAAGGAAACTGGAAAATAACTGAATATCATTTTCAGAAGAATGTCTCTGAGTAAAATGATTAAAATTAAATAGAGGATCTTTTTAATTTTTTCTAAAATATAAAAAAAAAATGTTAACAGAAGATACTGAAAGGTAGAAATCCATGTTTGCTGAAATATAATCATATAAAATTAACCAAATATACTATGCAAACATTTCAAATAAAACTACATTGTATATACGGTTTTATTTTGAAACAAAGAAAGTGGTGTTTTTCTAATTGACCCCCACCTTATTTGCAATTCTGCAGATCCCTAAAATCATGCAATGTTTTTAGACGTTAAAGATCTCTTTTAAAATGATACTCTGTAGAATTTGTAAATATTTTGGAAAAAACAAATCTATTTAATATTTAGTAAGTCAACAAGCTTTCAAAATCTATTTTTAGCTTTATATTAAGCATGTTAAGAGTTAATTGGTAATGTGCTCATTGTTTATATATTGGCTTGTAAAATGTTGCAAATATACAAATCTTGCAATTAATATGCAAAATATTCTGATTGACATTTAAAAGCTCGTGATTTCGAAAACTTGTTTTCATGTCTCTTTTTTTGGGGGGGGGGGGGGGGAGGTTATAGTTGTTAATTGTTACTCATTATTATTCATAAACTTGTGATTCATATTCGAAATCATGTGATTTACTTTCAAATACTTGTTTTTCATATCTAAAAACTTCAATATTCGCTTTTTATGCTATAATTCTATTGAATAAATTAGGAAAGTTGATATTCACATTTCAATAATCGTGTGATTTACACGCAATTTCAATAATCGTGTGATTTACACGCAATAACCTTGTGATTTTATGCAAAATCGTGTTTTTGTTTTCGAAAAAGTTGTTATTTATATTCTAAAGATTGCTCTTAATATGCAAACACTTTTGTTTCAAAATTGATAATCTTGTGATTTATATACGAAAACTTAATATTCGAAAACTTACTATTTGCCATGAAAATGCAAGAATTGTCCAGAACTTGTGATTTATTTTCGATAGTCATTTGATATATATATTTATATGCAATATTGATTTGAATCACTAGTTTTTGGCATACAAATAATAAATTCTAAATATAAATTGCAACATTTTTGAATATATATATCACAAGATTATCGAACGTAAATTATAAGATTTTGCACGTGTTTAACAAGTTTTCGAATACAAAAATCAACTTTTCGAATTTAAATTACAAGATTTCACACACGTATATAAATCCCAAGTTTTGGAAGTTTTGAATATAAATCGTACAGTTAGAATATGACTCATTAGTTTTTGAATATGAATTGAAAAAACTATTATATATTAACAACATATATTTGTCTTTTGTTAAATATAATATATTACGTTGAACAAATGTCAAATGTAACATATTTCAAACATAGTCGGAAATATTCAAATTAACAGAGAAATTTCTCCCCTCGGGGATGAAATTAGAGGTGTATATACCAGATACACCACAATGAATCCTTTATTAAAGAAATTTTAGAGTAAAACAGTTTTGTAATTAACACCAAATTGAACGGAAAAGAAATGCTGAGATGTAGCAAAAAGTTATGGTTAACTAAGTAACAACGATTGCAATTTCTTTTTAGATCTAATTTTTTTTTACAGATGAATCTATTTCTGGACGTATCTTGATTAACAAATCATCACCTCCAAGTTCATTGTCTACTGAATGAAACATTGAGTATGATAGCAAAAATCTTACTGCACAGAAACAAAATTGCGGAAACGAAAGACACTCTCAAGCTTAAGGTTATTCCCCTCCATTCCTTCGAAACTTTTAAATAAATCATTATTATAATTATACACAACATTGCTCAAGTAAAAATCAATTTGAAATTCTATACTTTATAATATACAGTTGTAATGTATGTACCAAAAATAAAGAAACTTAAAACTAGAGGTACTGTGGACAGTGAGCTCACAAATGAGTATGATGTCAAGGTCTAGTTTTTGCTATGGGAAATTCCAAGTATCTGATCAAAATATAAAGTATAGCACAATGTAATAAAGCTTCTGAGAAAGGAACGTATTAAATTTTATTCAGTGGTATCGGAGGAATTGTGGATAAGAAATGGGTACTTCCGATGATATAGAGAGAATTCTGTAAAATTCCCATTATATTTTATTCAGTGGTATAGGAAGAGTATAGGAAAAGAAATGGGTACTCCCGATTTTATAGAAAGAATGGCAGTATCCATGTTTTACTTTGGGAAACCTGAAATATGTGTCCGATCAAAAAGTAAAATAGGAGGTACACAATGGCTTTATGTACGAAAATCTTTGTGAAAGTCTCGGATAAGAGATAGGTACCTCAAAGCGTAACAGACGGAGGGACAGACGTACTGATGGACGGTCACCCCATCGCTATACGTCACCGGTGTAAAAGCCGGGGTAATATAATATAATTAAAAGTATCATTATTGCTAAATTGGGCAATTTGTCTCAGTAAATCTTTAAAATATTATACATGTTTACAAAACAAACTTTACAAAAGCATATCAAATCATTCTTAGTAGTAATTTGTATGGGGAGAGTGTCAAAAATATATCACCATCGAACCTGATATCACTTCGATTAATATCTGCTGTACTCTACAAGGGTGAAAGTAATCTATAACATATAAAAGATAACAATGGCTCCGGTAACATTTTATGAGAGTACAATTTATCATTTCTTTCGATTTCGTGTCATACTGATAGTTTAAGGGTACTTTTGAGGCAATGCAAATGTAGGACTTCCCGATTTATTTGGTAATCTAACCTATTGTAAAGTTTATCTTGTCCTTCACGGGTGTGATACCCTCAACCAATCGTAATAACGTATGATCTATTGATAATGGTTTACATATTTGATGAGCATTATGATCACCTAAATCAAACATGTTATAGTCGTACACCTGGTCAGACCCCGGCGTATTTTGGAACCATGGCTAGTGAAGATGACCCTGCAGTAAGTATATAGAATGGTAATTTTGTCTGACAGAAATAATATAAAGATAATAATGGAATATATAAAAATTATATATATATATATATATATATATATATATATATATATATATATATATATATATATATATAAAGGAATGTATATTGTTTTCATCGCCGAGAAATCATTTTTCTCCTTTGTACCCTTTGATACGACTTTTCTTGGATGTGTACATCTTAAAATTCTCCCACAATCTGACATATTCCTTTAGGGGTATTTAATAGTTTCATCCATATCGATTCAAACATTTTTCAAATTCAAATCGGTATTAGAATGAATAACATTGTATTTTTTCTTGTAAATTATATTGTCTAAGAATTGCAAAGGAATATTGGAAAGATAGTAATATGAGACTAGGTGAAATATCTATACTTACCAATTATTATTCACAGGAAAGAATATGGTCAATGTTCTCTGATGCTAAATACAACAAATGCTATAAGTTGTACAAAGAGGCCGATGAAGCGTTTACTGAGAGTCAGCTGGACACGCTGGAGAAACTAACTCTACAGTACCATATGATGAAGGACTCACGTATAACAATCACAGAGGTTCTACAGAGAAGAATGGAAAGCTTAAAAGAAGGTCAGCGTGAGCTACGTGTTTACATAGCAGGTATGACCAAATATGGTACCCTTTTCTCAAAAGTGAAGTACAAACTAGTCAAGACTGACATTGGACATTAATGTCAGTTTATCTGCAGACTAACCCACTTCCGCTGTCGTTCTCTGATTTAAGCCTTTATAAAAATTGTGTTCTATTTTAATGACCTTGAAGTATTTTCAATTTAGTTCATTCAACAAAGAGACAGGTCGTAAATGAAATATATGGAGATAACGAACAGTATTCTAGCTCAAAAGTCCATTAAACATTACAAAATAGGTGCAGAGCAAACACGGACCTCCAAAACATCAGAGGTGGGATCAGGTGCCATGAAGCAGTGAGCATCCCCTGCCGACCGGTCACACCCGCCGTGTGCTCCTTATCATGATCGGGAAATAACGGGAAAATCCGTCGACAATTCAGTGTGTAAATAATGACCTAACAATTAGTATGAAAAACGTCCGTCAGCATTTGACTCAATGATAAATTGTATTTGCTGACAAGGTCATTGTATCGACCATAGAACTTACGAAGTGATGAATTTAAACGAGACTGCTGATATTCTTGTTTCATCAACTTGTTTGTCAATAATTTACCTCGTTTTAGAAATTCTGCATACGTAGAGCATACTCTTCCGTATCGAATCAACTGAGAGATATAAACCCCGTATGCAGGTGATGAAGGTATATTGCTGCATAAGTAAGGGAAGCTGACGATTGAAAAGTAAAAGTCATCACGTTTATCATAAAGCTTGGTTGTTAGATTACCATTAACGCCTTTTTCAAGTAAACTATCCAAATATGAAACAGATGTGTCAGACTCTGTAGTATCTTTTATCTCAAGCTCACCGGGATATATCGTATCGACATAAGAATGGAAATAATAATTGTTAATTGACAATAAATCTTTCTTTTCTTAACACTTTGAATTAATGTGATAGACGTAAGATATGAAGTGTTACATGCTAGTATGGAATATTTTTGCAAGCCAATGGAATTTAACCAATCAGATTGCAGAGACAAAATCACTTATATAATGGTAATATAACTTGTACTATATTATACATGTAGGAGAGGTAGCAGTTGGTAAGTCGACCTTTCTGAACTTACTGATGGGGGGAGACTACTTACCCACCGACCACGGAAGCTGTACAAACGTTCTCTGTGAGGTTCACAATAATCCAGTGAGGTATATATGTCTACAATTTTGACTGAACATAGAAATTGGTTGAAAACAACATAGATAAGTTTTAGGAAAAGTTAAGCCTTTGTTTGATGTGAGACAACTTTAGAAATAAAGATGTGAAGTAATATGTAAACCATTAAAATTTGAGCATTTTTTAAAATTGTAAATCATGAAATTAATTTTAACATCTTCACATTTCTCTGCAATGAAAAGAATTAATTTATCAAAATTACTTCGTTTAACTAGACTAGGGATCATACATTACGGAACAGGACAACGTATAGATATCATTCTAACACCAGACTGCAATTCTGCCGAATGGAAAAGAATTCAAACCTGTATTAGAAACAAAACCGATAATCAAAACAGTGTTACAAAAGTCGAAATATACTGGCCATTGACGATTTTCAAGGTATTAGCTTTCAACAAATCTTCCTCTACATTAGACAGATTTTAATAAAACCATTTAATACTAATACATGATGTTGGAACCTATTTTCTATTAATGATTGTAAAGACTATCCTGTAAGTCCCAATTGGAACAAGTTAAGGAAAATACCATTACTTTTAAAAAAATACTCGAGAAATAGTACTTTTACAATATTTTACAAATTATTAATACATCTTTAAGTACTAGTACTTGCAAAATTGTCAAATTTTTGTACAGTGGTGCGTATGTTTACAACTTAATTATTTACAAATAAATTTGACTAAATAAATAAAAATGAAATAAAATGGATTATAATTTATCAAAAGGCATTATTTCTTCATTATTTCAAAAGAAAAAAATATATTGAACAACTTAAAGAAAAGAAAAAACACCTTTGTCATAGTTTTGATTTCCTAGCTACAAATCTGTTTCTGTTTTCAGAGTATGCATCAGACAGAGCTTAAGGAACCGGTAAGTCTTAAAACATGTGAAAGAAATGAAATTGGCAGCACGTTTCAAAACTTTGGTAGTTTTCTCCCACATGTTTTTTTTCCTTCGTTAGAGATAAAATCCAAGATTTTTATTTATGAAATTCAATTTGAAAGTTCATTTTGCAACAAACTGACTTGTATAATCCAAAATTATTATTGGATACCTAACCAGCTCCATCTCAAATATCAAAAAGAAGTGCATAGAGATAGGCTAGACCATATTTGTTGAATACATGTACTTTGAATATTATTATAGGGACGACATACCAGTGGTAGTATTGATGTGGCATCTGACTTGTTGGAAATTATAAGTCCTGTGAGTTCTGATTTAAATCTAATTGACTTATTTATATGATTTTCTATTTTGAGTAATTATAATCTGCTACAAGCTAGTGTTAATTGTGATAACACCCCGAGATAAACTGTTTTCAATTGCTTTCTAAATACTACTGCAACGTTATACTTCAAATCATTTGTTCTTGCTGAGGGTATTTCAGCCGATACACAATCACTTATCTCTGACCCTGTCGCTGCAACGTGAAAGAAAATTCTAGTTATTCCTTTCTAGCTAGACACATCAATTTTTTTCTAAAAAAAAGATTATTATAACTTTGTAGAAGCGTAGGTCTTTTTATCGCTCAAAAAGCAATTTTGAATTCCTAACTTTCAGAGGAGGGGAAAACTACCCATTATATTTATGGATTTCCCTGGCGTCGATCCGGACCATCAAGAATTGTTTCAGCCTTATCTTCGAAATGTTGACAAGTGCCATACATTCATATTCATGATTGACATACACAGAGATCATGGAATACACGGACCTACGGTGAGTGTTGTTACAATTCAACCATATAGCCTGCTACTTGTTTTAATTTTAAAATAGTAAAGAGTCTTTCAAAAGCTAAAAGTATGCAGAATATCTTTTGAAAATGAATTTCTAAATAGATAACAACATCATCATTATCACCATCGGTAATATCTTCATATCTCATCTCTTGTGTTTTATATTATGTCCACTGATGGTAGCTGCAAAAGTTGATGTCTGATATATCTGATGTAATCGCATTGGAAAATTCAACTTTGGATCCTCAGACAGCACTGTTTGTCTGTACAAACTGCCCAAAAAGTATCAGTAAAGACGAGAGAAGAAAATCGGATCTTACAGACAAGATACTTGCCAGAATTCAAATGAGTTGGCCAATGGTGGTGAGGAAACAGATCATTTTCATTGACGATATGACAGAGGTTGGTACCATTTCTACACGTGTTTTAAAGATTTCAACATCCCATGGAATAAATGCAATGGTTGTTTGGTTATAAGTAGTGTTTTATCTCATATGAATTACAAGCTGTTCTTGAGATGAAACAGATATGATTAAAGAAGTAAACAGTGAAAATTGAAGATAACATATAGCTATCATGCTCAAAAGTTCAATTATACAATGCATGTTGAAGGCAGAACAAACGATGACTTTTAAAAATATAAGAGGAAGGATCAGGCGTCATGGAGGAGTAATCATCTCCTGTCAACTGGTCACATCCCCGTAAACCCTTTGTCTTGGTTCGGGTAAATGGAGTAATCCATTGACAATTCAGTATGAAAAGAATTCCTCAATAGTTTGCACTCAATACGTCATTCAACATTCGTCCTAATGACTGGCTGTAATTTCAAGCAAGTTCATTATATCGAATTTTGAATTTGCGAAATGTTGAACTGCAAACATGATTTTTGATATCCTTGAAACATCAACTTATTTGTCAGTAACCTATCTCTGCTTAGAAATTGTTTTTACGCAGAACATACCATTGCGTATCGAATCAACCTGGAGACATAAACACCACATGCAGGTGATAGAGTACTCTGCTACATAAATAAAGGAAGTTAATAATGAAATGTCTTACTCAAGCAACCGACTCTGTCATTCATTTCGAGTTCAGTGAAATATATCGAATCAACAGTATGATTGAAACGAATATTGCTAACTGATAAAAACTTATCTAAATATTGAATTGAAAGCCCTAAGTATATACATGTATAATAGATTCATAAATATGAATTGGAAAAGAACAGTTTTGTACGCAACTATGTGAATACCGGTAATCATATGTTCAAATTCATATAAATTGTATATCCTCGAATATCCAAAATCTAGATATTTATTTTTGGATTCTAGGTGTATTACAAATTTAGTTTACAATTGTTTGCAAATATCGCCATTCTAGATTTCCGGGAAGACATTTATGAGGACACTGTATACAGCACAAAATTAGAGTACTAGTATTAAATCATCAAAGGAAATTTAAATTTACTTAACTCATATCACACGGCATTATTACACAGTAGGTAAGGTAGTATTTAATGATACCTGATCATAAATTTATAGCTATTACTTTGTCTAGGAAGTTTTACTTTTTATACGTGTATTTTTAGATGAAATCTAGGGCAAATACCTTGATGAATCTTCAGAGAGATATCGTAGATTTCTTAATGAAATCTGAACGCTTGTTATTGGAGGAGCACTGCATGTAAGTAATCTGTGGATCTTTTCACAAAAAATCTTACGACATATTTTTATCTTAAGTGAAAACTTATGATAAATATCGTTTTCACAAAAATTCTTAAGAAATTCTTAAGTGCAAAATTGGTCGTAACTTTACGAGTGCCCCAACCCTCTCTTAAGTATTTTAAAACAGATTTAATTGTAAAAATATAACCACAAAAACCAAAATACACATTAAATTGAACTTTTTAAAGCAATTTCCATTAATATTTTATATTTTTATCACAATCAATGTCGAAATTTTAAATGAAATTCACTACAAAATATTTACGATTGAAGTTTCACTTAAGATTTTCGTCAGACTTGTGATTGTGACGTCAGATTTTAAACTTCCCTGCTTCACAAACGATTGCATTCGATATTTGTAGTCAGTAATGTTTGTTATGCTGACATATGTTGAAAACTAAGTTTTATTTTTATTTTCACCCATTGATTTAAGGATAATAAAGCATATTGAAGTCGTTGCTAGGGATGAAGTCTGTCGTAAGTAAAATCTTAAGTTCAATCTGCTACGAATGCGTTCGTGAAACGCACCTAAGATTTGTCGTAAGAGATTCTTAAGTTAAAATCCTATGTAAAAACTTAAGATTTTTTGTGAAAAGGGCTACTGATCTGCGACGTAACGCAGTGTAGTACTTTTTTTACTCAAAGCTATTCAAATTTGATTTTTTTTATCGAAAATGGGGAATTTACGATTTTGAAATAGAATGTTTTTAACATTGCATGTCTACATAAATCTTATACTTCACATATCAGCGTTCAAATGTGCATTATTTTATACTTGCTTTTTTCCTCCAGGCTTTGCAAAAAAATTTTTGAATTAGTTATTTGATTACCAAATCTCCCCACATAATCAAAAAATGATAGGTATATAAATTTTATTCGGAAGTTGATATAGGATGAAATGACGTTTTCAAAAGACAAAAGATGCACATGTTTTAGTGTCTGGGAAAGACACAAAAATTAGCGAAACCAGATTTAAAAAGTCAAAATCAATCATAATTTTCATTAGAACGTTTTTTTTAATTTGATAATTTGATAATTTCCTCTTTTTTAGCATTTTTAGGAATACACGGAAATAGATATATTATAACTAAATTATGTAATTGAATACTGATGTAAATATATGTATGTATACGAAAGTAATATGTGCATCTTTAAATGTGCAAACTTCTGAACAAGTTTGAATTTTTTCCTCTCTCTCTCTCTATATATATACAGGTGGTTAACACGTTTGCTTGAATGTACGTCCGCCTTTATGAAATTTGGAAACCAATGGAAATCAATGGAAGATGTTATTCGGATTGACGCTAAAACTCATGAATCCTTAGAAAATGTATTTTCTTTTCTTGATCGTTTGACAACTGATTCAAGCATAACGAATGAAATGAAAAACATTCAAAAGATATACGAAGACAAGATAAGTAGATATTTAGATCATGAAATACGAATGGACGAACTTACAATTACGGATGTAATGTCCTTGAGGGATAGAATAAGCCCCGCCCTTAAAAGTTTTCAACAGGCTTGTGAAATAGAGATGGAAAACACATTGACAAGGCTAAGGAAAGAAATTCAAGAAAAACTGATATACGGGAAATTTCAAGGAACCGTAACACAAGATGAGAATTCCTTGTTTTATAACGACAAGATCGTCTTACCGTTTGTTGCACTATTTCTATGGCCTGTTGGACTGGGAATAGCTGCTTTTGCCATCTACGAATTTGCAGCGTCAATAATGGAGAATGATAGCATATCTAAACAAAATCTCATCAAAAAGGTGGTGGTCAAAATCAAAGAAAATATGGACTGTAAGTTAAATAAGATTGTTCAAGAAATGAATAGACATAGAATTGAACTTGTAAATATTCTAAACCAAAACAAAAATTTTGCTTCGTCAGAGGGAAACACAGATCGCTCGTCCGTTTCTAGGAGATTTAATGACATCGCCAAAAGTCTTTGGGACGTCTATGTTGGTTCCATTATGCAACATGAATTTTCCTCAGATGAGATAATAGTGCACTATGACCAAGGAATAAGTCAACATAATCTGAAAGTAAATGTTTATAAAGCTACAATAAAATCGCAAAAAATTGAAAAGTATGCCGTAAAGGAAATTCAAATGAAACTCCGAGGAACATGCGCGGAGGGATCAACACAGGAGAAAGGGGGCGATAAAACATCCTTACCTTGCGACTCCTCAGTTTTTCGGGAAAGATATTTGTTAAAGTGAGTGTGTCCAATATTTTATCTTATTTTGATACAGAGGTGTTTAAAAACAAATCAACATAAAAGATAATTGAATGTTCACAAATATATAAGTGCAGATATTATTCACAGTTATCTTTGTTTCATTTTTAGACATTTGTCGTTGAAGAAAGCTGATGAAGATTTTCCTTTCTTTGTACATTATGAAGGCTCCGCTGGTCACGTTGAAAAGGGCCATTATAATTTACAACTTGTTATGAAGAGGTACAGAGGCAGCCTTGTAGATGTACTTAAATGTGCTGACCTAATCAGAAGAATCAAATATGCAAAAGCAGCTGCACGAGGACTTCGATTTCTCCACAAACATCAAGTTATACACAGAGATGTTAAACTCTCCAACTATTTGGTATGAACTACTTTATTTCCTTTCATTTTTACAGGGTTTTTTTCAATTCTGAGTATATACAGTAAAACAAGGTTACAGTGAACACTCTTAAAATAAATCAGGATTACAGCGAAGTGATTTTTCGAAAGTTTTAAAGCATATTATGAACTAAACGGATATAACGAATGATATTATAGCGAAAGAAAATTGCTTTCCTTAGCACTTTGTTATAAGCCTGTTTTCTAGTAATTTGAAAGTACAACAAAAAGATCCAAGATGATCTTTCATTTCAGATATTTCAAAGCAGATTTATGTGTTGATGCAAAATTAATCTTTTTTGTAACTCATTCTTTTAATTAAGCTATTTCATTGAATATGGAATTCTTTTAGGTTGATGATGACGACAATGTTGTTATCTGTGACGTAGGACATTCAAAACACATTGATACTGTCCAGACAATTCTTGGTCGCGGAACATTGATATATTTGGCTCCAGAACTTCGAGATTCCTCGATATTTTTACATACCAAAGCATCCGATATATATTCATTCGGACTTACACTATGGGAATTGATTAATGGTGAGCGTATAAATCCCGGGAGATTTGTGGAAGACAAAATCTTAAGACGAAACTGGGGAGAAGTGGACAATTTAATTCGGAAAAGCTTGAATCCAAACCCCAAACAAAGACCCACAATATTTGAAGTTGTATCTCAACTCAATATTATTTTTCCAAACTGATATGAGTAATTTGCCGACTAGTCTAGTTTGAGTGAATTTGTTTCATGTTATTCATTATACTTTTGTTATTTCTATGTCATGTTAACGTATTAAAATCATTTAAAAATGACCGGAAAAAGATGGGTTCTTTACAGAATTTTTATTTTTTTTTTTTTTTGTTTTGGTCTGATATTGGAATCTATTTGAACCTATTTATTTCACTCTTTTAAATGCAGTCTTGATTCTGGCAATCTTTCAAAATCACAAATTCAAGGAATTATTTCTATTCTACCCAAAGGAGGAAGATATATAGGAGAAAATGCTAGACTACTTTTTGATATCATTCAATATTGTAATGAAAGTAATACTCCAGGATTGGTTCTCTTACTAGATTTTGAAAAGGCATTTGACTCAGTTTTGTGAAAATTTAAAAGTTTGAAAGTTTTAACTTTCTTCAATTTTGGTGAAAATTTCCAAAATGCTGTAAGAACTCTATTTAATGAGGCAAAACTATTTATTATTAAAAATGGTATTTTTTTAGAATTCTGTAGGATGGGCGAGGGATGCAGACAATGTGATCCTAATTTTTCGTATCTTTTTTCCTTTGTGCAGAGATAATGGGCATAATGATAAGAAATAATATATTAATTAAGGATTTATTGTAAATGATAAAGAATATAAATTATTGCAATATACAGATGACACAGCCCTACTATCAAAAGGAACCAAAGATTCACTTAAGTCAGCATTATCACTTGTAGAGGAATACGCAAAATATTCAGGATTAAAACCAAACTTTGAAAAAACTAAATGCGTTTTTAAAAAGATTTTGAAAACCTTAATGGTGTCAAGATTCGTTTACAGTCTTGGGTATTACACACTTTGTGAATTTAGAAATAAAGATATGTATGAGCCGAATTTTAAGCCAAAAATTAATGAAATTACTAATTAGTTCATGGTCTCGAAGAATGTCATCTACATCAGGGCGTATTATTGTAATTAAAACTCCCAAAGATCAAACAGATAACATATAAACTTTACAATAAATTTTTATACACGTCTCCTTTGATTCACTACTACCTTATGTAAATCAACAGTTAAGCCTTTATCACATTCGAACCAAACTTTACTCTGTCCCTTTGAAAAGTTTTGAATAGTCTATTTGTATAAGTCAAGGAAAGTCCATATAGATTCCTAAACACCAGAATACAGGCTCGGGTCTGTGGCTATGAATATTGCAAATCATGGGCTTTTAAAAACCAATGTTTTACGGAGGAAAATACAGCTAAAACTACCCTTTTTTCCTTAATTTTTAATATGCCAATAAAAAAATTGACGCGGTTAATAAAAGTAATATTCTCAATCACACAAGGGTCCTGTCTTGTATACCACCATATTTCCAATTGATGACTACACCCTGTATTTCCTATAAATATACATTGATTATTGCTTCCAAATGTTTTAATTAAGAAAACATTACAGAGCCTTGATATTGGGCATCTGAAATATAATCCTCCATCATGTTTCATGTTCTTCTTCACCCTACAACTATAGTCCTGCTGGGCACGTTATTAATGATGACTTAAATATAGTTAATGATTATAATAAGGACCTTAAATCACTTATTTTTAAAGGGCCAAAATTTAGGGGACCCCGATCTTTCAACTGGAATCATAATTTCATGAATATTATACATCCTGTGGAAGATTATGCCAGGCAATGAGCCAGACATGAAAAAGAAGACCTTGACACTTTGTCAGAATGGATTAAATGTATCAGATGTATTCCAAATTAAACGATTGAGGGGCAATATAAAAACAACTATCTTTCTGTGTTTAATAATTCAGAAGTGAAAAAAATAGACTACATGATCAGTATGTGCTGATCCCAGCTGACAAAGCAGGTAACAACATTGTCGTTGTTTGTAAGGCTCATTATTTTAATAGTATTTTAGGAGAACTTGGATTTAATTCTAAAAGTGGTAATCCAACTTATACCCATAGCGCCCTTTCTAAGGAGGAAATTCTTATTTCATTCTTATTCATATGACAGTTTTGAATATTTTTTTAATATTCCCAACCACTAAAATGAATTTGAATTACCATATTTATATTGGATTCCAAAACTTCATAAAAATCCTTACAAACAAAGATACATATCGGGTTCCAGGAAATGTTCTACCAAGCCTCTTTCTTTTCTCATCACTAAAATATTAACAGCAGTGAAAGAGAAACTTCAGGAGTACCGTGCAATAATATATTTGAGAAGTGGGGTAAATCTGATATGGATACTTAAAACTTTCAGAGATCTTTTGGAAAATTTGAAATCACAAAATTTTACCAAAATCAATAACATAAAAACTTACGAGTTTTCAACTCTCTATACAACCATTCCCAACGATAAATTAAAGTCAATGCTTTTTGATATTGACAGCTGCTTTGTCAATGGTCTTCTGCAAAATTATTTTAAAAAAAAAAACATTCTGATTGTACACACAAGTGCCCTGAAGTTGAAATTAAAAAGATGCTTGAGTTCTTGATTAACAATATCTGTGTTTTTTTTTTTTTTTTGGAGACAAGGTCTTCCAACAATCTATTGGAATTTCTATGGGTACCAACTGAGCCCCGTTGTTAGCAGACCTATTTTTGTATTCATATGTAAGAATTTATTCAAAATCTTATACATGAGAAAAAATATATTTGGATATACCAACGACGTATTAACAATTAACAATTGTTGCCGTATAGCGGGTTATTTTAGCGGGGGTGCTAATTTTGGCTTATTTTTGGCGTTTTGGTAGTACTCCCCTAAAATTTTAATCGCTAAAATATTCAATGTTCTTATTAGTGCTTTTTTGCAATGAGTTGGAACCCTGTGCCCGCGAAAATAAATTACGCCAAAATTATTGGCATACCCTTAGCCAAGCAAAACGCCAAATTTTACACCTGCCAAGAAAACCCGCCATATGGTATTTCCATCCATATGTCGATACGATATATCACGGTGAGCTTGAAATAAAAGATACCACAGAGTCTAATACTGTTTTATATTTGGATATTTTACAAGAAAAAGACGCTAATGGTTATCTAACAACAAAGCTTCATGATAAACGTGATGACTTTAACTTTTCAATTGTCAACTTCCCTTACTTATGCAGCAATATACCCTTATCACCTATATATGGGGTGTATATCTCTCAGTTTATTCGATACGCAAGAGCATGCTCTACGTATGAAAAATTCCTAAAACAAGGTAAGTTATTGACAAACAAGTTGATGAAACAAGAATATCAACAGTCTGAATTGTCGGCCGATTTTCCCGTTATTTCCCGATCATGACAAGGAGCACATGACGTGTGCGACTGGTCGGCAAGTATTGCTCTCTCCTCCATTGCATCCAATCCCACCTCTGATGTTTTTGGACGTCCGCGTTTGCTCTGCTCCCGATTTGTATATTTTTAATGGACTTTGACCTTGAATACTGTTCGTTATCTCAATATTTCATGGATAAAAGAAGAATTATATGTAGATATCCCTCTGAACAAAACTGATGTTTTACTTACTGTTATATAGAAAAGGGGGTAAAAAAAATTACAATCCCTTATTGGAATTAAATGTGAAATATTATATTATTATAAATGTGAAAAATTCATCTCTATGAAAAATAATAGAAGATAGGCATGGATTTCTTTTGGTGATAATACTTGATAATTTAGCTCATTGCATCTGCTACCTTAGATTTTAAAAAATAATGATTTCTTTACAATTGTTTAATTTGAATTATTGTCAGACCATGATCTATGCATATACATGCAACAAGATGAATGAAGTATGAAAGATGATTGAATACAAAAATAACCTCATGTTACATTAATGTACAATTATATTACCATGTTAAATAGATTCCAAAGCTCCCCAGCCTTGGCTATAAGCTAAGATACATACATGTATATATGTACTCGGGTAATAATTTTGTTTAAAAAAACATATTTAAATCTATAATGTTCCATTCCTAGTAAACTCCTGAGCTAAATGCCATGACAAGTGACTGAATTATGGTGTAATGATATCTACAAGCAACTGCTTTTTCCACACGAATATTGGAAAAGTTGACAAAGTGTAAAACAAAACACATAATGAAGTATTATATTCACGAAATTTAAATGAAACTTAAGGTACTCTGAGCTCTAAGTCACAAATGTGATACTCCTGCTCTAATACGAATATGATCACTGCTGGTAAAGTGAAAATCGAAAAAAAAATATTGGTTTCGGACACCCGCTTATATTGCATTTATTGATAAGATTCAAATTTTGATGCAGTGCTATGTTTTTTGATAGTGCGAGTATGATTGCTGTATTTATCTGCGACTTTTGGCACCGGTAATTGCCACTTTTGGTTAATGTTCCTTTTTGGTGTGGTGCGACGTTTGATTGCTGTATCATGAGTTTATCACTTTCAAAGGAATACATTTAAATTAAAGGACTTGTCCCATGTGTCTCAGTTACTTGAAATTAAAAGCTATTATGTTCCTCATGATCACAGTTTATGAATTTCGTGTTTCTACTGCGGAAATACCGCTGTGATTAAAATTATTGATTAAAACAAAAGTCAGTATAATAATCTTAAATCAAATCATAATGTAAATAAGCGACTAAATCATCATTGAAAAAGAGGACCGGGACATGTGCAGTAGTTTAAAAGGTTGAAGGGATCTTTACCAATTATCCTTTCTTCTATAATCATGTACTGTTATTAAAATTGACGAGCTCCTCTATCAATCAGCAAGTTTCTTTGTGATTTAAAATTTCTGTTTTATTTTCTTATTAACATCATTACACATGTACATTCAGAAAGTCCGTTTATAATGCATGTATTTATAAATTCATTTTTTAATAAATGTTTATTTTTAAATCAGAACAGATTTATACTTCTATAGTAATTGAAAGCATGTAAGATTTTTTTTCCCCCAGAGATTTCCTTATTATCCCACGTTTGTCGTTGATACATGTAACTTCGTTA